TTCCCTCCACAACATTCGAATCCTGCGGGATGATGTTCAACAGGCTCCGCAAGTCATAGAGACCTAGTTCGTCAGTAACTTCGGAGTCGAGCACAATGTGCCCTGATGTTGCTTCAACAATGCGAAACAATGCCATTGTCAATGTGGATTTCCCCGCGCCAGTTCTGCCAACAACTCCAATCTTCTCTCGCAGTTTGATACTGAAATTGATGTTTTTCAACACCGGCTCAAGGTCTTCTCTGTATTTGGTTGAATAGTTTTCAAACAGAATTTCGCCTTTGGAGGGCCACTTGGTTGGTGGACGGTACTCTTTAGTCACGGCGGCCTCCGGCTTCAACCCACAATACTCAATAACTCTCTCCAATGACACAGATCTTGTTTCGATATCGGCCCACCCCCTGATAATCATACTGAGCGCATTGCTAATGCTCAATGCATTCACCAACACAAATCCAACCAAACCGGGACTCAATTCATGTGACGTGCCCAGGGTTGCCAATATGAAAAGTGCCGACGAGTAAAGAATCACCGCTGATATAGCTTGCAACCGCATTGATAGCCATCGGTTGCACGACAACATAGTGTAGTGGACTCGTATAAACCTGTTTGTGATTTCGTCATTCACTTGTCTGAATTTGCCTAGTTGGTTGTAAGCCCGAATTGTTTCAACACCGTTGACAGACTCCAGCAAATGGGAAAATAACGGACTTCGGCATGTGCTGACCAACCGCTTGAGCTCACGCGTAGAGGGGATGTAAAAGACCCTAATTCTGTTGAATATCACCAAAAGAACGAGAATCACCACAATCATTACAGGTAGGTTGAAAACCACCACCGAGAGGACACCAAGTGCTAGTAAGCCATAATCGATAACTGCCAAAATGGACCATATAAGCTGCTGATCAACAACATTCATGTCATCTGCAAACCTATTCAAAATACGCCCAATTGGAGTAGTTTCAAAAAATTGCATGGGACTGCGCAATACCGAGTTTGCCATTTTATCGTGAAAATACCTCGATCCTCTGATGACACAGTAGCTCCACATAATCAAAGCGGCAGCGAGCATGCATGCAGCACCAGAAATACCAGCAGCCGCGTAGATTGTGAGATAGAACAGGACCGCTGAGTTGTGCCCGTTTGCCAAGTTGACTTCTGACCAGTACTTGAGGATGTAGTTTGCTCCAATGTTGCAAGTGACGTTTGCCGCATAGATAAACACATACAATATGATCATGGAGAAGTTGCACGCTTTGAAATATTCGAGGTAGACACTCAATTTCACGTGGCCCCTAGCTCTGGCTTCCCTTGCATCAGGTTTGGTCTTGTCCACCTGCTCTTCACTGGCACAAGACACAACACTGGATCGTCTGCGAGACAGTACCACATCTTCGTGAGGTAGATCACTGCTATGTTCGTTGATAAGTCGAGCTAGTTCCAACCCACTCTCCATAACCTCCTTATAGCTTCCTCTCTCTTCGACATGGCCACCGTCTAGTAAAAGAATCTCCTCGGCGTACCGCAAAACATTGATGGCGTTGGTGGCCAAGATGACCGTTTTCTCCGCCAACATTCCCCGTACTACATCCCGGATGATGTTTTTACCCACATGTGCATCAACAGCAGAGAGAACGTCGTCGAGTAAGTAAATGTCTGCTTTCGAGTACACTGCTCTGGCTAGGGAGATTCTTGCCTTTTGCCCACCACTCAATGCGATACCCTTTTCACCGACAATTGTCGCATCTCCCTCAGGAAGGATTTCCAAATCTACAGCCAATTGGCACGCTGAAACTACTCGGTTGTAGAATCTTTCACTGTACTCGCTCCCAAATAAAATATTTTCCCTAACTGTTGCATTTTGAATCCACGGCTGTTGAGCACAGTAGGCTATGGATCCGTTGACCTTTACTGTGCCTTTGGAAATGGGGACTTCTCCTAGGATTGCCTTGATCAAGGCAGACTTCCCAGCGCCAACTTTGCCCACAATGCAAGTGAGCTGACCGTTTTTGGCTGCGAGGCTGATCTCACTCAAGGCGACATTATCTCTGTCCCATGAGAATGTGGCGTTTTCCACTTCAACAGTCACGTCGCCAGCCACAACTGGTGTACTCTCACGTACAACCTTGGACTTGTTCTCCTTCATTGCGAAAAACTCGTCCAACCTGGCGAAACAGTTCGTTGCCTCCACTATTGCAACAATGGCGTCGGGAAGTTGCATAATCGGCTCCGTCAAGAAGTCAAACAACGACAACGCTGGAAAAATGATCGACGGAATGAGAGAGATATTGGTGAGCTTGACAAATGAAATGAGACAGGTGATGGTTATTGCAAATGGGATTGTGTTCCACAAGAACATGGAAAAAGCGTTGAAATGGCCAATCCGCTTCGCCATCACCAATTCCCTATCATTCCTGATTCCAAATAGACGTCTCAACATAGGCTGCTCCCACGCGTAAAGCTTGATGCTTTTGATTGACTGCAAAATCTCAGATGTCAATTTCAACCTCTCGTCTCTGATCTTCATGTTTCGCTTGACAAGACCGGAGATTGACGCACTGATCTTGCTGCTCAAGGGAACTAGCACCAAGGCAGTGGCAAGTCCAAACAACGCAGAAACCCCAAGTAGCCTGTACAACGCCCAAATGCCAATCATTAATCTAAACGGCAAATTAACCACAAACGCATACATTGCCAATTGTGAAATCTTTGTCACATCGACTGCCAAGTTGTTGATCACTTCACCACTGTTTTTGTTCTTTCTTGCTTCGGCAGAGAGGTTGATTGCTTTTCTGTAAACGAAGGTACCCAATGATGAGTACACCTGAGATCTGATGCGGAAATGTATCGCTGCAAACCGATTCATTGAGGTGAACTTCCCAACCGAGCAGAGGAAGATTGCAGTGGCAATGGAAAGCCCAAGCACAGGCGGCTGCTTGACTTCGCTGCCAAAGTATGCGATAAACTGCTGCAATAGGAATGCCTGGCCAAGATTAGATGCGATTGCAATCCACTCCATCACCAACATCAATATCAAGCTCTTGGAGTACAAGGAGAGGTACACTTTGAACAAGGACTTCTTGTTCCCTGCTCTGTTCCACTTGTTCAAGGTCTCTTCGTACGTGTAGACGCAATTCTGCTCGTAATGCAATGGCGGAGTCCCCTCTGCATCTATTGTTTGCGTTTCATAAATCTTCCTAATGGTTGGATCCAACCACGTGAATGTGATCTCCGACCAGAAATTGTGCACCGTGTCGATGTTCCAATCGTTCAACTCGTAATATTGTTTGAGTTCGACACTGGGGGAGTACAACCCCACTTCAAATACCAAAATTAGTACCGCATTCAACAAGAGGCAAATCTGCGTGGCTGAGTGGTTACTCACTGCATCAACAAGAGAGGAAATGACTTGAGTTGCCCAGTATAATGACGGAGCTGCTAACGCAACCACACTTCTTGTTGGCTCTATTATATGCAACGGCAATACCACGCATCCAAGGAGTAGCACATTAGCTATCAACGGGTACGATGGCAAGGCAAGGTTCCAAAACTGCACCACCAAAACCACATTCAAAAGCAACTCAATCACCACCAAGTTTAATTTGACAAGTTGAAAGATCCCCACGCTGCGTATACTGAATGGGTGTCCGAAACTGTACTTGATTTTGAAAGGGCCATAGTAGTTGCTAAACAAAAGTTGCAAGGTCTGGGCAAATGCAATCACAGCAAGAATTCCATTCGTGGCCACGGCCACTCTAGCTTGTAGTTGTGGATCTATCGAGTAGTCCATCCTTTAAAGAGCATCCGGGAGGGACTTTTGTTGCTGGAATTCCAGCACGGCTCTGAATTTTTTGATTCGGATTTCTTTTTCGGATTTTTCGCGATCCGATCGGGAAATTCTCGGCGGAGTTTAAAGTACAACTTGAGCTGAGCAGTGCTCTACACGTGTAGAGCACTGTCTGTCTGTCTGTCTGTCTGGCTGGCTGGCTGGCTGGCTGCAAACGGCTCTGATGAGCAGTCGAGTAGTGCAGCTAGCGGCTCCTCTCTTCGAATTCTACTAGTAATTGATATGATAAAAAGCTCTGTGTATTTAAGCAAATCCTATACAAAAGCAACTCAAAGTTAGCAAATTAAGCCAAAGCAGCGCATTCTTTTCACTTTTCTTCCTCCTTTGCATTTGCAACGTTCATTTGATAAAAGAACCAGTTTCAATTGATCAGAAGAGCAATGTCGGCAACAATTACTTGCTTCTTGCTCTAACTGCTCTTCTCTTACGCTTAAGTCTTCTAACTCTCTTTTTTCTCCACTTATCTCTCATTGTGACGGTGGTGGTTGTACGATAATGAGGAGAAGAAAAGAGAGCCAGAGAAAACACTGGACACCGATTTAAAATTTTTTTAAATTTATAGTCTCGTGTGAAGAAAAATTGGCGCGCAAAAATTGTCCAAAGCCCTAGTCAAGAACACGTGATAATTAGCTGAAGACGGTTCCTTCCCCGGGTAAAGAATTCTTATTGACTCTATTCTCTAGCAAGCTCAAGTCTATCAAACCGATTTCGCCAGTTTTATTTTTGGTCGTTCGTGGGTGGTGAATATGATCTATATGTACCTATCAAAGGAACAAAATCTAACACAGCGGGAGCCAGAGATTCATTGATGAAGCAAGTCAGAACGGGAACGGATTCAAAGTTCCATAGAACCAAATCTTGAGATATCAACAGTAGCTTTAAGTGCGGCTATGTAACAAGCAACACCCCAAGATGGTGTAAAATTCGCTTGCATCTCTTTCTCAGTTGGGAACATGCCATTCTTTGCATTCGTTTTTGTAGCTTGCTGCACCAACGGAAGCTCCAGTGAATTCAAAGTCTAGCCTTCGTCACGACTCCCAACAGTCTAGGCTTCTGTATTGCTCTGAATGACCGATTCCCAAAAGTTACTTTCCATGAGTAATGTGAAAAATAAAACACACATCAAAGACTTCCACCAAATTGGCCATATCATCATCTATTGCAATGAGTTCTTGACACCAATAGCGTCGTCAAAAAAAAATACGTCATCAGTTACTGCCGTCATTTTCTCCTTTTCGAAATCAGTCTCGTCAGCAGTTCTCGTTTCTACTGTCCTCGCAGCTTCTACATCATTATAGCACACAAAATCCAGTGAGTACTTCTTCAACTCGTCAGTAAAATCAGCATGGTCATTAGTTTGGTCGTCACTTCCTCCGAAGCTAGCATCTACACCGACAAAACTGCTCAAATTGGCACAAGCAAATTGTTTGTGCCCTTGACCCCATGCCGTTTCCCGCCGTTTCCCACCGTTTCCCACCGTTTCAATCTGTTGACCTCTTCAGCTGAAACATCTGGATTGTGATCAGGCAACACCTTCAACAACACATTGATGTCCATACATTCTCAGCTCCAACGAATCAAGATCGTCAGTGGTATTGGTTTCTAACTCCTACAACTAAATCTTAAACCGTTCTCCCACCCTCCATACTTCACGTGCTTTTCTATTTAAATCACTAATGATTGTGTTTCCCCCTCTATGAAATTAACCCGTGTTTGTGTCACAGCATGATTTATAATTGAACAGTTTTGTGCAACTAATTAGTTATCTACAAAGCTGTATCAGATAATAAGTATATCAAATGCAATGACGATGATTTTCTATCTCTTAATATCAGCACGAGTTCGAATTAACTTCTTGATATCCAATAACACGCGTGTTTATAACGTTGCAGGGATTCATGGAAAGGGGTGATTTCATGTCTGTTAGTCCTAAACGTACTTTACCATACCAATGTAGAGCAGCACTGAAATAGCAAAAGGTTAACAGATTGGGATTAGATAGATACATATGGAGATTTAAAAGTTTTTGTTAACACTTGTTGCAATTTTTCGATAGGTTCTGAATGTGGCGTACAAAAGCGCAAAATATCTTCAGAAAGAAATACTATAAATTAAATCATATGATATGATGAGGACCACCCCCCCCCCTCCTTCTCCTTCTCCCTGTCTACACAATTTAAATCACCTTCTACAACAAACATTACAAAATATTCTGACATGAATTGATTGGATTCAATTGTGGTGTGTTAGATTAGCATCTAGCGTGACATTGCAATTACTTTTTTTTTTTTCATGATAAAAATCTTTTAGCTTATGTTCATGGAAAACTACTCCACATGGGCTACTCGTTGCTGAAGGTGAGTTTGAAGGAATACCTTTTGTCAAGTACAGATGTGGTATGAGAAGATGTGATGCTTTAATAAGATTCATTTATGATCCTGTTTTGGATGTTTGGCAAGTTAGGCGCAGTGGAAAACACGGACCATCGTGCTTCCTTAAGAAACAATTTGCCTGGATAATGTATTCCACCTGGTTTTGATGCCGCTGCGTCATGGTAAAATCCACCTCTGCCTCTGTTTTGAATGGAGTAGGCGCAAGGGGGATCCTCTCTTTCGATTGGTATATATATATATATGCAATCGGCGAGACACTTTTTAAACCAGTGTAGTACAATTTGTTTACGATTCAATTGACTATAAAGGAATTTTATACTATTCGTAGACCGGGGTTTCAAGTGCCCACAAGTGGGACTTTGTCTATATACATTTAGTCTAATGGTTTACTCTTTTTTAATCGTTTCTCAGTTTGATTCATTGCTTTAACCAAATCGTCTTTAATGGGCAAGGATAGTTTGTTGACAAGGGTGTCTATTATCTCTGGGGTGATCAATAATTGCTCTTGTTGTTCCTTCCCTTGCTCCCCCTTCCCAAACACCCCATCATCAAGCTCTGCAAATCTAATATGTGACGCATTCTTGTCTAATAAATAATCCAAGTTTTTGATACCCATTAATGCTTTGACATGACAGTACAATCTATAAGCAAGGTAGAAACCGGGAACATTGGGGAGCACCGGTACCAATGCAAATGGCAAAGTCAATGGAATGCCAATAGCACATAAAATTGCTCCATTCTTGTGTTTTTGGTAATTATCAGTTCTAAAGTGGACCAATTCTGTGAGAATTGTTGAAGGAGGTTGATATTTTGCATGGTACAATGGTATCGGCTTCAATTGGCTATCAGGGATGTCCAACTGTTTGACATCTGATTGGTGAATAAGTCCCTTGGTATCCTTTTCCACCGGCTTGAACAAATGCAAACTTTCCTCATTAATTTCTCTAATCATTGCTTGCTTGCTGGGGAAAGATCGAAGACAATTCTCCTCATAGGGGATCGTTGCAAGCAACTTGCGTATCCACTCGACAATCTTGACATTTGCCGAGACTTTCGACGAGGCTAACTTATTCCATCCTTTTGTTGCGAGATTTATTGCCTTGGTTTCAACTTTGGTGATTAATGGCGCACGACTTTGAATGAGTGGGCGATGATTGCAGTAGATAAAAGAGCGGGCAGTGGTGAGCGGGATCGATATTACGTAGATTGAGTTCTTGTTGGGGAGCATTCTTGAAGAGGTTGTTAGATTTGATATCCAATTCTTGCCCGTAGCAATGTTGAAAACCCACATTTATCCTATCCCACCGCTACCAAAACAAAAGAATAACAAAAACAAACTTCTTCTGCTCTCTCAAGCAATGGAATCGACCAGTAGCAGTGGCGGCCGCCCTGACCCGTTTCGAAATGTCAATGTTCAAACGTACAGCCATAGACCAAATGTGTTTCCTGTTTATGTTCTAGATACTGTGTCCAAAGTAAACAAACCTAGTGACACTGACCCTTATGGCAAAGACATTAATGGCAGTTGGTTCCTATTTAAAAAATCCATCTTCAACCCAACGACATACCCAGAGAGTGAAGAGATTGATGAAAAGTATTTGGAGGAGTACGATTTGAATGGGTCGTGGGGTGGTGATGCACGACTTAAGGAGGAGTTTAACCATTCGCAGTATCAACAACTCAAAGAAGCAAACAAACACCGCAGTATCTTCAGCTTATTTAGACGGACAAAGGACCCTGGAGAAAACGATACAAAAGTGAGGTCTACAGCTGGGTACTGGATGGGAGAAAACAGGTCGCAGTTGAAGCCGGCGTTTAGAAAGTTTTTCATGCAAAACCCATTGCTACCTTTGACATTGAGAATATTGACATTGATATTTTGTGCCATAGCTTTGGCATTGGCTTGCAGTATATATGTGTTTTCAAGAAGCACTTACGATGGGGCCAAAGTAGGCCAAAAGGCAAGCACAATAATGGCAATTGTGGTTCAGACATGTGCGTTGGTGTATGTAATCTACATTGCCTACGATGAGTACTCGGGGAAACCATTGGGACTACGTGATCCGATTGGAAAGTTTCGATTAGTCATGTTGGATCTATTGTTTATCATATTCTCGTCAGCCAATTTGTCGTTGGCATTTGACACTTTGTATGATGACGAATGGGTTTGTGAAATCTACAAAAACCCACATGGACTTGATACGAATGCATTCCCAGTGATATCCTCCATCTGCCGCCGACAAAAGGGACTTGCCTCCTTCCTATTTGTTGTGTTGGTGACGTGGGTGTTGACATTTACCATTAGTCTAGTTCGTGTAATAGATCGAGTAAATGTGTAGAAAAGGCAAAACCAACTAAGAGAGGCAATAACAACAAAAAAAAAGAGAAAAATAAAATAAATATACACAGCAGTCTATACCTTCCTTCAACCAAATGACCTCCACATTACCAGCATTCACTGATCTCAATGCCACTTGGGCATTCATCCAGCCAGGGTTGGAGTTTATCCTAGGCGCACAGAATGATCAAGGTGTTACTTCTACAATGTACATGAATTGCTACACTGCCGTTTACAATTACTGTGTCAACAAATCAAGACGGGGGCTGACGTTGAGCAGCACAGAAAACAACTCCTACTCTTTGGCCGGGGCAGAGATTTACAACAAGTTGGAAATGTATTTGGTTCAGTTTATTCGTAATCTCCGGAAAACCCCAAATGAGTCGTTTTTGGAGTTTTATGTTCGTCGTTGGACGAGATTCACCATTGGTGCCGTGTACATGAATAACGTATTTGATTATATGAATAGGTACTGGGTGCAAAAGGAGAGATCCGATGGACGAAAAGATGTGTTTGATGTGAATACTTTGTCCTTGATCAAGTGGAGAAATGAAATGTTTCAACCAAATGCCGATGTTTTGATTGAACAGGTTTTGGATTTGATTGAAAAACAGAGGAATCATTTGATTGTGGATACAAATTTGATCTCGAGTGCGATCAAGTCATTGGTTTACTTGAGCATTGATATTCAAGACTTGAAAAAGCCAAACTTGATCATTTATGTCAATTCTTTCGAAAAGCCATTTTTGGAAGCAACAATGAATTACTACACAAAGGAGAGCTCAGAGTACTTGGCAAATCATAATGTTGTTGACTACATGAAGAAATGCGAGACTAGATTGGCAGAGGAAGTGTCCCGAGCAAATACGTTTTTGGAAGACCATTCAAAGAAAGCGTTTGTCAACATCCTCAACCAAGCAATGATTGAAAACCACGCTTCAGAAATGTACGACCAATTTATAGTCTTGCTTGAGCAGAACCAGATTGACCATATACAACGCATGTATAAACTTTTGACGAGGGTGCCCAAGACGTTGGATCCATTGGCTTCCGCTTTTGAAGAGTACATCAAAAAGGAGGCCAATCTCGCCTTGGAAAAGATCAAAACACAAGCCGAAGGGGCTGATGAAGGAAAGAAAAAGACTGGTGTTGAACCAAAAGTCTATATCAACACATTGATTGCAATTTATAACCAGTTCAATGACATTGTCATCCAGGCTTTCAATAAGGATACAAAATTTATCAGATCGTTAGACAATGCGTGCCGTCATTTTGTCAACAACAATGTTATTGCTCTTCCCAAACCACGAGCTGCGTGCAAAACCCCTGAATTTTTAGCGAAATATGCTGATGGGTTTCTCAAAAGTAATGCCAAGGATGCCGATATTGTTGATATGAATGCAGACAACTTGATGACCGTTTTTAAGTTTATCAACGACAAGGATACGTTTGAGGAGCATTATAGACGTTCCTTGGCAAAAAGGTTGATCAATGGTACATGCAAGTCTGACGAGTTGGAGGAGAGTGTTATTCACCGGTTACAAGAGGAAAACTCTATCGAATATACGTCAAAGATGACAAAAATGTTTTCTGACATGAAGGCGTCCGAGGACTTGAAAGCAAAAGTCAAAGACACGTTTGTTAAAGAGTTTAATCCCTTGATTTTGGCACAGAGTATGTGGCCATTCCGCCATGTCGCCGATTACGATTTGAAAGTGGCCCCTGAACTAGAAGCGCCACTTGCCCAACTAAAAGAAGTTTATACAAGCCAGCACCAAGGAAGGAAGTTGCAATGGCTATTCAACCACGGCAGAGCCGAGGTCAAGGCCAACCTTTCGAGAAAGGGGAAACCGCCTTTCCAGTTTCAAGTTAGTAATGTGCAATTGATGATATTGATGGCGTTTAATAAGAGGCCCAGCTACGCGTACAATGAGTTGTATGATATAGTTGGCTGTAATAGGACTGTATTTGACAACCATCTTAGCCCACTTATAAAGTTTAAATTGGTGGAGAGTTCGAGTGAGAACTTGGCTGAGTCTACTTTGAAATTAGTTGAACATTACAATTCCAAAAAGGTTAAAGTAAATTTTATCAGTGGAATCAAATCAGTTGATGTCAAGCAGGAGGAGGAAGATGCCACGAGGGAAATTATTGCTGCTAGACAAACATACTTGCAAGCAACCATTGTTCGGATTATGAAGAGTAGAAAAGATTTGGGAAATGCCGAGTTGTTGAATCAAGTGATGGAAGTGTCTCAGTCGAGATTCACGACGAGAGTGCTTGATATAAAGAAGCTGATTGATACATTGATTGAAAAGGAGTATATTCGTAGGGAAGGTGATAAATATGTGTATATCAGCTAAAGAGAAGAAAGAAGGAAGCAAAAAACAATAAAAATAAAAATAAAAANATAAATATAAACAGAAAACAGAAAACAGAAAACAACTCTGCTCGTCACCACCAATGAATGAAAAAACGTTCTACTTTGTTCAACCAAAGAAGAGGCTTGGCCATCCTTTACCAACTCACGACTCGCAAACACCATTTATATCCTTGTTCAATGGGAAAGAGCCGATTGAAAATGTAAAATTCAGATTTGAATTGTATCAAAGGATATGGGCTAGCCAATTGGCCAAAATTCATTCCATATTAAATAATGCCAATGACGAACTCTTTAACGACTTGATCAAGTTTATCAATGAACCTATTAGCGACAAGTTGTCCGTTGGTTATGTGCAGCTCACTTCCAACGACGCAAACAATCTTCGTATATTGAGTGAATTTTATGACTGTGCTGCCACCGATTTCAACTTGATAAAATTAAACTCCAAAAACTGTCAACACATCAAGGGCACATTGAGAGAGATTATTAGACAATTTGGAGAGTATAACCAGTTGAATGGAGACTACTTGTTGGGGTATGACTTGGATGTGTTGCAGGATTGGTATTATGCCAAGGGTAGCGATACCAAGACTACGGTTGTTGTAATTGAAGACACAAACTTGTTTAGTACTCAGTTGTTGAACCAATTGATCAAGCTACTTCAGTCAGTGCAAATACCGATAAAGTTGCTACTCGCATTATCGTGTGATACCGTATCCTCATGGGTCAATAGCAATTTGAGAAATGATTTACGGTTGAACTTGGACGGCTACAGATTTAAAAGTAACGATAACAAGAGCTTGGGGTATATCATACTAAACAATCTTTTTCTCACCCCGGAGCTAACTGATGAGAACCCGTTGTTGATCAATAACACACTAAGCACAATAATTCTCAATCGATTTGAAAACTCAAACAATTCCATCGATGCCTTGATTTCAGAGATAAAATTGTGCTACATGATCTTTTTTTATCAGCTGCCATTGTCGATCCTCATTGCAAAGTTTGACTCGTCCAGTTTATACATTGATGGATTGAGAAAAACCCCCTCTTTTAAACGTCATATGGAGATTAAACAACTGCAAAATGATCCCATCGTCAAGCAAATGCTTCAAGACGATAGTAAAGTTGCTATGTTGTTTCATGAATGCAAGAAACAGTATCAAAAGCACAAACTAACAGTAATGAACTCGATCAATGTCGTGTATCAATTACATCCGGACAAACCAAAGGAAAAATTCCAATTGTACAAATTACTCGTGAACAACAAATTGTTCAACTCAAAATACTTTCATGATTGTCTTGACTTGTCAAAGTATCCAGAAGAAGTGCTACATCGTATTGTGCTGCATTTAACCGATAATTGCCATGAGTCGGTTGGTACCATCACAGACAATTACCTTGTTGAATTGAGGAAAGGATTATCTACAAACACGTCAAACATCACACCCGTTCTAGAAGCTTACTTTGAAAACCCAATATTGACCACTCCGCTCGAATACATGGTATTCAATGAAGTATTTTCGCTCAATGGAGGAATAGTCCATGCCAAGTTCGACAAACAACCCCTTTTTGAGGAAAATCTCGAAAACCTCATGATCAATCTCCTTCGACCTAATTTGCGCCAAACACTCGAGTTGAGTTTAGACAATTGTGAATTGTATTTGGCAAATCCATTGGTGCGCGAAAACGAACTCGAGATAGAACATCCATTAATCTGTGCAATGTTTAAAGTTTACAAAGAGGCACCGGCATCGATAAACTTGTATGATTTTTATCAAGCATTCACAGCTTCACTAAACAAGCCCAATAATGTCAGTGAGGATGAGTGGAAGAAAACAACATATTCTTGGTTTATTCAAAATTGCTTCGAGTTTATGCACTTGGGAATTCTACAATTGAAAAGATCGAGTGAATACCTCGAAAAGGCAATTTGGAAAGGTGTCTAAATTAATCCTGATTCTGTTTTTGTTTCTGTTTTTGTTTCTGTTTTTGTTTCTCTTTGGATGATTCCTCTTTCAACTTTTCCGCCTCTTCCTGAGCTTCAGCCTGTTTTTCCAACCCGTCCTCTCCTAAACTAGCACTGGGCAACTTATTCAGCGACTTGTACCACTCACTTAATGACTCGCTACCTTTGCCAGTGTATGACTTGATCTGATTGATCACTTTTTCATGATGACCTGCAAGTGACGTTATCACAAGCAAAACCCCAAACATGGCAAGTATCGCCAAAATTATCAATCTCTGGGTCTTGAACATTCTGTTTGATATCTGCGTCGAGTTAGCTCTCATTTTCCAGTTTTGGTTTGGATGTTGAAGGAGGAAAGCAAGGGGGGGGGTTATGTTTTTGTTCTCCTGAATGATTGACATCGGCATTTTTGGAAAATCGGCGCTACCGGCCGGTTCCTTAATAGCCGAGATCTTCTTGTGGCTGCGAATATCTCCCATGTCAGATATTGAGTCTCCTTCGGCACATGAAACTATATTTTTGAATCGTAGTTTTCTTTGGCTCTCTTTTTCTTCTTCTCATTATCGTACAACCACCACCGTCACAATGAGAGATAAGTGGAGAAAAAAGAGAGTTAGAAGACTTAAGCGTAAGAGAAGAGCAGTTAGAGCAAGAAGCAAGTAATTGTTGCCGACATTGCTCTTCTGATCAATTGAAACTGGTTCTTTTATCAAATGAACGTTGCAAATGCAAAGGAGGAAGAAAAGTGAAAAGAATGCGCTGCTTTGGCTTAATTTGCTAACTTTGAGTTGCTTTTGTATAGGATTTGCTTAAATACACAGAGCTTTTTATCATATCAATTACTAGTAGAATTCGAAGAGAGGAGCCGCTAGCTGCACTACTCGACTGCTCATCAGAGCCGTTTGCAGCCAGCCAGCCAGCCAGCCAGACAGACAGACAGACAGACAGTGCTCTACACGTGTAGAGCACTGCTCAGCTCAAGTTGTACTTTAAACTCCGCCGAGAATTTCCCGATCGGATCGCGAAAAATCCGAAAAAGAAATCCGAATCAAAAAATTCAGAGCCGTGCTGGAATTCCAGCAACAAAAGTCCCTCCCGGATGCTCTTTAAAGGATGGACTACTCGATAGATCCACAACTACAAGCTAGAGTGGCCGTGGCCACGAATGGAATTCTTGCTGTGATTGCATTTGCCCAGACCTTGCAACTTTTGTTTAGCAACTACTATGGCCCTTTCAAAATCAAGTACAGTTTCGGACACCCATTCAGTATACGCAGCGTGGGGATCTTTCAACTTGTCAAATTAAACTTGGTGGTGATTGAGTTGCTTTTGAATGTGGTTTTGGTGGTGCAGTTTTGGAACCTTGCCTTGCCATCGTACCCGTTGATAGCTAATGTGCTACTCCTTGGATGCGTGGTATTGCCGTTGCATATAATAGAGCCAACAAGAAGTGTGGTTGCGTTAGCAGCTCCGTCATTATACTGGGCAACTCAAGTCATTTCCTCTCTTGTTGATGCAGTGAGTAACCACTCAGCCACGCAGATTTGCCTCTTGTTGAATGCGGTACTAATTTTGGTATTTGAAGTGGGGTTGTACTCCCCCAGTGTCGAACTCAAACAATATTACGAGTTGAACGATTGGAACATCGACACGGTGCACAATTTCTGGTCGGAGATCACATTCACGTGGTTGGATCCAACCATTAGGAAGATTTATGAAACGCAAACAATAGATGCAGAGGGGACTCCGCCATTGCATTACGAGCAGAATTGCGTCTACACGTACGAAGAGACCTTGAACAAGTGGAACAGAGCAGGGAACAAGAAGTCCTTGTTCAAAGTGTACCTCTCCTTGTACTCCAAGAGCTTGATATTGATGTTGGTGATGGAGTGGATTGCAATCGCATCTAATCTTGGCCAGGCATTCCTATTGCAGCAGTTTATCGCATACTTTGGCAGCGAAGTCAAGCAGCCGCCTGTGCTTGGGCTTTCCATTGCCACTGCAATCTTCCTCTGCTCGGTTGGGAAGTTCACCTCAATGAATCGGTTTGCAGCGATACATTTCCGCATCAGATCTCAGGTGTACTCATCATTGGGTACCTTCGTTTACAGAAAAGCAATCAACCTCTCTGCCGAAGCAAGAAAGAACAAAAACAGTGGTGAAGTGATCAACAACTTGGCAGTCGATGTGACAAAGATTTCACAATTGGCAATGTATGCGTTTGTGGTTAATTTGCCGTTTAGATTAATGATTGGCATTTGGGCGTTGTACAGGCTACTTGGGGTTTCTGCGTTGTTTGGACTTGCCACTGCCTTGGTGCTAGTTCCCTTGAGCAGCAAGATCAGTGCGTCAATCTCCGGTCTTGTCAAGCGAAACATGAAGATCAGAGACGAGAGGTTGAAATTGACATCTGAGATTTTGCAGTCAATCAAAAGCATCAAGCTTTACGCGTGGGAGCAGCCTATGTTGAGACGTCTATTTGGAATCAGGAATGATAGGGAATTGGTGATGGCGAAGCGGATTGGCCATTTCAACGCTTTTTCCATGTTCTTGTGGAACACAATCCCATTTGCAATAACCATCACCTGTCTCATTTCATTTGTCAAGCTCACCAATATCTCTCTCATTCCGTCGATCATTTTTCCAGCGTTGTCGTTGTTTGACTTCTTGACGGAGCCGATTATGCAACTTCCCGACGCCATTGTTGCAATAGTGGAGGCAACGAACTGTTTCGCCAGGTTGGACGAGTTTTTCGCAATGAAGGAGAACAAGTCCAAGGTTGTACGTGAGAGTACACCAGTTGTGGCTGGCGACGTGACTGTTGAAGTGGAAAACGCCACATTCTCATGGGACAGAGATAATGTCGCCTTGAGTGAGATCAGCCTCGCAGCCAAAAACGGTCAGCTCACTTGCATTGTGGGCAAAGTTGGCGCTGGGAAGTCTGCCTTGATCAAGGCAATCCTAGGAGAAGTCCCCATTTCCAAAGGCACAGTAAAGGTCAACGGATCCATAGCCTACTGTGCTCAACAGCCGTGGATTCAAAATGCAACAGTTAGGGAAAATATTTTATTTGGGAGCGAGTACAGTGAAAGATTCTACAACCGAGTAGTTTCAGCGTGCCAATTGGCTGTAGATTTGGAAATCCTTCCTGAGGGAGATGCGACAATTGTCGGTGAAAAGGGTATCGCATTGAGTGGTGGGCAAAAGGCAAGAATCTCCCTAGCCAGAGCAGTGTACTCGAAAGCAGACATTTACTTACTCGACGACGTTCTCTCTGCTGTTGATGCACATGTGGGTAAAAACATCATCCGGGATGTAGTACGGGGAATGTTGGCGGAGAAAACGGTCATCTTGGCCACCAACGCCATCAATGTTTTGCGGTACGCCGAGGAGATTCTTTTACTAGACGGTGGCCATGTCGAAGAGAGAGGAAGCTATAAGGAGGTTATGGAGAGTGGGTTGGAACTAGCTCGACTTATCAACGAACATAGCAGTGATCTACCTCACGAAGATGTGGTACTGTCTCGCAGACGATCCAGTGTTGTGTCTTGTGCCAGTGAAGAGCAGGTGGACAAGACCAAACCTGATGCAAGGGAAGCCAGAGCTAGGGGCCACGTGAAATTGAGTGTCTACCTCGAATATTTCAAAGCGTGCAACTTCTCCATGATCATATTGTATGTGTTTATCTATGCGGCAAACGTCACTTGCAACATTGGAGCAAACTACATCCTCAAGTACTGGTCAGAAGTCAACTTGGCAAACGGGCACAACTCAGCGGTCCTGTTCTATCTCACAATCTACGCGGCTGCTGGTATTTCTGGTGCTGCATGCATGCTCGCTGCCGCTTTGATTATGTGGAGCTACTGTGTCATCAGAGGATCGAGGTATTTTCACGATAAAATGGCAAACTCGGTATTGCGCAGTCCCATGCAATTTTTTGAAACTACTCCAATTGGGCGTATTTTGAATAGGTTTGCAGATGACATGAATGTTGTTGATCAGCAGCTTATATGGTCCATTTTGGCAGTTATCGATTATGGCTTACTAGCACTTGGTGTCCTCTCGGTGGTGGTTTTCAACCTACCTGTAATGATTGTGGTGATTCTCGTTCTTTTGGTGATATTCAACAGAATTAGGGTCTTTTACATCCCCTCTACGCGTGAGCTCAAGCGGTTGGTCAGCACATGCCGAAGTCCGTTATTTTCCCATTTGCTGGAGTCTGTCAACGGTGTTGAAACAATTCGGGCTTACAACCAACTAGGCAAATTCAGACAAGTGAATGACGAAATCACAAACAGGTTTATACGAGTCCACTACACTATGTTGTCGTGCAACCGATGGCTATCAATGCGGTTGCAAGCTATATCAGCGGTGATTCTTTACTCGTCGGCACTTTTCATATTGGCAACCCTGGGCACGTCACATGAATTGAGTCCCGGTTTGGTTGGATTTGTGTTGGTGAATGCATTGAGCATTAGCAATGCGCTCAGTATGATTATCAGGGGGTGGGCCGATATCGAAACAAGATCTGTGTCATTGGAGAGAGTTATTGAGTATTGTGGGTTGAAGCCGGAGGCCGCCGTGACTAAAGAGTACCGTCCACCAACCAAGTGGCCCTCCAAAGGCGAAATTCTGTTTGAAAACTATTCAACCAAATACAGAGAAGACCTTGAGCCGGTGTTGAAAAACATCAATTTCAGTATCAAACTGCGAGAGAAGATTGGAGTTGTTGGCAGAACTGGCGCGGGGAAATCCACATTGACAATGGCATTGTTTCGCATTGTTGAAGCAACATCAGGGCACATTGTGCTCGACTCCGAAGTTACTGACGAACTAGGTCTCTATGACTTGCGGAGCCTGTTGAACATCATCCCGCAGGATTCGAATGTTGTGGAGGGAACTATACGAGACAATTTGGACCCTTTGAATAAACACACGGACCAAGAGTTGTGGGATGTGTTGAGACTAGCCCACTTGAAAGACCACGTTGAGCAGTTGGTTAGCGTGCATGGTGACGAGGAGAAGGTTGGGCTTGGAGCAATGATCTATGAAGGGGGCTCCAACTTGTCATCAGGACAGCGTCAATTACTTTCCTTGGCACGAGCTCTATTGAACAAATCGAATGTGTTGATTTTGGACGAGGCGACTGCTTCGATCGATGTGGAGACTGATAGAATAGTCCAAAGCACAATCAGATCGGAGTTCAAGGACAAGACAATATTGACAATTGCGCATAGATTGGAAACCATCGCCGACAGTGATAAAGTATTGGTTCTTGATAAAGGCGAAGTGAGGGAGTTTGACTCCCCCGACAACTTGTTGAAGGATGCAGGCTCAATGTATCGAGCATTGTGTGTTGAAGGTGGAATGATTAAAAGGTGAGACTATTTATAGAAATAGATGTATTTACAGATATTATCTGGTGTAGGCTCTGTTTCCCTCTAGGAAGGTCCAGTGGGAAGGGGTCACCGAGAGTGTGCTTTCACAATAACACTGCATATTGTGCAGCAACACGGATCAAACGAGGAAATAACTAGGCAGCATAACAAAGATGTCGCCACCCTCTATGATCTGAGTTTATATCAAGTTTTTGACTTTTTGGTTGTAAGTGAAGATGCTGTTGAGACATGAGTTCAAGGAGAATGGAACGCAAGAATATTTTGTTTGATCACCTCCAAGTGGCGAAGATGATGACTGCAATTGTGTCAAGCTATCTCGTACATTCTGGAGAGTCAGAAACGCAAGGCGAGCATCCTTCAAGAATTCATCACAAGTAACAATTCGCTTCGCGAATCATCATTTCGCCTTATACACAAGGCATATCCAAACATGAATGTTGAGTTGACTCACGAAGAACAAACATTATTCAGGAATATCGTGTACGATTTGAGCCAACTTCATGGGGATGCCAAAATCCAGAAAACACACATGTCAGAAGCACTCATTAAGTTCAGTCGTCGTGCCATGGAGGATCTCATGTTCTATTGCAGATGCAGATACAACTACAACTCAAGCATACCATTCGATCATCTTATAAAACCAATAATCTCATTCCACTACTGTTCATATTTTTCATTGTCATGTTTTTTGCCCCCTAAGACACGCCGTTCCAACTCGTTCCAAAACAAGATTTTTGATGATTTAAAAATCCTAGAAATGGGTGATCTACCAGTGGAATCTTTTTTCCAACGATGGAGTTTCCCAGCTGTTTGACTTGCCAGAACGCGATACAGGTTCCTTTAAGTATAACATGCGGGGTCATATGAACCATTGGTTGAGTGTTTTTGAACACTACATGCATGTCAAGATGCAAGCACAGGTACGTCTCAACACAGGGCGAGTTAGTTCGGGGAAGCAGGGACGCTTAGATTATGTCTTCGAATACAATGATGGAAGAAGCATAGTTCTAGAGATAAAAAAAAGAAAGGGACTGTGGGGTAACTTTCTTGAAAAGCGGACAAAGATTCAAATGCGGGCATTGAAGCAAATAGCAGAATATATGGTTGGTGCAGAAACCAATCTAGCATTCCTTATGACCCCACACGTTTAGGTAAGAATTGTATTTGAAACAGGCGATACTGGTGCAGATAGTGCATCCAATGATAGCAATAACATGTCCAAGTTGAAGTGTGATACGTTTAACCACTTTTGTGACGATGAGTTTGGTTTGTTGCCAGTTTGGTTTGTTGCCAGTTTGGTTTGTTGCCAGTCTGGATCAGCATGATTAAAGACTCGCCTCCTCAAAAATTGAATGCATCTCAGATCAGTTCGTCACAAGCGGAAATAGATGCAATAACCACTCAAGTGGATGCTTCTTAAGCAAGCGGTGGGAGCAAATATTCCAAATCTTGAGGAGAATCCACTGGTTCGGTGGTTGCAAACTGGGTGCTTTTGCTACGTTTTTTAATCGATTATTATTTCTCTGCTGTGTTTACTGTAGTCTCCCAACTCTTTGGCTGCTGTTGATGTTTGAGGTTCGTACCAACTGGTTTGTCAATAGTACCCGATTTGGACTCCGCTTCAAAACACGGCACTGGATCCGCCTCCCCCTTCACCCTAACATACATTTTTCCGTCATCTTTTGAGAGTCACCTCTAGTCTTTGGCATCTCCTGAACGCTTGTGGAACGAGTGGGAGAAAGGTAGAAATGTGGATCTATTGCACCCTTTGATTGGAACTCTACCCCGCTTGGTTGTCGTCTATACTGACCTCTTTGATCTAGTCATCTTCAACTGGGGCGCCTGCTTATGTGACTTTTCATTGTTAAAATCAAATGAAATCTGGCCACTCTGTAACTCAAAATGAAAGTCTTTTTTGTTGCACACAATATGACATTGAGCAGATTAATCAGGGAATTGTCTTTGCTTTGGAAACACTGGTGATAAATAGATTACTGTAGATACTAAATTATGACGCGTCTTCTTTTCTGGTGAAGAAGAAGAGAAAAAAAAAAAAAAATCTTTGGATGTAAAGGAGGAGACCCAACTGAGCTTTTACCATTTACAACATCTTTCCTCTCATTCTTCATCGCATCTCCATGGAGGCAACCCAATTGTCTGAAACTCAGCCTACGCAGCAATCGCCACTTACTCAAACTCAGAATAAACCACAATCAAATCCAAATCAAATTTGTCAACTACTATGCACCACTGGCCAATACGCAAATAAAACTCTTAATTTAACCGACAAGCCGGAAGAAAACGGTAGGATTGTTTGGTTCTTTGGTCGAGCGGGGGATTCCGACTTGCAGCTCACTTCTTCGTCGCGTCTATCTAATCGACATTTCATAATTTGGTTCAATTTAAAGGATAATTCGTTATGGCTCAGGGACACGTCAACAAATGGGACTTATAGGAATGGTCAGCGAGCAGTTAAAGGGTCAAACTATTTACTAAGTCAGGGTGACGAAATAAGTGTAGGCAACGGGGTCCCCAAAGATGTGGTAAAGTTTATTGTGGTATTCTCAGATCGATTCAATCCATCGTTAGCTCCCGACACAGACATCCAAGATGAAGGAATTCACAAAGACTACGTCATCAAAACGGAAACTATTGGACAAGGGGCTTTTGCAACTGTGAAAAAATGCATAGAGCGCTCAACGGGGAACCAGTATGCGGTAAAGATTATAAACCGACGGAAAGCGTTGAGTAGCACAGGTGGCGCAAGTGCTTTATCGGGAGCTGAACGTGAACTATCAATTCTTCGCAAACTACATCACCCAAACATTGTGTCCCTAAAGGGCTTTTACGAGGATGCTGACAATTATTATATAATCATGGAACTAGTTCCTGGTGGCGATTTGATGGGTTTTGTTGAAGAGTTTGGTCCAGTTGGAGAAGAAGCCACGAGGGTTATTACCAGGCAGATCTTAGAGGGTATAAATTATGTGCACCAGTTGGGGATATCGCACAGAGACTTGAAACCAGATAATATTTTGATTATGCAGGATGAGCCTATTTTGGTCAAGATCACTGATTTTGGATTGGCAAAATTCAGTGATAATCTGACTGTTATGAAGACTTTTTGTGGGACTTTGGCGTACTTGGCTCCTGAGGTGATCACGGGGAAATACGGTCTGTCTCAAGCAAGCCAAGCTAATAGCAACTATTCTTCTTTGGTGGATATTTGGTCGTTGGGATGCTTGGTGTATGTGCTATTAACTGCGCTTGTTCCATTTCCGGGAAATAGTCATCAAAAGATGTTTGCAAGGATCAAGAAGGGAGAGTATCAAAAGACACCATTGGATTCGAATCAAATAACCAAAGAGTGTCAGGATTTTCTTCGGTGTTGTTTGCAAGTTGATCCAGAGAGGAGAATGACTGCGGCAGAAGCTTTGAAGCATGAGTGGTTAGCTGGGGATGATCCATCGCAATCGTCTCAAAAACCATTAAGTTTATCACAATCGCAATCGCAGCAATCCCGCAAGGTTGAGAATAGTCAATTTGATTCATTGAGCAGAATTGACGAGGATTTCATGCTCCGGCCTTTGGATAGTGAAAAGAACCGCAAAACTTCGAAACAGAAACAGAACGATTTCAAAGTTCCCAAGAGGGTGGTGCCGTTACCACAATCGCAGGTTCCTGTATCACAACCACGGCCAATGTCGCAACCATTGAAGCGTCCACATCCAATTGACACAGTCCACGGTTCAACCAAGCGCATAAGATTGGAGCCTCTGCCGGAACACAAACACAATGGCAACGACAATGGCATTGATGCCAATGTCTCTATCAAGGAGGAGGATTTGATGGATGAAGAAGATGGCGCCACAAACCTCTTGTCATTAGAGCCAATACCTGGCTCGATATACTCTGACCCTATTTCAATTTCCAATGACAGGTTTGCCATTGGACGTGCAGATGTGTGCAACATAGCAATCAATGACGACCGGTTGTCCAAGATCCATTGCATATTCAAAACCGATAATCGCAGTATTTGGCTACTAGACATGAGCACAAACTCGTGCAAAGTGAATAGGACGGCCATAGGCAAGGGGATGAAAAGACAATTGATGGATGGTGATACAGTGTATCTTTTTGATGACCAAGACAATAGAGAGTTTATTGCTTTTACTGTGAGTATGAGTATGAGTATGAGTATGAGCCCAGTGGATGGAGATGGGGTCTCTAGTTCCGAAATCAGAGTGTTGGAGCAAAGTATGGATGATTTGAAGTTGAAAAATCTGCTTCTAGAAAGAATGTAATAATTACCCGCGCAATGAAAAACCAAAAAAAGAAAAAAAGAAAAAGAATATGCCACACACGTTAATAGAAAACATCAACTTTCGAGAAAAACCCTTACTCTTTTTCCTCCAATAATGTATATCAAACCAGTTAGGCGAGTCTTTACTCAGGACGACTTGTCCAAATGGATCGAATCAAACACATACAATGAAGTGCTTGACTTCATAACGCAACTTCAAGATTCCGTCACTGACAAGCCAAATGACGCGAAAGTGGCAACTTCGCCCGTGATTGCAAAGCTTATACATCTCATTGACAAAATCTATCAAATTATACAACGCCACCCTGTCAAACTAGAAAAGGATATACTGAGATTCGGTAAAGTTGAGTTTCGCGATTTTTACGACGAAGTTGATGCCCAATCAGCTGAATTGATCAAACCAATATGTGAGACTGCCATTGTTGAAACATCAACCTACCTCACTAATTCATTTGGAGATAGGACTAGAATCGATTACGGATCGGGACACGAGTTGAACTTTATTTGCTTCTTGCTATGTCTATATAAACTTGACGTTATCAGACGAGATGACTTCCCGGCATTGATCCTCCAGGTGTTCACCAAGTACATGTCGACAATGAGGTGTTTGCAACGGACGTATTGGCTCGAGCCTGCTGGGTCGCATGGGGTTTGGGGTTTGGACGATTACCACTTTTTGCCGTTTTTGTTTGGCGGTGCACAATTGTGCAATCATCCGCATATGAAGCCGAAATCGATCCATAATGACGAGTTGGTGGAAATGTACAAGGACAAGTATATCTACATGGAATGTATCGATTTCATCAACAATATCAAGACGTCAACTAATAAACAGCAGGATAAGTTGAGTTTGAGGTGGCATTCACCGATGTTGGATGATATTTCATCGGCTAAGCTGTGGAGCAAGATCAAGGAGGGGATGGTTAAGATGTATAAAGTGGAAGTGTTGGGGAAATTGCCAATCATTCAACATTTCATGTTTGGTGAGTTGTTAAAGTGTCCCGAGGGGATTCCTGAGCACCATCATCATGATGACGACGACAACGATGTGGATAATTGTGGTCATGTGCATGATGTGACTAATACGTGGGGAGATTGTTGCGGGATCAAGATCCCCAGTGCTATTGCTGCTAGTGAGAGTATAAAACGAGGCGCTGGTGTTCCGTTTGATTAGAAATCTCTATTCATTATATCCTATATCAGTAGCTATCAATACATTTCTAGGAAACACTCCGGGAAATGGAAGCAATACTTTTAGTTTCTTCTTTTCGTCATCAAACTTGGATACGTGTATGTAGCCCAACACTGATGAATGTAGTAAATCTGTACCAGGAGTGGACAGTTGTAGATGCGTAACCACGATAATGGAGTTGTCAACATTGGAAGAGCTTGGATCCAAGGGCAGATAATATTTGCTCAAATCGTTATCCGTTTCATCACGTTCGAAATCGTCACCCGCTGGCAAAAAAGACAATGACACTGAATCTTTAACCGCTTTGAATATCTGCAACCCAGTGGCGTCAATATCCGTCTTGAATGGTGATAGTCTAGTTTTGTAGTTTCCATTGAAATACTCCCTTATAGTGGCTTCTTGACTCATTCGAATAAACTTGTCACTAACTTCAACGACTCCTGGCAGTTTATTCAACTTGACAATTTGTAAATTGGATTTATGCAGTAACTTTTTTTGCAAATCGATGCTGAGTTTCTCATTGCCCACCACTACAATCAAATCGATTCTGAAATCACCAATTATCGATTCAATCACATCAAATTCTTTGATGCCAAGTGGCGGAGTATCAACAACAACGCCACTATTCCCGCACTGCAAGTCCTGCTCTAATCGTGACACCACCGTTATGCCCAATTGTGAAACTTGGTACTTGTACAAATCCATGTTTTCATTTATAGTTGTAAATCCATAGTTTTTTACAATGGGTTGTTTTGATAATGGGTTCCCTCCCGTGGTGGTGGTTGTTAATCCGTACCCGCTACAACTTTCGATATCCAAGGAATCTCCAATAGCTGTGGCTGATATCGATCCAGGTAACGCAAATACTCCATCTTGAGGGTTCAAGTTGACTAGTATTGGACAATGGTCCATTTTGACTGCGTATGAGATTAAGGTTTTTGCGAGGGTGGTTTTACCCAGATGTCTCCCGCCTAGAACCATGATCCGTGGTCCCAAAATGGGCTCTTTTTCGGATGAAGATACGTTGTGGTCGGCAGCAGCTTGTCGTTTCGATTCGAGATACATGTGTAAATTCAACACGGACTCCATATTGGTTTCACTACTCACATACTCGCTGAATTCTTCGTCCTCGTACATCGACATGTCTTGGTTTTGCACCAATGTGTATTCGAGTTTGGATTCTTGCTTAGGTGAATAGATACTGCCTTTTGTTCCTGTCAATTGTAGTTCAACATTGTTTGGTAATTCTGTACCATTGATTTCTAAAATCCCCTCTGTAACTTTAAACTTGATAATCTGTTTAACTGGGATTTCAATTCGCCATTCAGATCCTTGAGGGATCACAACCGATTTTAGACTATCTTCGTAGGTAGTTTCAGATCCTAGTCCAGGGATAGACATTATGGTGCTAAGAGGTATACGTTCAGTGCTAATGATTTTTATTTTTATTTTTATTTTTATTTTTATTTTTATTTTTATTTTTATTTTTCGTCTTCTTTTAAGAGATGGACACGGTTTACAACGAGCTGGACCCACCACCTCAAATCTACAATAGCATCTCTGTATTATATTCTTTGACCAGTCAAAGAGTTCACCACTATAAACCTTCAAACGATAATTTCTTAGGCTTTATCTTCATTTGATTCTTGGTTAATTTCACCACTTTCCGTTCACCTGTTTTGTTGTTTACCAATTCCATATGAGTGTTGTAATCAATCTTGTCTCTTGATGCGTTTTCTTTATCTAGGAAAGGATTAGTTGAGTCCGATCTCATTTCTTTTGTCTTGTGATCTGCTCCACTTGCTATGAAAGGATTGGGCAAATTTGCCTTGGGGATTTTTTCAACTTGTTCCCAGGTTGTAACCTCCACTCCTTCCTCATCATCACTACTTTCCTGCCATTGTTTCACCATCTCTTCCGTTATCACCTGCTTTCCTGGCGTCATGGGCGCCTCTGGTTCTCTTATCTCATTTCTATTCACAGCAGCAGGGGATGGCAAGTGTTTGCCATTTCTTCCAGATCCAACAATACGAGGAGAGGGTAGAAACAACCCCATGGGCAACTTTTCACTGCTCTGATGCAAACTACTTGAATCATTGAAAATATCGTTAAAGTTTCTCTTTCTTTGTGATCCCAGTTTTGATGGTGACTTCTGAGGTGTGTTTGGAGTGATTACTGATAGCTTATTTCCACTGGATATAGCATTACCAAAGCTCTTTGGTTTCTTTGCACTGGTTGCTGGTGTGAGTAAAGCGGCATATTGGTTTGGCGTGGTGAAAGTCGAGTGTTTCTTGTTGCTGCTGCTGCTGCTGCTCCTCCGTGGTGGTGTAAGAGGGACGTTATCAGACATTGTTAAAAGATGTAAGCGAGAGAGGAGTAGCAGTTTGAGTGGGTTGTGTAAATAAGGATTAGATCAAGCGGATGTAAAATGGAAACAGTATAAGGATAGTTTATTGCATTGATCTTCTTTTGAAACACGTCTCTCATGGTCTCCCTATTTTTTTTTTCTTCGTTTTTTTTTTTTTTCTTTTTTGCTTTTTGTTTGTTCTGGTCTTATAATGGACTTGACAGAGAAGATAAAAATGGCTGGTTGAAATTTTGCTGGTTGTTTTGCTGCAAATTTTGCCCAAAAACAAACAACCCCCACATCTTCACCTCCATAGACTCCATGGCAAGTGATACAAATTTAAATACACTGTAGTTGAAAAGAGATGAGGCAATTGATGGGAGTCCATCGTTGGTTACTGCTTCTTTCACCACCACTACCATATTCAAAGAAATGCATTCTATAAAAAGAAACATGGGTCCTCTGATACATCTACTAGAGCGGAAGACAAAGTAGCCTGCTCTAAAGGGTATACTTATTATCTTTGGTTAAATGAAAGAGAAGAATAATGAGGACCAGTGTATTACGTGAAACATAGACTCGTAAAGATAAGTGTAATCACGTGTAAACGCAAGTATAAAGCCGAAGTAAATTAGAAAAGAAGACAAAAAAAAAATATAAAAAAAAAAGAGTCAGAGAAACAGAGAAACAGACGAAGAGAAAATTGTCCTCTTCGGTTGTCAATACATAAAAACTTTAAACCAATTTTGAGGAGATCTTTATAGATTTGTCAGCCATCTACAACACTAATAGATACAGGTTGTCTATTAGCATCTATATCCTTTTTGATAGAACACAGCACTACCTGCACTCTTTTGAAAATAGTCCCCAATTTGTTTAGCATCTGTTTTTGACTTGCATTTTTATCATTTTGTATTTCCACTTGCAATCTCCCACTAATCATCGTCTTCACTGAACTGAAGAAAGCCCCTCATTCAAATCACCCACAACAAGGAGAATCCACACCACCTCGTGATCGTTTAAAGACATGGGTGTTCTTTCTTTATTCTGCTGTTCGGATACTAGTGAAGAGTCCTCAGACAGAAGATCTCAACAACCAGTCAATGGACAAAATCGTCAACAACAAAACAAAGATATATCAAGAACTAGCAACACATCCCTCAACAAGCAAAAACCACAACATTCTAAAGCTAATGGTACGAGTATGCATCACCCCACTACAGCCACTGATTTGCCCATCGACAAGAAGGAGCACCTTGTTTCAAATGGCAACACAATAAGCCACGCCTCTGCCGCAAAACTAAACGGTGATAAGAAGGAGATTACCGATGACGATGAATCTACTATTGAGCCTTCAAGCAACAACCGTCGAGTAAGCGCTGGTGATATAATAGCCCAGGCTAGTCCCAATGAACAGCCAATTCCAACCCCAAATGAACAACCTCACCCGCAACCAATGGACAACGACGACGACGACGACGATGATGATGATGATGATGAAATAGACACAGATATCGACGACTTTGACGACATCCACTCCAATGCCGTCCTCGACTTGAAACGACTTCAAACTGGCCAAGCACATGACCCAGAGACTGGTTGTCTCTTGGGTCCATCCACAACCGAAAAGAAATGTCTTGTACTTGACTTGGACGAAACACTCGTGCATTCTTCCTTCAAATACTTACGGAGTGCAGATTTTGTGATTCCTGTTGAAATTGATGGTCAAGTACACCATGTGTATGTGATCAAGAGACCTGGGGTTGATGAATTTCTAGAAAAAGTTGGCAAATTGTACGAAGTTGTTGTCTTCACTGCTTCTGTCGCCAAGTACGGAGACCCGTTACTAAATAAATTGGATTTTTCCAAGTCGGTTTACCATAGACTATATCGAGACTCATGTTACAACTACCAAGGGAACTTCATAAAGAACTTGTCGCAATTGGGGAGGAAATTGCAGGACACGATAATTATTGATAATCTGCCGCAGTCGTATCTATTCCATCCTTCCAATGCCGTGCCGATAAGTAGTTGGTTTAGCGATTCCCATGATAATGAGTTGTTGGATTTGCTACCATTTTTAGAGGATTTGAGCAAACCCAATGTCGATGATGTAGAGTTGGTTTTAGATACTAGTTTATAAAGTTTCCTCCCTCTTCTCTTTTCGTCGTAACCTAATTTAATAAATTTTTTCTTTTTGTTTTAAAGATGAAAAAGAATACTTTGGAATAGAGCTTGCTAAAGGACTCCTCTTCCCTCCTGTCTTTCTCTGTTTGTCTGTTTGTCTATTCGCTTGTTAGAATATGGTATTGCAAATTACTTTTGTACGAAAAAAGGTTCGATGAGATACTAAAAAAAAAAAGGAAAAACAAAATTACTATGGAAGTACATCTCCCTTGCACACTTCCTTCCAAACTCGATTATTTCGCAATGAAGTTGAAAACTATAAGCAGATCATCAGATACTTATGTCCCAGTACGAAACACTCAAGAGAGTGCCCTTCCACGTAACTTGAACCCGGCTCTACATCCCTTTGAAAGGGCTAGAGAATACACCAGAGCTCTCCAAGCCACAAAGCTTGAGCGGATGTTTGCTCAGCCTTTTATTGGACAACTTGGTGATGGACACCGAGATGGAGTATATGTGCTTGCAAAGAATTTCCACTCGACTAATCAGTTTGCAAGTGGGAGTGGTGATGGTGTGATCAAGTATTGGAATTTGACATCGAGGGAGGAAACCGCTAGTTTTAGAGCACATTATGGAATGTGCACTGGCCTTGTCATTACCCCACAGAACCAGATGTTGAGTTGTGGTGATGATAAGCTGATTAAGTTGTGGTCGGTTAATAGTGAAGAGTTTGACAAGAGTGTCCAAGATGATGAGATTTATACACACAAGGATCAAGGATTGGTCAAGACGTTTGTTGGCGAGCATGCATTCAAGGGCATTGATCATCATAGGGAAGATGCAATGTTTGTTACTGGTGGTGCTCAAATACAGTTGTGGGATATGAACCGGTCCAAATATATCAGCAATTTGTCTTGGGGTGCCGATAATGTCAACACTGTCAAGTTTAACCAAACAGAGACAAACATTATTGCCAGTACTGGGTCAGACAATGCTATTGTATTGTACGATGTGCGAACCAATGTTCCTGTGCAAAGAGCAGTTACCAATTTCAGAAACAATTGTATTAGTTGGAATCCACTCGAAGCGTTCAATTTTGTCACTGGTAATGAGGACCACAATGCGTACTTGTGGGATATGAGAAATATGAAGAAATCAATCAATATTTACAAGGACCATGTTGCTGCCATAATGGATGTTGATTTCTCACCCACAGGCGAAGAAATCGTGACTGGATCCTACGACAAGACTATACGTATATTTGGTGCTCGTGCTGGCCACTCGCGGGACATTTACCACACCAAAAGAATGCAACATGTGTTTTGTACCAAGTTCAGCACTGACTCAAGGTACATCCTTAGTGGATCCGATGATACCAATGTAAGAATATGGAGAACAAAAGCTTCAGATAGATCCAACATCAAATCTATGAAACAGAGAAACAAACTTGAGTATGACGACAAGTTGAAGGAGAGGTTCCAGTACATGCCGGAAATCAAGAGAATTGCCAGACATAGGCATGTGCCAAAAGTGGTTAAGAAGGCTCAAGAGATTAAGCGTATTGAAATCGAGAGTTTGAAGAGGCGAGAAGAGAATGAGAGAAGACACACAAAGAAAGGTAGTAAACGGTACGTGCCGGAGAGGGAAAGACAAGTCCGTGGTACCGCTATAGAGTAAGCTATTGTGATGCTAGTGTATTGTTCTGTATAGCAAGAGTCACCTGATATAACACTGATCTAAGCCGCACTTGGACTCCCCATTTGGCAATCACTTGTCAAACACACATACGCACACATACGCACACACACACAGACACACACACACACTCTCTCTCTCTCATTTTTTTTTTTTTCTCTCTTTGGTTCTTCTGTCCAATCAAACTGTTAGTAAAATAAAGTTATCATACTATTAGCAAAATTAACAAAAATATCTATTACTCTGGGTGAGAGAAACTTCAGAAGCCTACAGCGAAGGAAAGGTAGTGTTTTCCAGCTCTTATACCAAAAAGAAACACCCTTGATCCATTCCGTGAAAAGTTGGTGATTGTGAACTAAAAGAAGGGGGAGGAAAAATCCGTACGCCACAGGGTCATATAATCCGGGCAGAACTCAATTTAGCAAATCCATTTGCGTATCCAATCTCATTTGTACCATCACCATCATGCCTGACAAACACAAGTTGAGCTTGTTTTCAAGACATAAACATAGCAATGACGGACACGATCTATCACCCTCGACTACTGAGAGTTCCAGTGGTCGTAAATTTCTAGGTTTCCATATCGGCAAGCATGACTCACAAGACTCGTTACCTTCACCTAGTGGTACCCCAGAGCCTCACCCTGATTTGCATTCACCAACGACTTTTAACCGGAAACCAACTGCCCCATCACCAATCCACTCCAATACGACAACCAACTTACACGAGAAACCAGCTGGGTCAATGAGCGAGTTGAAGCGGTTTTTCAAACCAACAAAGAAGACATCGAATCCGAAATCAAGCAGTGGTGGTGTACATGGGATAGTTGCTGGTGCACACCACTCGAATCAAATACATAGTCCTCCTCCAAATGCTAGTGGATTAGGCAGTGGCGCATCTTCGCGAAACCAATCGAGTACAGCACTAGCCACAATGATCAATCAAACGTCGTCACAATTGCTAGCTAATGCATCACACTCACTGAGCTCAAATAAGGATCCATTCACTGATGACAGTTCACCCTTGGTGCAGAAATACGGTAAAGTGGGCAAGGAATTGGGCAGTGGGGCTGGTGGGTCGGTGAAACTAATCACAAGACCATCTGATTCCAAGACATTTGCAGTGAAGGAGTTTAGAGCCAAACGGTCCAACGAGTCATTAAAGGACTATACGCGAAAGTGTACTGCTGAATATTGTATTGGATCGACTTTAAAACACCCCAATATCATCAAAACCATTGATATCCTTCATGAAAACAATCGATATTTTGAAATTATGGAGTATGCACCGATTGATTTCTTTGCGGTGGTGATGAGTGGTGAAATGTCACGAGCTGAGATCAATTGTTGTTTAAAGCAGATACTAGAAGGTGTCAATTACCTACATGGGCTAGGGCTAGCCCATCGAGATTTGAAGTTGGATAATTGTGTTTTGGACAAAAATGGCATATTGAAACTTATTGATTTCGGCAGTGCTGTGATATTCAAGTATCCATATGATCAATATGGCGGTGCGCAAAATGTGCAACCGTGTCATGGAATAGTGGGGAGTGATCCATATTTGGCTCCCGAGGTGTTGAAATCACCCAATTCGTACAATCCACAACCAGTTGATCTTTGGTCAATTGCGATAATATATTGTTGTATGACGTTGAAACGATTCCCTTGGAAAATTCCCAATTCCGAAAAGGACAATAGTTTCAAAATGTATTGTTTGCCCGATGATAATTACCACGATTATTATTTGAGTAATGAGTGTCACAAGTTGCTTTTGCAGCAGCGCAAGTTGAAGAATATTATTGTTCGTCTGAACAAAAAGAAGAAGCGGTTGGAGGAGGAGCGACGGGATGAAGAGGATGGTGTAGGACAGGCGGAGCCACTAGAGCCGAAGTCCAGTGCGCCTCATAGTGGTGAAGGTAACGACAATGACGAGCTAGAAAGAGGTGCAAACGTGGATACATCTCATGAAATCTTGGATGAAACGCAGGAGAATGAGATTTTGACAAAATTAAAGCAGATTGATCAAAAATTGGAAGAATACGAGACGAAGAAGAGTCAAGAACGCGATGCTTTTAACGAACAGCGAAAGCATGATCCAGTATATCAAAAAATTCTCGCACAACAAGAGGAAGAGGATAGGCGAATGCAACAGGAAAAAGAAGCTGCTGCTGCTTCTGCTGCTGCCTCTGCTAATGGCAAAGACGCCACCAAGAAGAAACCTGCAAGCCACAAACAAATACATGGTCCTTATAGACTAATGCGTCTTTTACCTCACGCTTCACGTCCGATAATGTCGCGGATGTTACATACGGACCCCAAACAACGGGCCACTTTGGAAGAGATTATGAATGATGAATGGATTAAGGAGATTCATTGTTGTACTTTGCGAAGAGAGGCTCGGAGTGTCGATAATATTGGTGCCAATTTTGATGAAGATGATGAGGAGATTTTGGTCAAGGGGACTCCACCGCATGAGCACACAATTGTTTCGGAGAGCTAGTTAGTAAGTAGATGAAGAAATAAAACATTGGATTGTAGAAGAAGCATTGAAATTTCTGGATCTAACAACGAAAAGCAAAAAAAAAAAAAAATAAAATAAAAAAAAGGGCGGGGGGCACAATCTGAGATTCAAGAACACACATACACACACACATACACACACACATATACATACACCCGAAACACCCCACCCCCCCAATCATGCCTAAACCAGTACCACCACATCTCAATCCATTGAGACTCAAGACCAATCTCAAAATGGCAATCTCTAAGTTAAAATTCACCCAGGAAAAGAAAGTTGCATTAACAAAACAGCAGCGAAGACAATTGGCCGAGTTGCTTAAAGCCGGCAAGGAATCCTCTGCTAAAATCAGAGTCGAGAATATAATTCGGGACGACATATACATTGAGCTCTTGGAGTTCCTTGAGCTTTATTGTGAGCTTTTGTTGGCGCGATTAAACATGGTTCTCGATCGACCCACTTGTGATCCCAGCTTGCTTGAAGCGGTCAGTTCACTTATTTACTCGGCCCAGAACAGCGACTTGAAGGAGTTGGTTGCTATTAGGGACATATTGATTTACAAGTACGGAACTGAGTTTGGGAAGGCGGCATTGGAGAATGAAGGCGGGCATGTGCCGGAGAAGATTGTGCGACGGTGTGGCGTTGAGCCGCCAAGTGAGGATTTGGTGAATATGTACCTTGTTGAGATAGCGTTGGCTTATGGTGTGCCGTATTCGGGATTGGAGCATTTCAAAAATGATGAAGTGGAAGGGAGAGGTGGTGGTGATGATGATGAGGGCGAAGGTGGAACCAAAGAGAGTGTACCACAACAGGACCACAAGGAGAAGCCATTGGCTGAGTTGGCTGAAAAGCCTAGTGTTGTGGCAAGTAAACCGCAAACCAAGCCAACGCCGAAACAACAAGATGATTTTGACGCATTAGCTGCTAGGTTTGCCGCTTTGAAGAAGACACCTAAATAGATAGAAATATAGGAGAGGAGTATATGTCATTCTTGCGCTAGAGGATCTTAGTGGGTTGGTAATTTGGCAACTTGAGAAAGCACAGTCAATACATGAACTGAGCCGCATACAAATTCTTATTTCCTGATTTGGAATTTATACCGAAGAATATTTCTTAATTTTTTTTTTTTTTTTTTTTTTTTTTTTTTTTGGTAAACAAACGACAAGTAGTTGATACAGATCAAGAAGTTGTTTAAGGCACATTCCCACGATGCCGAGTCAGATTCTTACAGATAGGCAGCAGGCCGAACTCAATAAAGCCGTTTTACAGTATCTCCAACCCATCTGCTCTACATCAGAGACGAATGAGAATCTCTTCCATCAGCTAGAGAAACTACTTCTACCTAGCAAATCCAATGCGCAAAATTCAAATAGCGATGATGGGTTGGTTGAGCAGTACCTAGAAAAGAAATGGTCAACCGTTCTACGTCTACAGAAGCGCATAATTGATCTAGAGAATGAGATAACCAATCTACGAAGTGTTGTTGACGTAGCGCCCGTGGTGAACCTCAGCAAGGATCGGGTCAATTGGATACCCACATCAGCTATACAAACATTTGAAACACCCAATGTTGTCAACAGCGTAAGGCTACATCCTGTTCTCCCGTTGGTATATGCCGGATGCAATGATGGCTCGATCAACATTTGGAACTTTGCCTCCGATGACAATGCATTGCCGGAAAAGATTATGAAAGCGCATACTCGAGGTGTCAATAAACTAGCATTTTCGCAAGACAAGATTGAATTAAACAAAGGCGATGAGCCCCAGTACATCTTGGCATCATGTTCATCGGATCTCACTATCAAATTGTACAACGCAACTACTCATCAGCATTTGAAAACTTTACGCGGTCACGACCACACGGTATCCTCCATACAATTTTCAAAACTGAATCTACTATATAGCGTTTCCAGAGATAAAACTATTAAGGCGTGGAATGTGGTTGATGGCACATGCATCAAGAGTTTTGTTGGACATAGTGAGTGGGTTAGAGACTTGGACGTATGCTCAAGCAAATTAGGGGACTTTGTGCTAACGTGTTCCAATGATCAAAGTGCAAGGTTGAGTCATGGGCAATCCGGGACTGGTGTGGCTTTGTTAATTGGGCATTCTCATGTGATAGAAGCTGTGAGATTCCTACCTAAGCTTTCAAACAGTGTCATTGACACCTTTATCATGAACAATTCCGATTTGTTTCCTTCACTTCCAATTGAGCTTTTGAAAAATGATGTTTATGGACAATTTGGTTTCAAGTATTGTCTCACTGCAAGTAGAGACAACACAATCAAACTATGGTTATTACCACCGCCCACGCAAATTCCAGGACGACCACCGATGCCATCCAAATACAACCAAGCACAAGCGTGGCTAATTGCAAACTTAACGGGCCATACCTCCTGGGTGAAGTCTGTACAAGTTCACCCTAATGGAAAATATGTGCTCAGTGCATCTGACGATAAAACAATCAAGGTGTGGGATTTGAATGGCTTGAATATAGATGGTTCAGTTGGAGTTATTCGGTCCCTCTCTAGCCACCAAGGATTTGTTAGTGATATTGACTTTGCCCGGCTCGCCAAGCGCAGCGAAGATTTCAATGGTAATAGCGAAGAGGTGTTGAAGGATGTAGAGGCTCGGATGCGATGCGTATTAGTCAGTGGTGGGACCGATAATACGGTTAAAGTTTGGAAGTGATAAATTTCATTTAAATACACCCGTTTTCGATACTATATAACACGATCATACTGATCCCGCGAGATGTACCCACCTCTCATCGAACTAGTTACATTTCTTTCAAACTGTTCCTTATCCTTTACCAACATATTAGCAGCCTCTTTGTTCAATGGATCGTTGGGATTTGGTTCCAAGAACAAGAAATTTAACCCAATCAAGACCGAATTCAAGCTCAAAACTGGTGACCAATCCTCTCTCAATATGTTTAGACACACATTCCCATCGAGGTCTATGTTTGGATGGTAAATCTTGTTGCGACATTTGATCTTGGGCGGTTCAATGGGGAAATTGTGTCCAATCTCAATCTTGAATTTGAATTTCCCATTCTTGTAGTATCCACCTTGTGGGATGATTTGTAAATCGAAATTGAAGAAATCGGCAGTGTTGGGGAATGTAAGCTTGATGCTTTTCGGTAAATCCAACTCGGTGATGTCTTTTTGTACACGAAGTTGAGCTGCGCTGACCTTAGAAGAAGTTGATGATGCTGACGCGTTGTTATTGTTGGCCTTGGAGGATGCTGAAGATGTGGATGGTGTAGGGGATTTGGAGTTTGCTGCTGCTGCTGCTGCTGCTGCTGCCTCTTCTTCCTGTCTCTTCTTTTGAAGTTCACGTATCTTTAACATCGTACTGTGGTTGAGAGTATGTGATCTGTTCCACACTGTGTAGTTTTTTTTAGCTGATTGATAAAAATTAAGGAAATGAAAGAGAGCGTAGATTGGAAATTTATTTTTAAGTTATTGTTCGGCTAATTTGCAGCCACTACATTTTTGTCATAGAGGGATAAGGAGAGATGGAGGAGAATGAAGAGGAGTTGCAGCAGTATTGTAGTATCATTAGTGGTTCTTCTCTTGTATGTACATTTTGCGTTCAGCGAGTTTGTCTTTCAAGTCTGGAGTTGATATTAGTGTGCTGTTATCCAACAACAACTCAAGTTTATTCAAAGTGGGTAGCGAACCTGTTGAGCTAGCGAGCAAGAGAAAAGGTGTCTTGTAGTTACACTGCAGGCGCAACAACCACTCAAACTGCTCAACAATTTTGTTGTCGTAATTAGCTTCAGCAACACTCTTCAGCAAAGTCGACCCTGTGAGTCTGCTACACTCCTCGGCAACATAATCTACCAACGCATCATCTGGATTAAAGTATATCCGTAGTGTTCCCCAGAGTGAACTATCCAGAAGGTGTGCTCGACACAGCTTAATCAACAATATTTCAAATTCCCTCAAGTCTGTTCCCCTTAATCTGCAAATTGTAATGAGCCATTGAAGGTAGTTGTTACCGTAATAGTTTGCAAAATGTAGCTCACAGCTGACTAATGCACGATGGAGCAATTGCGACACCTCCCCATTCTTGCGTAGTCGTACCAATGTCAATTTTTTTAACCAGTGCCACAAGGAAGAGCTCTTGTTGATTCGTTTCATTCGGCTTGTTAAAAAACATGATATAATCTCTAGGTCATACTCGTGATTACCTAGTCTCCCAACAAGCTCCTCGTGAAGGGAAAGTATTGTTGAATGTTCATTTGTGGTGATCAAATACCCCAATGTCATGTAGTACAACTCCTCCACTCGAGACAGTCCGTCAGTGTGAGTTCGCTTCTCGTAGTTGTTATGGAAATAAGTATGCGACTCCCTGAACATTCGGAGGTAAGTCTTTTTGGTAAGACCAATCTCTAGCCTATCGTCTTCCTCGTGTGATAGTATGTCCTGGTTTCCTGTCAGTCCAATAACTCCAATTATCTTTATTGGCTTGTTGGAGTGAACAAGTACATCACATAGGTCTCTGATCAATTGCATTAGGGTGTAGCTCAGTGCATGTGAAAGGGGGTGTGGCGTGTAAATGGCATTGAAAGATGACTCCTGTAGTGATGTTGAATGTTCTTGAAACGATAAAAAATACGCGATGATCGGCTCTTGCCTTTACTTCAACAACCATCAAAGGACGCCACTCTTCAAGGTGCACACGCTACTGAATTACGGAAGCAGAAGCAACGCGGCTAACCCTCCCACTGCCTTGTCAATCATAGCTCCCGCCCCTCCCTTACAATGAGTCGAGATACATCAACAGCATTAGCTGCATCTGCCACCTCACAAATGTACCCAGGCCAATGGAAGCTTCTACGAACGCTAGCTGGTGCGCATCAAGGCTGGGTACGAGCCGTAACAATTGACGAGGTCACCAACGACTGGTTTGTTACTGGGTCATCCGACTCAACTATCAAAATATGGGATCTTGCTTCGCTGCAATTGAAAAGCACAATAACAGGTCACATTATGGGAGTCCGAGCATTGATTGTTTCCAAAAAGTTCCCATACTTGTTCTCTGGATCTGAAGATAAGACATTACGGTGCTGGGACTTAGAGAAGCTGAATGCAGCTGAAGGATGTCAAATTAAAAACTTTCATGGTCATGTGGGTGGGATCTATGCTCTTTCACTACACCCTCAATTAGATGTGTTGTTGAGTGGAGGAAGGGATGCTGTGGTCCGGATATGGGATATCCGAGCCACCAAGGAGATCACATTACTATCAGGACACAAGAGCGATATTACTTCTATTGAGTCGTTTGATAATGACCCGCAAGTTGTGACGAGCTCAATGGATGGAACAATAAGATTATGGGATTTGAGAAAACAAAGTACCGAGTTGTGCATCACCCAGCACTCGAAGAGTATAAGATCCATGGTTGCACATCCATTTGAACGGACATTCACGTCGGGTGATTCAAATGGGAATATAAAGCAATGGCTACTACCTAAAGGAGAGTTGTTGAACAATTTTGAAAAGCTGGAGATGGAAGGGGAAGGGGGGATTATAAATACCCTCGCGATAAATCCAGTTGCAAATACATTGTTTGCTGGATATGACGATGGGAAGGTCGAGTTCTATGATTACATACTGGGCAAACTTTCGCAGTCGGGACAGGCTCGAGCCCTACCTGGTGCAGATGGTGCTGCTATCTATGCGTCAGCATTTGATATGTCAGGTTTAAGGTTGATTACATGTGGCGGAGACAAGAGTATTAAAGTCTGGGGCACATCTGAATAAAGCATATATATATATATATATCTAGACAGTATCTACCACCCAAAGCGTAGTTGACTTGCAGTAAACAGTGGTGGTGTCCAACTTAGTAGTTTAGGATTCAATTCATGTTTCTTTTTCTCCTTCACTTTTTTAACTAGTTTGTCATACATGGCCATTATTTGATCAGTAAGGACAATTATATGTTGCCCCTTGTAATATCGTAGCATTTTCAACGTAGTCAATGTATGTAGTATGTCCGTAGTTGTCATGCATGTTATTGCTGATATATCCTCAATGGTGATTTCGTTAGTTGAGGTACCATTTCGTGATGAGGCTGAAGATGATGATGGTGGTGGCGGTGGTGGTGTAGGTGTAGGTGCCGCCGACCCCTTATAATCATCGTCGTCGACTGGATGTGGGTTATTTCTTCTAAATAGGGTCGGGTTGTTTCTTTCAACTAGTAGTTTTACCAATGTATCAGTCCAATAAGCTCGATAAGACAATAGGCCCAAATCCGATAACGGTTTTTCAGGTGACCCTACCTTCTTCTCAACTGCAGACAACATGTACGAGAATTGAATCAACAATTTACCAAATCCTCTCTTTTGATAACAAGGAAGCGTCAAAATACATGCCACATTGTACCCATCAGCACTTTCTTTCTCCTTTGAAAAAAACCCCACAACGTGATGTCCTTGTTCCGATTTGATTGTCATGACATAAAACAAAAATGGATCAACATCATAATACAAAGTCTTGTGGTCCAAGAATAGTTTACAAAGTAAACAAAGGTTCCGACACCAAGTTCGCTGTTTACGACCATCGATTTCCCAAAAACTCACCTTTGAATCTCGATAAATTTCATTGCCTGGAGGATGCTTCATTGAACATTTTGATCTAAATCTCTCAAACTGCTTTTTGGAACCGAAATATGATAACGTGAAATCGCATACATAGATTGCATCTTCTTCAGTCAATTCAATCGGGTATGGTGAAAAGTACCATGGTTCAATGATATGTTCACCAAGTATCACTGTGGATAAGTTTCTAACCCTCGCCACTTCCGAATGGTTTTGAGTCATGGACCCACCTGAACGAAGCTTTTTAATCTCTTCTTCTCGACTAACTTCCTCTCCTGGTCTTTTCAAACCCTGGACATTGAGATTTTCCAAGTCCATTTCATCATCGTTCATCTGTGGAGTTTCCTCTCTTGGAGTAGAAGCACTAGTTCCAGCCTGCGATTTCGATGCCTTCAGTTTGGTCTTTTTCTTTTGCTTTTGCTTACTTTCCTTCTTTTCATCAACTTTGACTTCAGGTAGTACCAAGGGTTTTTTGAAATTGATTCGATCAATCTCGATCCATTCATCCAACCGTTTGTTGAAATCTTGATAATGGACATAAAACACCTTTCTCCCCTTCTTCATATGCTCTTGTAGAATCTCTGCTAACCGTTCTTCGCCATCTTTCCTTGCGTATACTTTACATCCAGGTAAAACGTTATCCACCGTGAATAGGTCTTCCTTGTTTTCATTTTCATATTCATATTCATTTTCATTTTCATTTCCACTATTTTCGGTTTTGATTTGTATTGGTGAGTTGGATATATTCATCTCCTCATCGCCATTTGGCGTCGGATCAGATTTGGTTTCCGTGCTTGGCATGAAATGGAGACTGATTGAGGTAGGAGCAGCTCTGAATGATGGACGGAGTATGACGCCATCTACAAGTAGAACAAGTGTGACGAATTTAATTTTTTTTTTTTTGTTGGTGTGTCGTGCTCCAGTGTCGTGCTCCAGTGTCGTGTTCCAGTGTCGTGCTTCAGTGTTGTGCTCCAGTGTCGTGCTTCAGTGTTGATTTTTTTCGGGTATCATCTTTACGACATTGCATCAATTGCTTACCAAAATATTTGAAATGCGACGACTTTAGAAATATGTATAATACACTTTGCTTGCTACGTTAACCCAATAACGAAGCCAATAATGAGATACACTACTGATCCACGTATCCCAATCAAGAAAGAATTCATTTTCATTTGACCATTTGCAGCAATTAACAAAGGTGACGTATTTTTAGCCGTTTTTGCACGCAGCTTTTCATACACAGGTACACGCCCTTGCCATACCCATTTTACTTCGCAATTTTTACATTCAAATCACACCCTGTGCAAACCCTTAGACGGTTTAACTAAATTTTCTAACCTTGCAATTGCTTGCTACTTCTACTACTTCAAGGAAAAGAGATATAATTTTAGCTAGGTGTTACCCCTTTTACACACACACACACACACACACACACACTCTCTCTCTCTCTCTCTCTCTCTCTCTTTCTTCCCCCCCTTTTTTGCTATCCTTCTGTTGTGTTCCATTCCTGTATATTTTTCAGTTTTGTGATTGTGTCACGTGCACAACCTTAACTTGCCTCTCTCAAACCCACACTTTTTCAACAAACAATTGCCATTGGTCTTTTATGTCCAGTTTTAACAAAAAGTAAACATGTCTGGATTACGTCGCTCAGCTAGAGTTCAAGCCAAGGGAGAGCAACCCGCTACTGCCGCTACTACTGCACCACCACCAGCCAAGAAGGCTAAAACCGAAAAGCAACCACCAAAAAAAGAATTGGATGCTGATGTTGAGGAAATTGAAATTGGCGACGAGATCCCCCGCATCACTTTGCTCAACCAAGATGAGAAAGAGATCAATTTACCTGAAATCGCAAAGGAACACAAGTTCGTGGTGATTTTTGCTTATCCAAAGGCATCAACGCCGGGTTGCACCAGACAAGTGTGTGGGTTCCAAAAGAACTTCAACTTCTTGCGTGATCGAAATGTGGCTGTGTTTGGGCTCTCTGCTGATACTCCAGCTCACCAAAAGAGCTTCCAAACGAAACAAAATGCAGAATATGATCTATTGAGTGATCCCAAGAGGGAATTGATTGGCACTTTGGGAGCCAAGAAACAGCCTACAGGGATCAAGAGATCGCACTGGATCTTTGTTGATGGGGTGTTGAAGGTGAAGAGAATTCAAATTTCTCCAGAGCAAAGTGTTGATGGTGCAAAGGAAGAGATTGAACAATTCATCGCTGCTGAGGCAAGAGGTTCAGGTGGCGATGGCGAAGGCGATGGAAATGGCAGTGAAGTTAAGAAAGACTCAGCTACCAATGGTGATGAAACCAAGAAAGAGCCCATTGAAGATGGCGACATCGAGAGTGTTCCCGCTGCAGCTAGCGAACAAACTGGTGTTGCCAAAACCGAAGGTGAGAAATCATCTGGGGATGCTGTTTCGGAAGAAAAGAAGAAACAAGAGGAGAAAGATAGTGCCTTGTTGTCTTCAGAGCAAGCACCAGAAGTTGCTACCGAAGCCACCACAACAACAGTCTGATTTGAACAGACACATTAAAAATACTATCTTACATACGTTGTTACATAAAAGTGCTCTTAAAATAAATACACACTATTCACAGTCTTAAACCAAATACGTAACAGACTTTAACAAGATCGCAATCAAGATGGCAACTTTGCTAGCCCACCACCAATGCTGCACCGTAAACGAACAGTAAGTGAATGTGAAATTCCATCGATCGTGGTCAAACTCGCCCGTCAAGATACCCGTTTGTCCATCGAAATCACCCATCATTGACTTCACGACAACTTCCCTAACTGGTTGCTTGTGTGACGGTACTGGTATCTTTGATGCAACCCAGGTGCTGTCACTTTCATTGAAATTGTACCATCCATCACAACCTTCATGGTCGTGCCCCGTCAAGATGATTCCACCTTGATCAGCATTAGGGAATGCAATATTGAGCAACTTTTGTGTCGTTTCAAACGACAAGTGGTTCTGTGATCTCAATAAGCCAATCTTGTATGGCTCACGTTGATACGTTTCATCGTAGTATCGGTGCTCGGGCCCATCTCTACACAATCCTGCCCGCTTGTACATTGGTATATGAGTCAACAAGATTGTTGTGCCTTTGAAATTGGGGTTTTCGACATCGCGTAAATGTTCCAAAAAGGACCAAGTATAATTGACAAATTCTGGTTGTAAAGCTGGTCCTTCAAGAGTTAGCGAATCAACAACAACGATTCTCCATTCTTTTGGTGTACCTATATTGTAGTTGATGACATAGTTATTTTGGCCAAACAAATGGTGAAATCTTGCCATATGTTGCCACGTGGCGTCTCCACTATATCCAATATCGTGGTTCCCCGTCAAGTTGATAAACAATGGGTTTTCGAAATTCGGAGTGCGTCGATCTTGATGAACCCAGTCGTAAACATCGTTATAAACTCTAGATTGGAATCGATGTAATGGATCCATCAGTTTTTCATCTTGCAACCATTTGTTCCAATCGTAATCTTCATGTTTAGCATGCACATCAAGCACGTGTTGTTTATACTCTAAATCTCTGGGGAACAACCGCTCAACAAACCGATAAGTTCGATTGTAAAATTCCGAGTCCAAAATCCATTGGCTTGAGAATAAATCCCCCATTACGGCCACATGTGATGGATGCAATCGATTATACATGGTGTTGTAAATATGGCCAAGGTAATAGTCGTTACCGTAGTTGTCCAATCTCTTGATGTATTTCGTCAGTTTCCAATTACCATTGATTTGGGGATCACCGAAAAGCAACATGTGGATCTCATCTTGACTTCGGTTTATAAGAGAAGGTACATCGTCTTCGTTTTTCGATAATCCAGGAACTGCGCGTAGGACCGGCTGGAGGTATTTCTGTGGGATAATATCATCAAGAATGTCGAATTTTGGGGTCAATGCTGGTGAATTGTGCCAGTTGCATTGTTGTGGGTCATTTAGTATGTCGGGATAGAAGTAGACGAATCCATTGAGCCCTATGGCGAAAATTGCAGCCAAGTCTATGAGGGCTCTGATCCGCCGTGATATTGCCATTATATTGGTGCAAATTGTGCTGTTGTATTGGGCGGAGAAGATTGGGTCTCTTTATGAAAGATTTGTTTTTTGGACAGAAGCAAGATTTCAAACATGACACTGCAATGTCGGAACCAGGACACCAAGAGAGGATATACATTGAGAAAAAGAGCTAAAAGCGCCAAATTGAAACAATTACGTCTCAAAGCTACAATTTAAAGTATAGTCGCTTGGACGACTGCACCTCTCACGAGAGAAAGAACCCCATAAATCCAAAACCAAATTGTTCGAATATCTTTTTCATTTAATGTATAGACTCCAGAAGCGAAACACCTCAAACTAATGCGCCTCCTGTTTACAAGTTTTCTCTCAAAGTTTGGTTCAATTTAGCAACCTTGTTTGCAATTGAAACATCAACAATTCTATCACCAACTTCAACAATCAACCCACCTTTTATGTCAGGGTTAACTTCATTCTTCAATTTCAAAGTCTTGCCCTGCCCAACAAAGGAGCTTCCGCCGATGGAAGATTCCAATCTCTTTAAAACTTTCGATTCCAATGGCTTAGCACTGGTGACTTTAGCTTCAACAACCCCATTGTAAGCGTCATTCAACAAACCGAATTTCTTGAAAATGGATGGGAAGTTGCCCAATCTATTATTTTCAGCAAGAACCAAAAGGAAGTTGGCGGTGGTGTTGTCCAATTGTAAAGTGTTGTTGACTTGTTTGACAATGGAAATTCTATCGTCCTTGGTCAAGCCCGGGTTGGTCAAGGCTTCCTCCAATTTTGGGTCTCCCTTGATGACATCTTCAACTTTCTTTAAGGAGTTGTAAGTTTGGTTCATGTCTGATTGTTGAATAGTGGCTGAATATAAGGAATTGGCATAAGTTCCATCGATACCAAACAATTGAATTGGTGGTTTGGAGTTTTTGGGAGCAGCGGCAGCCAATACACGACTTGATGCTAATGAACGGGTGAATACACGGGAGATCATTGTAGACTGTAAAGAAAGAATAAGTATTGATTGATCTCTCTTCTTCTGCTATATAGATGTCAAATGGTGTTGGAATTTTTTTTTTTTTTCGTTCTTCCATCAATTTCTCGCAATTGGTAGCTTCTGTTGGTAGCATTGGACTTATATCATTGGTTTACCAATTTAGTATGTGTGTATGGATCTGTGTGTGTGTGTGTGCTGTTGTAGAGAGGGACTGAAAAATTTTTGATTACTCCAAACAGAAAGGGAGAAAGCATAGAGAAGGTCTGTCAAGATATACAACACTGAGCCTACTATGTTGCCTAGATTGTCTCAGTTGCTCAATAGGTCTAGCCGAATAAGGCTATCCTGTCTAACCAGTATATCCAGTAGCAAAGTGCATCCACATACCCTCATTCCGCAAAGATTCAATTCATCTTCATCCTCTCAACATTCACAACAACAGCAACAACAACAACAATTGACAGAATTGGAGGCTCAGGATATCAAGTACAGAAAACAAAGAGAGCTTTCACTCAGATCAGTCAAGATCAAAAGCTACGGTGATTATTTCCCACCACATACACATCCAGGATCAACCCATTACAAAAAACCAGTTCATGATCATTTACACAAAGGACGCCCAGTTAAGGAGTTGACTGTTCCCAAGAAGAAAACAGCTGGTAGAAACAACAAGGGCCAAATTACAATCAGAGGTAGAGGAGGTGGTCACAAGCAGCGTGTCAGGTTACTCGATTTCCACAGATATGAACTGGGTAAGAACAAAGTCGTACGAATTGAGTATGATCCAAACAGATCGGGTCACATTGCATTATTGGAGAATGCCAACACGGGGGACTTGTCGTACATTTTGGCTCCACAGGGGTTACGTAGTGGAGATGTAGTTGAGAGTTTTAGACAGGGCATTCCTCAAGATTTCATCGAGGAGATGAAACGTACAAACAACGGTGAAATTGATGACGCATTGTTGTCGGCGAGAATTTTACAAAGAGGCAATTGTCTACCATTGAGGATGTTGCCCGTTGGATCCATCATACATAACATCGCGTTACGTCCAGGCAAGAGAGCACAATTGGTGAGAAGTGCCGGAACATTTGGTAAAATCTTGTCAAAACACCCTGAGAAATCACGTGCCATTATCAAGTTATCGAGTGGTGAGCATCGGTATATTCATTTAGATTGTCACGCGACGTTGGGTGTTGTTTCCAACAAGGAGCACCAGTTGATCTCATGGGGTAAGGCAGGTAGGGCAAGACACAGGGGCAAGAGACCTATTACTCGTGGTGTTGCCATGAATGCAAATGACCATCCTCATGGTGGTGGTAGAGGAAAATCCAAGTCAAACAAATTTAGTCAGTCCAAGTGGGGATTGAAGAAGTTCCAAAAGACTAGACTTAGACCTAATCCAAATGTGATTAGAAACAGAAAGGGAAGAATGGTGAGGCATAAGAAGTAAGAGAGAGAGAGAGAGAGAGAGAGAGAGAGAGAGAGAGAGCAACTTGTAAATATATGTAATGCATGTATGAAATACACCCGCAATATAAAGCAAGAGGTGCAAACTTTTCCGATGGTGCATCTTAGTGTCACACACAGAACTGGATTGTAGGTGAAGGACTAACCAGTTGGACCAACTCACAAATCAAATGTCGTAAGATACTAACCAAGACATGTAAATTTCCCGTCACGACTAGCACGAATACGACTATGGCCACGACAATTCCGACGCTGATTGCAATGGGGTAGAAATAGGGCCCATTTCTATGTCGTTCAATTAATCCGAGTATCCATTGTTCCAAGTACCGAAAGACTACTCGACCAATGGGGGAATAACTGTGTTGGTGTTGTATGGGCAACGGTGGCAAACTATGCAAAGACCGTGGAGGTGGATGATGAACAGCAGCAGCAGCAGCAGCAGCAGATGAAGACAATGCATGGTGTGCAATGTGGATCTCTTCTTGTCCTAAATCTATCAAATTGTGGTTGTGATGAGAATGCAATGGATGGATAGGAGTGGTTACGCTAGACGTTATCTCTGCGTCCTCGACTGATATGGGCTTGGTGTCTAGTATTGACAATGCAGGCAAATTCGAAGTTGATTTCGATCTGATTGGAATTTGAGGCGAGGGAAAAGCAACAGTGTGGTATTGTTGTCGTTGCAGGAGTTCATCCTCTGCTTGATCATCTGCCTCAGTTTCATAATGCAGTACTTGATTAGATAAGTCCGGTTTAGTTGACGGTGCAGACATTGATCAAAGTGTGTTAAGGTTGTGCTTTGATAGCATGAAAATTGTGTTGCAAAAAGAAAAGAAAAAATTGGCACACCAAACTGATGACAGGACAGCATCACATCAACGATTGTCCAAAGTCGATAACATCGCGTAGACACGCAAGACTAAAAAGTTAGTGTATGTAGCAAACATATTGCATACCCCTCCTTAACTCTACTCTTCACCTTTCCAGCAGCGCCAAGTAGCATAATTTCTGATAAAATTCATTATTGTAAACCAGCTTCAACTCCGATTTATCAAATTTAGGAAGTGCATCTTTCCCACCCCCACCAGCCACATTCAAGTCAAAATCCTCATAGTCGTAAACTACATACTGAGATCCATTATCATTGACAACCTGTTCCAAAGGCGGGGCACCATCGATTCGCGAAGCCATCAAGTACTCGACACTATACATAAACTTGAATTGCAACACTTGCAAGACACAGTATCGGATTTTAGAATCAATGTAGTTCAACTTGGTTCCAAAATGGGTCTTGATAAATTCGAGTGACAGGAATCTGCAATTGGCCTTGGAAATGGAGATGTAGTTGTTAATGGAGTATGCATTATTATGGAATGGTAAGCCCCCGTGTTGTGCTATATGGTCAAATATGGTTTTGGCGGGAAACACAGCACATATCTTGTGTGTAGAGTCACCCAATATGGCAGTCACGTCTCCATTTGGTGCCAGTTCGCCAAAATCGACAATACGTAGTAGGAAAGTGTTCTTTTCTGTGGATGATGACGAGGAATCGGGGTTGGATGTGAACCATTTGGTGATGTATGGGTCAAGACGCCGAGATCTGTATTTGAGATACTTGAGCAACGTTTTCAATAACCATGTTGATTTGAGGTCCCGGCTGGGGAAATCCTCTTGATGCCGAAACGATCGAGATACTTTGGTAAAGTTTCGAAATCCTTGTTCCTTCCTCTTCTTTCTTCGTCTCCTTCCCGTTGCATGATCCATTGGTTCCTGGCTTAGCAACAGTTGGAAATCTAGTTTGTCTGACTTTTCGTTGATGATGTTGTATGCATCATCATCATCATCATCATCATCATTATTATTATTATTTTTGGCTCTAGTGATTGTCGTTTCCAATTTTTCATGAGTTCGTATAATCTTGTTGATGTCATAGCCGTACTTCTGGTAGAGCAATTTACGTTGGTCCCGGCTGCTGCTGCTGGGAAAGGATGAAGTCCCCATCTTTCGCTTGAATCTGGAAGGAGCTACTGTGGATTTTGCTCCGTATAGCGCTGATTCTTCAAAACGCGTTTCAATATCAAGTGGAAGCGCTGTGGGCACAGTACACCACCACAGTGATGCTCCACCTACATCTCACACTCCTGTACAAAGCTTTTAACAATTTATATACATATATAATCTAAAAACAAACCAACAACATCTCCTGCTCCTCCTCCTGCTTCGCTCGCAAACCTTACACGACATCACTAATGATCTTTGAAGCCTCCTTATAAGTCTTTAGCAACTCGACACATTTCTCACGTTCAGCTTGAATTCCCTCATCCTCCATCAACAACTCATCAAAGAGCGACTCATTGTAGAGTTTAACCACCAACCGATTCTGGATCTGTTGCTTGACGTGATTGACAAGGAGACACATGATGGATTTGGGCACCTGGTCCTGGATCATTTCACGAACGATGCTAAAGTATGAAATGATTAAGCGTCTAATCAATTCACATTCCATTTGTTCACGTTCTGTCAATTCGAGGATGGCGGTGTCGCCTTCAAATGATGTGGATGAGCCGTCGTTGGAGGAGTCGCTGATGGATAATTTGTTGTGGTCGTGGGATAAGTGACCATTGAGTAATGGGGATGCGTTTTGGGTTTGGTACGATTGTTGTTGTTGTTGTTGATGTTGATGTGGATTTTGGATGACGCCGTTATTGACAAACTGAGTATTGAATTGCAAGGTTGTTTCTTGTGGATGTGGGAACTTGAATGGAGTAGGGTGTAATTGTGCTTGCGCTTGCATTTGTTGTTGATGAACAATGGGGTCCTTGCCAAGGAAGTAGTTGAGGTAAGACTCACTTGTTTGTTGGTGGTGGTGTGACGAGGAGGATGATGATGATGGGTGCAAGTGGCTAGCATGGTCGAGTCTAGATCTGTTGGAAAAAGATCTACCGTGTCTTGGCTTATCATCATCAATCTTGTCATCAACTGAATTCAAATCCTCCTTCATTCTTTGAACTGCCTCATCAGTATCCTCCTCATCGTCGTCTTGTTCCTCTTCGTTGTCTGCAGTTTCTTCAATATCCTCTTCAATGGCATTACTCTTCATCTTTTTACCCAAAATCCTTTGCGTAGCCAATCTCAATTTACTATTCAGTTCTTGTTCCTTTTGCTTTTGACGTTCAGCAACCACTTCACTCATGGCCTTGGCAGCTCCAACAAAGTTTGGATGGTTAGTGTTGATATAAGCACGATGGATTTCAATCAATGACTCAACATATTTGATGGTAGGTCCCAATCTTTCTCGAAGCAAATCACTAACAACCTCAATCAATCTGGTTTGCAATTTGGGGTATCTACTCAACTCAGGCCCGATGCTGGATATACAAACATTGTGAAGGATCTTCATCATTTCCTCATAAACCAATTCGACGCATCTTTGCGATGGAGCTTCCAATAAGCTGATTTGTGGCTTCACCAACAAGTCAAATGCCAACTCAGGAACAAACAATGCCGGTCTAGGACCAGTTGAGTTTCTAATTGCAGTACGGATATCTTGGATCGACAAATTGTGAGTAGGGTTGATTGATGCTAAATTCGATCCAAATACTTCATTGTAAATGTAGTAGATTCTAGCACCGCCACACAACTCCTTTGTGTCAATTTCATTGACTGAGTTACCTTCAATAGAATTGATGAATCCATTGGCAAATTTGGTCATGAGGGTGAGGATCATGGCACCTCTTGCCTCTTTGGAATTACCAATATTTGGCAATTCACCATACGAGGCCAACTCATGTTCGGTTTGACCCATCAACGTGTTCAATTTTGCTTTGATATCAGGTAATCTATCTCTAATGTGATTCATCAAGATTTTGTTCAATGTTTGTGCAAGATACTTGGTACCACATTTCTTGGCCATTGCTCTATAAGCAGGATGGTTTGCAAAAAATTGTTCTTCTGAGTACAATGAATCATCCAACGACTTGTTTTCAGAAATATCTTGTTGAGAACGGTTGACAATACCAATGAATCCCAACTTCAATGGGTATACATTCCCCTTCAAAATATCCACGGCATTTGTACCTTGATCCATCAAGTCCAACTTGGTCAAGATCCCCACGGTTCTTTTACCAGTTGGGTCCACTTGTCTTGCCAATTTCAAGGACTCGGAATTGACCAAGTCTACATTGGCAGGAGAGACCGCCAATATAATACAGTTTGGTTTGGAAATATACTCCAAAATCAAGTTTCTAGTTTGGCGTTCAATATCAGTTGGTTGGTCTCCAATGGGGATCTTGGTTAATCCTGGCAAGTCAACTAAGGTTAGGTTCAACACATTGGGGGAATAGATTTTGAGGTTGATTGGTAATCTACTGATCCCTTTGTTTTCCCCAGCAATACGTAAAGTTTCATTTTCAATCTCTTGTCTAATTTCTCTGAAGTTGTAGAAACGTTTATTTGGAATGTGTAGAAACTCGCCCCATTCAACACGTGTGCTTGAGTTTGCACCTCCTTGGGTCGATTTACCAGCGCCACCATTCATTCTTCTAATATGTTCCTCCAAGTCAACTTCTTCCAGTTCTTCACCTTCAGAGTCGTCTCCCTTGCCATTGCCATTGCCATCGCCATCGCCCTCGCCCTCTTCATCTTCATCGTCCTCCTCCTGATCATCTCTGAGATGACTACTTCTCTTTGACTTTTTAAATTTCTTTTGATTTTGTTTTTGTTTTTGTTTCAGCTTCAGTTTCAGGTGTTGTTGTTGTTTTTGCTGAGGATACTTAGTCACAATAGGATCGTCTTCCCTAACATTGATCAACTGCAACACCAAAGGTCTTCGTGTAACTATACCGGTACCTCTAGGTAAAAAGTCTCTACCAACAATGTTTTCAAGCACTGAAGACTTGCCACAAGATTGGGATCCGACAACTGCCAATATGGGTAAGTCGATATCAGCTAATTGAGTGGTGGTTACAATATCTTGCAACTTGTTAACCACAGGTATAAGATCCTGTAAAGACATAGTGGTTGGAAATTGCTTCTCTTTAGTTGACTGTAACAGTATATCTTGTGATGTTAAAAATTGGTCTTTGAGTGGCCAATTCTTTCAGTTTGAGTGAGTGCTCTGTCTGTCTCAGTCTCAGTCTCAGTCTCTATTTGTTTGTTTGTTTGTTTGTTTGTTTAATATTAAACAGTTACAACAGTGAGTGAGATCTTTGAAATTTTTTTCTTTTCTCTATGCTGTTTGTTTTGTCTTTCTGTTTGTCTGTTTGGTTTTAGTTGATTGCTATTGCTACCAATTTTACAATAATCAATGTCACAACTTATACTTCTACGACACAGAACCCACACTACTACATCTACACTACACTGCGGTTAGTTCAGTCAGTAGTAATACCCAACTATTCGCACCAGGGTATATTGTCATCAAATGCAAGAGCTCTGTATCATAATAATACCTGATGGAAAACTCAACCCTTTTGCTCATCACCTTTTTAACCAAATCACATATTTCAGATGTATAGTTTTCCATATACATTGATAGATTAAAGACTCCAAAGTTATTCCACTATAAATCCTCTTGGCATAACTTGGCTAAACATATACATCTATTTCAATGCCAAATCTCTGATACAGGGGGGGCGGAGACTAGAGTGGGTTGCTATATATATTGTTAAAGGACCTTCTTCATATTACCTTTCTCAGAATTTATTCGCAGCCAATCGGGCTTCCTATGAAGATGGAAATTGCACACCTGTCAATATTGTCAAAAGGGTCGTGCAAACATGCACAATTCGACACGCCAACAGATTTGGTCAATTTTTCAACAACCTTAATTCAATTGCATCAGAGACCATTCTTTAGCTTGGTACATATAGCACATACAATCACGACACAGGGCTAGTCACATACCATGATGAGACAGCTTCGTTCCACAATTGGACTCATACTATCCATTGTCACCCTCATTTCAGCTGCAGCAGCAGCGGCTACATCTGCACCAAACTTGTACAATTTTGAACCAACATGGGAAAATCTTCATTATACGCGTTCGATCGATTTGAATAGAGGCTACGTTAAAGAGACGGACTTGATTGATATCAAAAACATTGCATCTGCTCCACAATCGGATTACTACTACACTATAAACGATGGGTTTAACAGCGTAGGTAACATTTCCTACATTGACGTTGTACCTATAGATTCAGCTATTGACATTGGACTTGAAGAGATTGTGCCTAGCCAAGTTTACAAATTGAAATTACCAGCTCCCGTGGCCCCTGGCTCAAATATTGAACTTGAGGTCAACTTTGTCTATGCAAATAAGTTGGAACCTATTCCCAAAAAGATCAAGTTGGATGAAGTGCAACAATTGTTGTACAAGACCAACAAGTTCCCATTCTCGCCATATTTCACCAAGGACTACACGCTTGTGTTGACTGGTATGACAAAAGGACAAGAGATGCAGTTGGCCTTGGATGATTTACCAGATGTTGTTGAGTCGCAAAACACCCCCGATTTGAAACCTAGAGTTGATAAAGATACTCTTAAATACGGTCCCTTGGTGCATGACATTGAGCCCTTCACTTTGAAACCCATGGGATTGATGTACGATCACAATCGTCCAATGACGAAAGTACTCAACTTGAACCGATCAATTTGGATCCCAGCATCAGACATAAATCGAGTTTCGATTGAAGAATATTACGAAATCACCAATACTGGTGCTGAATTAAGCTCGGGGTTCTCCAGATTGGAGTGGCTAAAGGGCAAATATGAAGCTACGAGAAACCACTGGGCATTAAGCCATTTGGAAATTCCGTTAAAGAATCGTAACTTGGATGATTATTACTATACTGATAAAGTCGGAGTTGTGTCAAGTTCGAAAAACATTGCCAATTTCTTAATCTTGCAACCTAGATTCCCATTATTTGGTAACTGGCACTACAATTTCACATTGGGGTGGTCGGAAAATTTAGATTTATTCCTTCACAAATCATCTTCATCATCATCATCATCTGCTGCTGCTGCTGCTGCTAATGAATACATTTTGAAATTCCCGCTTTTGAATACGGTTCGTGATGCAACGTATGACGATGTCTACATTGATTTTTACTTGCCCGAAGGTGCAGAATTTGACCATGTTGATTCGTTGCTCCCTTATGAATCGGTGGCTGTTGATTACGAATTGTCGTATTTGGACGTGTCGAAAGGGCATGTGAAAGTGACGGTGCATTTCAAAAACTTGTTTGATGATTTACACAAGTTGGACTTGTTTTTGACGTATAGGTATAACCGAACCAATCTCTGGGTTAAGGTTGGAAAGATTGCTGGATTTGTGTTTGTGGGGTTGGTTAGTTACTACTTGTTGAATATTTTATAGATTGCGTTCTTAAGTACAAAGTGTGACTCAAAGCAAATGGAAACTTGTCCCACAGTGTAAGATATAAAGCTCATCTTGTGACGTTTCTTGGCCTTTTTTCTTTATCTAAATCTTTGTCTTTTCAACACCATGAATCGAAGTAACAAGATACCTTCCTTCCAAATTAACCCCATTCAACTCCTTGGCTGCTGCCTGGGCCAGGGATAAGTTGTAGAAAATGACAAAGTAGTGGCCCATCTCACTGGGGTTGTGTCGTATTTGATATATGCGGCCAAATGGGGCAAATGTTTCAAATAGCTGGGTGTGTGATGCCGAGAATGAGACGTTTTTCACTGATACTATGGGGAAGTTGTATGATAGTGGCATTACTGCAAGGGGTGGAAGATGTTTGTTGATGATAATTACTGATTCGGATTGTGGTTTAATTTTTTCTGTCACCTTCATCATCTTCACAATGAGAGAAGACTTGACATTTGACCAATGGTTTTATACATTCAGTATATGTATATATATATATATATATACATATAGGTATATCATAAACTAACCTTTCAGAAGCGTCGATTTCCTCTAATATCAGTAATCCTGTCAGCTTTATGCACCTTCCTATAATAAGTGCCTCCAACAATTCCAATCAAAAGCAAGACAAGGAACCAAGGGTAAACTGAACCAGTTTGAACAACTTGCTCAATCTTGACATCATCAGCTTTTGGTTTAGCTTCATCCATCTTGGCACTAGTCTCCAATTCGTTGCCATTTTGCGGATCAGTGCTCAATTTTGCCGTTTCCACATCCACAATAACAATCTGATCCAAAGGCTTGTCGCTGCTATCAGTTTCAACTGCACTTATTCTCATCAATGTGTCAAACCCATCCACCAATTGGCCAAACACCACATGTTTGCCATCCAAATGTGGTGTCTTGTCCACATTCAAGATGAAAAATTGTCCGCCATTGGTGTTTGGTCCGGCATTTGCCATTGACAACCGACCCAATTTGTCATGTTTCAACTCAAAGTTCTCATCATTGAAACGTCCGCCGAAAATCAGCTTGCCCCCCTCGCCGTCGTAATTCCCGCCTTGGATAATGAAATTGTTGATTATGCGATGGAATTGGCTATCCTTGTACCCGTATCCACGAGTCATGGCTGCTAGTTGGTAAAAGTTGTCCACTGTTATCGGACACACTTCGCCAAATAATGCCAATGTCAATTTACCCAAGTGGGTGGATTTGCTGTTGGTGTCAGTGGGCGAATCAGTGGGCTTTTTTTGGCTGATGGTGAATGTCACCTTGTGGGTGACTTTGGGGTCGTTGGCGAGGTGTTTCATTTCATCTTCACTGAGTTGAAACGTTTCTGCTTGTGGGATGGATTGGGGGATTGCGGTTGCTATGACGTAGGTGGTGATGTATACTAGAAGGAGTAGTACAGTTGATGATTTCGGATTCATTTTCGAACTAAATAACCAGTATGCGTATATTTTGCTTGTGTATGGGGAAGGAGGGGGGAGGAGGAGAAGCCTGAACTAATGGCAGTGAAGTGGCGTCGATGTGTCTGAGATAGGGGGGTGAGTTGTGTGATAAAATTCTGGCGCTAAACAAAGATAGAAAAGCAATGGAATATGTGTCACTTTTAAGAAACTTTTCGTGTCTCATGAAACGAAGAAGGGATATATATGTCACAAATACTAAAAATAGAATAGAAGTTTGTACTTTGACATATTTCTGCACTCATTCTATAGCCATAACCAACCTACTCCACAAACTCCTTTTCTCATCAGCATAATTATCTGTAAATGACTATCGCTTCAGAGCATCACTGACTTAGTCGGCTTTGTAGTATAGCGAAGTAGCTGCACCTTCTCAGGGGTAGAAATTATTCACTTGCATACCAGACTCGTACTCAAGAATTCCCAAACCTACATCTCTTTACGTTGTAATGGACAGCCAATTCACTTTAAACAACCTCTTGAAGGCTTCTATTCACCATTAGTCTGGTTGGTTCAGAAACGGAGACGCGTTGATGCAATCACGTGTATATCATGTGACACTTGGTTTATTCTCCTTTTTTAGTTCTCAACGTCAACAGAGAGAGAGAGAGAGAGAAAGAGAGGCAAAAATAAAAAATAAAATAGAAAACTATTCCTCCAATACGAAGCTAGTGGCGAAAAAAAAAAAGGAAGACTACAAGGCTATTCCATCAATTTCATTCCAACCAATTGCATTCTTTTCCAACCATGAACGGAATCAAGGTAGATATAAACCATTTGAAAAAAGGTGAAGTCAATTTAGGTACTTCGATCATGGCTGTCACTTTCAAAGATGGTGTAATTTTGGGAGCCGATTCACGAACTACAACAGGATCATACATTGCCAACAGAGTCACTGACAAACTAACACAGATACACGACACCATCTACTGTTGTCGTTCAGGCTCGGCTGCTGACACTCAAGCAGTTGCCGATATGGTCAAATACTATTTACAAATTTATTCCTCACAATTACCCAATGGACAGAAACCAACTACAAACATAGCTGCCAACGTGTTCCAAGAGATTTGCTATAACAACAAGGATAACTTGACTGCAGGTATTATATGTGCTGGATACGATGACAAGTATGGTGGGTCAGTGTACTCCATCCCCATTGGTGGATCTATACATAAACAAGATTACGCCATTGCTGGTAGTGGATCGACTTTCATTTACGGGTGGTGTAATGAAAACTACAAACCAAATATGGAGAAGGATGAAACTATTGACTTCATAAAGACTGCTTTGGCTGAAGCCATCAAATGGGATGGTTCTTCTGGTGGGGTGATTAGAATGGTTATATTGACGAAAAAGGGGGTTGAGAGGTTGATTTTTTACCCTGATGAGTATGGAGTATTGACACAGAGGAGTGAATAAGTAGCCAAATATACAGAGCGAGATGGTGCGTTTGACTAATTCCATTTGATGTAGTGTCTGTTGATATTAACTCCGGTATAGGCCGTTTTTCATTTTACCCTTTGATAACCGAAAAAATAAAATTTCGCTTTTTGACTCACATACCGAAAAGAGAGAGAGAGAGAGAGAGAGATCTCTTTGAAAATTTTTAAAAAGACGAAAACTCCCCCGGCTAAGGTAGAACTACAAGTCTAACCCACTATTCCGTTTCAATATCCACCTCATCAACAATGTCTGCCCCATTAGATTCTTCCAAGTTGGAAATCACCAAAACCTCTAACCCAAAAGAGCCCTTACCAAACTCGGAATTGAAATTTGGTCAATCATTCACCGATCACATTTTGGAAATTGACTGGTCTGCCGATTATGGATGGCACATACCCACCATCAAGCCATACCACCATTTTGCCATGGACCCAGCTACTTGTGTATTGCACTACTCATTTGAATTGTTTGAAGGGTTGAAGGCATACCGTGATTCCAAGGGACAAATCAGGACATTTAGACCAGACAAAAACATGGAGAGAATGAATAGATCAGCCAAGAGAGCCGCATTGCCCACTTTTGATGGCGAAGAGTTTTTGAAGTTGGTTGACAAGTTTTTGCTTTTGGAAGAAAAGTTTGTGCCCCAGGGTAAAGGGTATTCCTTGTACTTGAGACCAACTTTAATTGGTACATCCGTAGGCTTGGGTGTAACCGCACCAACCAAGGCCAAGTTGTTTCTTATTGCATCACCAGTCGGACCATATTTTGGATCTGGATTCAAGCCAGTGTCGTTAGAAGCTACTGATTATGCCGTTCGTGCATGGCCCAAAGGTGTTGGTGCCTACAAATTGGGTGCCAATTACGTCTCCTGTATTGAACCACAAACTGAAGCTGCCAAAAGAGGACATTCCCAAAACTTGTGGTTGTTTGGAGAAGATGGCGAAATCACCGAGGTTGGAGCCATGAATGTATTCTTTGCATTCAAGACTGATGATGGGAAATCGGAATTGGTTACTCCGCCATTGGCAGGTATGATTTTACCTGGTGTCACTCGTGATTCGACTTTGGAGTTGGCTAGAGAGAAGTTGGCTGGTTCGGGTGACTGGATCGTTAGTGAACGTAAATTGACCATACATGAAGTTAAGGAAAAGGCTCAAAAGGGACAATTGATTGAAGCGTTTGGTACTGGAACTGCTGCGATTGTTGCTCCAATCAACAATATTGAGTACCAAGGTGAAGCCATTACTGTGCCTACTGTTGCTGGTGGAAGTGGTGAGGTTACTGCTAAAGTTTGTGAATGGATTCAAAATATTCAATATGGTGATGAAGAGTTTAAGAATTGGTCTAGAGTAGCAAAGTAAAAAGGATGTGTACACCTTTGGTAAGTCTATAGAGAAAATTTTATGCGTATTGAAAGAGATAAATGAAGTTGCATTTGTAGAATAGGCGTCTAAGTTTTCGGTGTAGTCCGCTAGAGCTGACTTCTCGGAGGACAGCTCTAGTTTCAAGTGAACAATTTGTGGGGTAATGCAGATGCAAACTGTGCAAAAATTTGACATGCACTTCCAGCAATCCCAACTTAGATCGGGTTACGGGTGAAGAAAGATTACAGTGGGGAGTGGAGTGGGGGAGGGGGGAGGAGGAGAAGAAAATGAGGGTAATGTTTTGGTACGGCGTTTTCAAACAGTTTTCAGATTTTATGTTTTGTGTCCGATCTAAGTAATTTGTTTGATGCAGGTTCAAATTCGTCGTATCAGTTTCCATTTCATCGTCTGCTGAATTGTTTCAAGGAAAAAGTGACAAAGTTGGTATGATCTTAAAGAAAAGGAGAGGTGAGTTGGCTTTGATAGTTTGATCTGCTTGCCGCGTTAATGGCCTGCCCTATTGCAATAACAGTTTCTCCGTTTCAAGGCATTCTGACAACAAAACTTGCTAGTTTTTACATCTTGTACATATACCGAGGACAGATTCGAAGGACAAAATTACAGGATAAAAATGGAACGACCATTCACGAAATCGAGGGTGGCCGCCGATGCAGGGATCAACATTTCTTTTCAAACTACCACAGCAACCAACCCGTACTTCTTACAACTAAGTCAATGAAATGACCCTCGTTTGAGTTTACCTCTTTTTCTCTCCATTGTTGCTCCGTCGGAACAACGACAGCATTTCTGCTGCCCAGTTCCCAGTTCTGAAGTGGCAATTTCAATCTGCCACAGGGCGTAGTAATTTTTCAAGGACTAGATAGAACAAGGGAAAAATATATGACATTTCCGCCACCGCCACTACCAAATAAGAAATTCTGTCTCTCTCTGTGTTAAGCTTTATTTTAGCCTGACATCAGTAATAAGGCGACCAAGAGAAATTCAGCAGAGTTTATCATATGCACCTCGGGTTAAAAAACTATCCAGAGAGCAAAAGCAACAAGAACGGAACGCGGAAATATGCATGATTCCAACGCTGTGTTCAGCAAGAATGAGATGGTCTCTTAATTTACTGCTTGTGAATAATTGGATTAACTGTACCAGACCAAGGACCTATATCATCACCACGCATGTTCCAACGTGCTTCATGGATCTCATTGTCTACTTCTTGTTTGAGTGATTTGAAATTACGACTGCTGGCGTATTTTGTGTGTCAAAATCAGTATCAGTTTGAACAACAATTAATTAACTTACATAACCCATTAGGTAATATGAAACAAAGAGAAAAAAAAAACAAGCCCATACGGCATTTTGGTCACTTTTCTCATTTCCAGCCATTATCAGAGTACACAAAAGAGAGCGTCTTTTTAGCGCCGCACAGACGAGATTTTGTAAGACTTATTGTATGTGGTGTGTTGGTTACGCAGTGTTCGCTTGCTTGCTTGCTTGCTTGCTTCTTCTTCTTCTTCTTCTTCTCCATGTTTCTGAATTTCCACTTCAAGTAAGTGAGCGGTAAAAATATCATCGCAGTGAAGGGGTGCAGATCTACCACATGCTTATTGCATCCACTACAACCTGGACATCTATGTTTTATTGCTTTTACACTGAGCTCCATCTTCGGACCATTTTGCTCCTATCTATCTTACAACATCTGAATATAGTGGTAGTCCCTTTTTACCTTTATCAGGAATTCAATTTTCGCAGCTGATAAGATAAAAATGAGACAAAAGAAAAAAAAAGAAATAACAAAAACAGAAAACGCCCATAAAGCACATACGCATGTATTACATAAAATTTCTATCGTATCTGTCAGTAACTAACTAGGTTTAATCTATCATGCATACCAAAGCTCACCTTATTCCTGTCTGTCGTTTCTACTCTTTCTTTTTTTTCCGATTTTTTTTTCTTTGCCTTTGCAAACGTTTCATTTGATTGGACAAACGTATCTCAAATCAGGCGTTTGAAATAATCCCTCATCATTTATCAATTTCTTTTTTTTTTTTTGTTTGTTTGTTTTATTGTTGTTATCTATTAATTCGAGTATTGATTCAAAACTAAACGTCCCCCTCGCCTCTCCTCTCGTCTCGTCTTCTCTACCATTCAATGCAATCAATAATGGAAATATAAATACACCAACGAATCCCGTAAAACTCCCTCGAAGGTTATAGATTATTTTTTTTTTTTCGTACTCTCTACATCACACACATAATACTCAAACACACCAAGTATGCCAGAGAAGGAATTAAACTACATCACCTCGCGTGAGGTGGCTGGGTCTGATGGCAAGGACGGTGGAGTGTACATTGACGCATTTGATGCTCAAGATTCACAACCACCTTTGAAGGGATGGGCCAAGTTCAAGGACAGTTTCAAAAGGGCCGACACTGATGCCATGGGCATTGACCCCAACTTATCTGAGGCGGAGAAGATTGCCATCTTGACTGCAAACTCCCCCTTGAGCAAGTCATTGAAGAATAGACACTTGCAAATGATTGCCATTGGTGGAAGTATAGGTACTGGTTTGTTTGTTGGTTCGGGAAGTTCGTTGCATACTGGTGGCCCTGCTGGTTTGCTTATTGCTTATATTCTTATAGGTACCATGATTTACTGTACCGTGCAATCGTTGGGTGAATTGGCCGTTACTTTCCCTGTGTCTGGTGCTTTTGTTACTTATAATACGAGATTTATTGATCCCTCGTGGGGTTTCGCTATGGCTTGGAACTATGCTATGCAATGGCTAGTGGTGTTGCCTTTGGAATTGGTGGCTGCTGCCGTGACGATCAAGTTTTGGGACACGACGACTAACTCAGCGGCGTTTGTGGTGATTTTCTACGTTTTGATTATTGCAATCAACTTTTTCGGCGTTCGTGGATATGGTGAAGCTGAATTCATATTCAGTGCCATTAAAGTCACTGCGGTTATTGGGTTTATCATCTTGGGTATTGTATTGGCTGCTGGTGGATCTCCAAATGGACGTGGATACATTGGCGGTAAGTACTGGCAACATCCTGGTGCATTTGCCAACGGGGTCAAGGGTGTCATTACCGTCTTTGTTGGTGCTGCTTTTGCCTTTGCCGGTACTGAATTGGTTGGTTTGGCATCTGCTGAATCAACTAACCCAAGGAAATCATTGCCAAAGGCTTGTAAGCAAGTGTTTTGGAGAATCACCTTGTTTTACGTCATTTGTTTGACCTTGGTTGGTATTTTGGTTCCATACGACAACAATGATTTGTTTAATGCTGAAAACACTGCCTCTGCTTCCCCCTTTGTCATTGCTATCAAGTTGGGTGGTATTAGTGGATTGCCATCAGTTATGAATGTTGTTATTATGGTTGCTGTCTTGTCAGTTGGTAATGCCTCCGTTTTCGGTTCTTCGAGAACTTTGGCTGCATTGGCTGCATCCAACCAAGCACCAAAGATTCTTGGTTACATTGACAGACAAGGTAGACCATTGGTTGGTATCATTATCCAATTGGCTATTGGAGCCTTGTGTTTCCTTGCCGCATCACCAAAACAAAATCTTGTCTTTAACTGGTTGTTGGCCTTGTCTGGATTATCATCAATTTTCACTTGGGGATCCATCAACTTGTGTCACATCAGATTCAGAGCAGCATTGAGATCCCAAGGTAGAGATACTGGTGAGCTTCCGTTTGTGTCGCAAGCTGGTTGGGTTGGTGCTTATTGGGGTATGCTTTTGAACTTGATTGTCTTGTGTTTGCAATTCTGGATCGCTGTCTGGCCATTGGGAACGAAACCAAATGCCAATGATTTCTTTATGAACTTTTTGACTGTGCCAGTTGTTCTTGTGTTTTACGTTGGTCATAAGCTTTGGACCAGGAATTGGAAATTGTATTACAGAGCCAATGAGATTGATATTGATACTGGTAGAACTGATTTGGATTTGGACTTGCTCAAACAAGAAATTGCTGAAGAAAAGGCCATCATGAGCGCCAAACCATGGTACAAGAGACTCTATCACATCTTCTGTTAAAGGAGAAGTGAATGGAAAAGAAAAAGAAAAAAAAAAAAACAAGGAGGAGATGTGTTAACGATCGATGATGCACAAACAACAAATTGTGGAGCTAGTCACTGCTTGACTGTGAAAAGCTTCTGTATTATTTTAGTTCTTAGAGTATAAAGTATTTGAAAATATACGTATATATATATATATATATTATTCACAACGAGTTGTTACCATAGAGAAGAGGATCCCCTTGCGATTATCTTTATTGGATGTGTACTTTGGCCCTGGATGCTATCATTTGCCACAAGACCAACTGTCCTGAGCGATAGGAAGATTAAATAAAGATAAGAAGCAAGGCTTCTTGTTGTACTTTGAAGCGTGGAGCTAACTTGAGCCGTGTGTAGTTGTAAGTTCTATCAAAAATCAAGTTAGTGCAATCTTGTAGCCACCTTCTATTATTAGAATGCAACTTCTTTCCATTGCGGTGTTGATCTTTGTGATATGGTTCGGGGACACCGAAGCTCGTGCCGAGTCTAACATTGTAACATTGTCCTACTGCAGTACTTTGTTTGTGTAAACAAATTAATAAATCTGGGGTAACAAAGAAAAAACCGGCGTCGTTTCACACGGCGATTTCATTTAAAAAGGTCAAAAGTGCCCAAATTTTAAGTTTTTTTAAAGCGGAGATGATCGAAGAGGGGATAAATTACACACACACACACACACACACCGCTAACAGATCCCGGTCAGTGTGTAACCGGAAAAAGAGTCAGCTGTGGTGAATCGTTTGGACTGTGGAAGAGAAGTGGGCTTATACAAGATAAAGGGCTTTTTGAAATTCATGTGCTGCCTCGGAAGACCATCCCAAATGGGAGCTTATGTATCGCGTCATCAAAAGTTTGCACCAAAAGTTACTTGAACGAAAGTTTTACTTTTGTACGACATAGATCCAGATGCAACAAAAGAAACGTTTGACGTGTTTTTAAAAACGCCGTCCAATTGAAACACCAAAAAAAAAAGGTGGCAAAAACATCACACTAAAAGGAGTGATTCAGAGTGTAAAGCGAAGCTTTAGCTATTGCTCTCACCAAATGTAAATAAAAAGAATATTGACTGGTGTTGCTGCTGCTGGTAGTAGTAAAAACAGAAGCAGTCTATTAGTTCGTCTGGTAACCTCCAAAATTGGCACAACGCAAACGTAACAAATATAAGCCGTATGCATCCGGAGTCGCTGCAGAAGAACTTAACCCACTCTGCTTTCACCCTTCTTTGCGTTCAGAGTTGTGTTCCTACAGCAACGAAGCCAGATACGCCATATCGGAATCCGCTTCAATAATGTTTAATCACGCGACATATCTATCCCTTCTTTACTCTCGTGACCATTGGTGCTTTATGGCAATAAAAAGAAACAAAAGCGATTGAATTTGATAGCTTTCGATATAAATTGATTTCTGAATTTCTTTTTCTCTTTCTTTTTCTCTTTTTGCTCCATGCATCGGAATGACACAAAGCTGCTGGCATAGCAAAAAAAAACAAAAAAAAAATGCAACCCTTTTGCAATACATCAAAATATACAAGAAACCACAATGTCTTTTTGTTCTAATTCATTCAAAATGCCCTTCAAGGGAAAATTAATTAATAAAAAAGAACAAAACAAAAAGTGGACAAAACTGGTAATTGATTTCTGTTGTGTTCAGGCTAGGTGAAGATGCGTTTGCTTGATGCCTGTCGTGGTAATAATGGTGCATTATGCCTTTTGCTCATTTCTTTTTCATTTATCAATGACAAATGACGAGCTGCTAAAACAAAGACATAAATAAAAAAAAAATTTCTATTTTGACAAATACATACATGCATAGTATCTCCCCACTTTGAACTAAATCCCTCTGTCTCCTCAACTCATCTGCTTATTTCCTATTTTTAAAATAAATCCGTCTATTTTTGCAATAAATAGGCTTCGATTTTTCTTGTGGAAAAATTGCTTTATTTTACATTCGCCATCTTTCCCCCTTTAATCCAAGACATTTCCTTAACTTGTTGAAGATTCTTGGCTTTTTACTCAAATAATAACAATGTTGGAAAATAAGGATCATATACAAGCTGCTGAACAGCAGCTGGATGTCGCATTCACATCGTCGTCTGATGCAGCACCATCTGATGAAAAACTTCACAATATCGTTCAAACTGACTCCATCGACGAGGAAACCAAGGTCAAGAAAGCCAACTCAAACGAATTAAACTACATTGACGATTCACTTGGAGACGAAGACGAAGGCAGAGAACCAACTGAACATGAAATGAAAACATTGAGACACGTTGCTGATAGAATCCCATATGCAGCATGGTTAGTTGCTGTTGTTGAGTTGGCGGAAAGATTCTCGTACTATGGACTATCAGCACCTTTCCAAAACTATATGCAACATGGACCGCATGATCATCCAAAGGGTATGTTGGCATTGAAACAACAGGGTGCGACTGCGTTGTCATACTTTTTCCAGTTTTGGTGTTATGTCACTCCTATTTTCGGTGGATGGATAGCTGATACGTATTGGGGTAAGTACAAGACCCTTTTCGTTGCGTGTTTTGTTTACATTATTGGTATTTTGATCTTGTTTGTTACTTCGATTCCATCCATCACAAGCAGAAACACGGCGCTTGGTGGATACGTTACTGCCATTATTATTATTGGTGTTGGTACTGGGTTGATCAAGTCAAATGTTTCTCCGTACTTGGCTGATCAAGTACCCAAACGGAAACCAAGAATTTCCATTAGGAAAAATGGTGAACGTGTTATTGTTGATCCAAACATTACTGTGCAAAACATCTTTTTATGGTTTTATTTGATGATTAATATTGGAAGTTTGTCAGTTATCGCCACTACTGAATTAGAAGCCCATGTTGGATTCTGGGCTGCTTATTTGCTACCATTCTGTTTCTTTTTCCTTGCATTGATCTCGTTGGTTGCTGGTAAGAACAAATCAGTTGATATCCCAGTATCAGACAGGATCATTAGCAAAACTTTCAAATGTGCTTGGGTTGGGTTAACCAATGGGTTCAACCTTGAAAATGCCAAGCCCTCAGTTCACCCAGAAAAGGAATTTCCATGGACCGACCATTTCGTTGAAGAAGTGAGACGTGCGTTGTATGCGTGTAAGGTGTTTGTGTTTTACCCAGTATACTGGGTCACTTATGGACAAATGTTGAACAATTTTGTTTCTCAAGCAGGGCAAATGAGGGCTCATGGTTTGCCTAATGATTTCTTACAGGCTTTTGACTCGATTTGTATCATTATCTTTATCCCAATCATGGAGAGATTTGTCTACCCATTCATTAGAAGATTCACCCCAATGAAGCCAATCACCAAGATCTTTTTCGGATTCATGTTTGGTACCGGTGCCATGATTTATGCTGCTGTTTTGCAACACTACATTTACAAATCGGGCCCATGTTACGATGATCCTTCATCGTGTCCAAATGGTAACAATATCCACATTGCTTTACAAACCCCAGCTTATTGGTTGATTGCCATGTCGGAGATTTTCGCATCTGTTACTGGGTTGGAGTATGCATACACTAAAGCGCCCGTGTCCATGAAGTCTTTCATTATGGCTCTTTTCCTTGTTACTAATGCATTTGGTTCTGCTATTGGTATTGCCTTGTCTCCCGTGAGTAAAGACCCCAAGATGGTTTGGACTTATACTGGTTTGGCTGTCGCTTGTTTTATTGGTGGTTGCGCATTCTGGGTCATTTACAGTAGTTACAACTCAAAAGAAGATTCATGGAATGAGTTGGAGTATGAGAATGAGTTGGATGAAGCTGTCTTGAGACCTGTCCATTCTTTGGCTCACTCAGTAAGGAGTATTTGAAGGTGTTTCATTGGAGTGTATTTGTATAACGTGTTTTAGAGAAATGATTACGATTACGATGAAAGTTCAATGTCGTTCTATTCTATATGGCTTTTCTATAACTTGTCTAAACTTGCCAGTATCCAGGGAACAAGAAGTGCATCTTTTCCAACAACTCCTTCTTAACCCCATGAGGACTAGTACTAACGGCAAACTTCATTGACCCTTGTATATCATCACCAATTTCACCTCCCTTTTCAGCAAATTCATCAATCAATTTCGCAGCCAATTTACAAGCATTGGCGGAATTGGCCTTCAAATTGCCAACAACCGTTTCCACAGTGACTGGTTCTTCACTCTCATTCCAAGAGTCGTAATCGGTCGACATACAAATCATTTGATACGCAATTTCAGCCTCTCTTGCCAATTTGGCTTCAGGTAAAACAGACATATTGATAATGGATCCACCCCATGAGCGGTACAATTTTGATTCAGCACGAGTGGAGAATTGAGGTCCTTCCATACATATCACAGTCAAGTCTTCGCCCTTGTTGGTGTGTTCTTTAGTATGCAATGTTGGATTGGCATCCTCCTTGTCGAATCCTTCAAGGAACCCCTCTGAGGGAATGGCATTGGCAATGAGTGAGTTCAATTTCAAATCAAATGGTTCACCAAACATTGCATGAGCCACGAACCCCTTTTCGAAAAAAGTCGATGGTCTGATCCCTTTAGTTCTATCGATGATTTGTGTAGGCAACACAAAATCTCTAGGTTTGATCTCTGGTTGTAAAGATCCCACCGCTGAAAAAGCGACAATTGCCTTGACTCCCAACTTTTTCAACGCGGCAATGTTGGCTCTTGAGGGGACATCACTAGGCAACAAATCGTGATGTTGCCCATGTCTTGCTAAAAACGCAACAGGGAAACCCAGTTCAGTTTTGGAAATGGTGATTGGACTAGATGGGAACCCCCATGGAGTACTGATGGTCAACCTTGCGATGGGATGCAAGTTTGGCAAATCGTACAATCCTGTACCGCCAATAACTGCAAGAGTCACTTGACCATCGTAGTGGTGTGGCAATTGAGTAACGTCAATTTTCTCTCTATGCACAGACATGTTGAACAGTTTTGATGATAAATTGGGTCGGGGAAACTTCTTCACCATACACTGGGGAGGTAACAGGTGCAGAGGGAGTAATGATTCAATTGGATTTACCTAAAAGAATGGACGAGATTTTGTCAATGCTTTTATATATATTTTTTTTTTTTTTGGTCCACCAAGAAACCCACGAGGTTTGAAAAGAGAAAAAAAAAAACATATTTCAGTGCATCCTGCATATAGAATGAAATATTCGGAGATAAGCAGAAAACTGTGGCCAACGTTTTAGTCACAATGTCGTATTTGAAAGTGTTGTGACATTAAAGATATACGACACTCCATGGTCGTGTAACATTGCACAATTTCCGCACTACTGTAAAGAAATTTTCTACTCTTTGTCTCTCAATTATTTTTTTTTTTCTGTTTTATTGTTGTGTATTGTATGTTGTTTGTATGTGAGTGACTTGTTCTGCTTCTTATTTGCCTCTTTCAATAACACCAAAGGCTATCACACTTTTTCTGTCTTTAGAGCAACAATGTTGACAACTAGAACCTGTTTGAAATTGATACCACTGATATCTCAATCCACGAACTTTTCGATACGAAGTTTATCTCACACTACAAAGCCAGTTGCTAACAAGAAGCTTTATGACAAGCCTAAATCGAAATCAAAAGAAGAACGAAAGATTTTTGGACGATTAAAAGATGCTAGTGGGACAGAAACAGACGGGAATTCAACACCAAAGGGTTCCATCAGCTCTTCTCCCGAGAAACCAGCACAGTATCTCCCCACATCGACTTTACCCCAAATGCCAAAACACTTGCAAGAACAATCCCTTGAATCGATATATGAGTCACTTGGTCAAGGTTATATTCTTGATCGAATAAAGCAACCAAAGGGGATTGATCTTGTTATTCCACCCGAGTTTATCAAACCTCCACAACCACCCAAGCGCCATGTGCGTCCAGAGAAGACGAAAGATTTGGACAAGAAAATCAAGAATTTCATAGCTGGCGAACATGATGATCGTAGTTTGATCCATTTGGGTAAGGAGATTAGTGCTCATATGGAACCTGATCATAATGAAATATACCCAATCTTGGAACATCCTTTGAAGAAGTCATTGTCTGGTTTGAAAGTTCTCAATCCGGCAATGAACAAAATCAAGGATCAGTTCTTGTGGGACATGATCCCCGAGGAGAAATTTGCATTCACTCCACCGTATCAGGTTGATAACCCCTTGGGGTTCAAGCAGTGGGAAAAGGATCTTATTGCTGAGCGTGAAAAGGCTAAACAGGAACAGGATTTGATTATGAAGGAATTGCAGGAGTTTGAAAAGTTGATGGGCGATGCCAAATCTTTTTTTGGAAAGAATACGAGTGAGTCCAATAAGAGTGATGATGCATCGGATGGTGGAGCTAGAGGAAGTAGAAGAAAGTTGAATCGAAAGTTGTTGAAAAAGTACAAGAAGTTGAAGGATGAAGGAAAGATTGACATTGATTAGAGATGTTGCATACAGATTTTGTTAATGATGAAACGTATGTGGAGTTTATGAGAAATTAACAATGTAGTTGTTTATAGAGTTTGCGGTACAGACGTAAAGTCCTACTTCAACAACAAAGTCTACAATCAGTCTTTAAATTTTTTAAATCTCATTTAACAAAATAAGTCTATTACAACAGTAAAGCTCTCAACCTGACAGAAAGCCTACACACAACATTTGAAAAGAGAAATTCTCAGTATAACAAGATACACATCCTCCTGATCTACAACGTTAAAACATCATCAAATAGTACCTGGCACTGTTCTCATCTCTCGCTAATACAGTATCCGAAAGACGGGAAACCAGTGTCTCTCATAATGACACCTGATGATCAATACCTTTTCTCTTTCATCTCAAAAGGCATCACTAGAAAATCACTTGATAGGTAAGTATTGAAGATAAGTGATGAACAGTTGAGATACTAGAGGATAAAAGAGCAAATAAAATAAAGAACAAGTGGGGAGTGGAAGGAAGGGGGGGAAGAAAAAGGTTTTAAACAGAAGAACATCTCTTTGGATAAATTCCCCACACCTGGTCACCTGACTATCACAATTCATTGCTCTCTTGACTTTCTGACTACTCTCAACCCTTACACAGGCTACTCTTAGTATTGCCAACAGATCCTTTTGTTGGAGTATAAGTGAATGTGCCTAATTGGAGTGAAACATTTTCACGGATCCTATACACCAAACTCAAGTACATGCAACAAATTTGCGTCCCCTACTATTGCAGCAGCATCTACTGATGCTGAAGTATATGGCTTGTCAAGGTTTAGTTGCATGAAACAGAAAGTAGCTCTTTAATACTTCGTTATGCTTGTTCCCCCCCTCCCTTTCGAGAATGTGCTCCCCCATACAGTTGCTCTAATTTTGTTGCAATTTCTATCTCCACCAAATGATTTTTCGCAGTCAAATGGCATTACAATAATTTCCCTTCAACAATGGTTGCCGATCCAACTATGCCACCACAAGTGGAACTTTCACCAGTCAATAGGGTCTACCATACAGCATCGCCAATCTCAAGTCCCACGCACCAACGTCAACTTCAACTTCAACTCACCAACCACTACAAATACATCCAATCAAACAACAACAATATCGCATCCACAATCCAAGTATTGCCAATCACTACCTCGAGCTCTTTTGAAGTCCCATCTCCTACCCACTCATACCCACTTTCAGTCTCAGTAACCCCAGAAGCCCCATCACTTGTATCTCCTCATGATCCACCCTACGACGCTGACTTGTACTACCCGCAACGAAGCACAATTAGACCAAGAGGAGCTTCCTTATTCAGTAGAGATTTGTTTGATGAGTATGTGGGTAGTCGGTATGACAGGTTCAGGCCAACTGAATCTCAACAAAACAATGATGTTGTCATGAACAACATGCATCCTTTTCAAAGAGACGATTATGGAGTTGTGCCAAAGACGTTTCTTGAGAGTTTTGCATCGTGGTTTAAATCAAAGCCACCAGTGACAGTACTCGATTTGGAAATGCAACAACAACAACAACAACAACAACAACAACAACAACAACATCGCAATCCAGATGATGAAGAAGAGAAGAGTGAATCCCTTGGAAACACAATTCTCGTTAATCAAGAAGAAGATGCTTCGCCACATCCAGTATACACACCACGAGGAATCCCCATTAATGAATTTGTGCTCAATTATAATAAGCCAGTTGGTGATTCCAACCTTGGTGAAGAGACAGAGAGAAGAACGGCAATTGTCAACCTGTTTGACGAACAAGTTCGTGATTTGGTTGATGGGCTGGATAATTTCTTAACTTCCTGTTTCGATGGGATTTGCACCATTGTTGATGACTCTATTGACTATTGTTTGAACTTATGCTGAAAAATAAATCGTTTATTATTATTCTTTTCGGCAATCTAAACACTAAAGTTTTATTCTGCTGCATCGGCAAACTTCTCTGAAATGTTGGTCAACAACTCGCCAAACTCCTTTTCACCTTCTTGTTCACCTCTACTTGGTTCAAAAAACTTGGCTGAGGACACAGCATGCTTCACGTCACTAGTGGCTTCCGACAACTTCGACCATTGTGCACCATTAGCAACCGCCTTTTGTGCCTCGTCATAGTACGAGATGAATGCCTTCATCATGTCAAAAGTCTTCCAAATAGGACAGAATGCATCATAAGTGGAATACCCATTTTGTTGCAAGAAATCCTCCTTGATCAAAGCAGCAACATCCAATGTAATCTTGTCGGAATCACTCAAAGCCGATTTACCAACCAACTGAACAACCTGTTCCAATTCTTCAGCATTGGATAAGATTTCCTTAATTTTGTTTCTCAATTGTGGGAATTCAGGGTAGTTTTTATCGTAATAAGTGTTCAACACATTGGTGTACTTGGAATACGAAACAGCAGTATTTATCGAAGGGAAATGCTTCCTTTGTGCCAACTTCTTATCCAACCCCCAAAACACTTGTGTAATACCCAAAGTTGATGTGGTGACGGGATCCGAGAAATCACCACCTGCGGGGGAAACAGCAGCAACGATGGAAACCGATCCAACTCTATCTGGGGCACCCAATGCAGTGGCTTTTCCGGCTCTTTCATAAAACGATGCCAACTTGGCACCCAAATATGCAGGGAAACCTTGGTCAGCAGGCATTTCACCCAATCTACCGGAAATTTCTCTCAATGCTTCCGCCCAACGTGAGGAGGAATCAGCAATCATCGAAACATTCTTACCTTGATCTCTGAAATATTCAGCTAAAGTGATACCAGTGTAAATGGAGGCTTCTCTGGCAGCAACAGGCATATTCGAAGTGTTGGCAACCAATGTAGTACGTTTCATAATTGGTTCTTTTCTTCCATCAATTTCAGTAAACAATTCTGGAAACTCCATCAAGACTTCAGCCATTTCATTTCCTCTTTCTCCACAACCCACATAGATAATCACATCTGAGTTAGAGTATTTCGACAATGATTGCGAAATAACAGTTTTACCACATCCAAAAGCACCAGGGATACAAGTAGTACCACCTTGAACGCATGGAAACAACGAGTCCAAGACCCTTTGTCCTGTCAACAACGGGTAATCGGCAGTTAACTTTTCAGCAACTGGTCTCGGCACTCTGACTGGCCAAGTGTGCATCATGGAGTATTTATGCTTTTTCCCATCAAACTCCAATTCCAAAACTGTATCTTCAACATTGTACGAACCGGGTTCAGCAATGGAAGTAATGGTACCTCTTGCTCTAGGTGGGAGCAAAATTTTGTGGTCATCCAACAACGAGTTTTCGTAAATGGACCCAAAAATATCACCACCAGTAATGTGATCGCCAACTTTCAATTGGCCCGGTTTGAAATCATATTCAGCAGTTCTCGACAACGATGGCACATCCACACCACGTGGGATATAAATCGACTCAGTCTTTTCTCTAATCGATCTCAATGGTCTTTGAATACCATCGTAAATAGTGTTCAACAACCCAGGACCCAATTCAGCACACAATGGCGCACCAGTTCTCAAAACAGGGTCACCAACAGTGACACCGGCAGTCTCTTCATAAACTTGAATGGTGGCCTTATCTCCATTTATTCTAATCACTTCACCAACCAAGTTGTCGTGTCCGACTTTCACCAACTCGTACATCGCACACCCTACCATGTTCTCTGCAACGACAACTGGTCCTGACACTGAAAAGATTTGTCCATAGTGGTGTTCCTTGTGGTCGTCGATTGAAAGGCGTTTGATTTCCTTCCTTGCGTTTTCTAAAGCACCAGCCTAAATTAGTGGGGATGGAGTTAGTATACAATTGAGCCTGTTGATACATTGTTGGAATTGGAAGACACATACCATTGTTGTTGTTGTTGTTGTTGTGATTGTGGTTGTGGTTGCTTAATTTTGATGGATTGCTATAGATGTCTACGTATGGCGCTGTATCTTTTGTAATTTAGTTCGACGAAATTTGCAAACAGCGAAAACGCACGAGAGAGAGAGAGACAGAGACAGAGAAAGTCGTTCATCTACCAATTTCCTTTATCAAAAAGCCCAGAGTACATTTATTCAACGTAGCTCTCTTCTCCTAATAGCTCCCTATATTACCGCTATTTACAACTTCACTTCCAACTTGGCTGCTCTATCTAATGCTATGTCACACATAGCATCAAACGCCTCTCTCTTCTCCAACTCAATGTCATTTCGCTTGATCCGTTGTTCCATATTGACAATAATTTCATCTCGGCTTCTTCCATTAACAAACACAACATATCTCAATCTAGGAAACGTCTTTTCATACCTCTCATTAAGCTCAGCCAATCTCTTTTGCATCTCTTCACCACCCAATTTCTTTTGCTCCTCGGCTGAATGTTGGCTCAATTGGGTCGTTTTAGGAGCTCCCAATCTCGGATGGGCTGAGATTATATCATTGATTAAAGTGTTGGCTTCGTATCCGTTTCTCACTGCGTAGAAGCCGTTGCGGTTGGCTAGAATATGTAATTCGGAGCGAACTTTGTTGATGAACTGGGGCCAAGATTCATAGTTTTTGTGAGCAATGACAAATGTTTGTATAAACCAGTTGAGAGAGTCACATGGTTCAAAGAGGTGGTCAATCGCCTCTTTCTGGTTTTCCGGAGATAGCGCTTTAAAGTCTGCAATTGATGGGAGCTGGTACATCTGAGGTGCTAAAGAAAAAGGAGCCAAGAAGAAGTGGAAAACTGTATTGTAATATAGTGGAGAATCAATTTTTGTCGTTTGAGCTCTTCACTCTCGGCTATCTACGAGATAACAATTAAATAGATAAACCATTTATTTTTTTTACACACACATGCTACGTATACTCCCTAATCAGTGAAATGCTGGATACTTCTCAATTCGTCCAACTTCTTGTGGTTTGGTCCACCTTTTTGTGCAAGCAATGGATGTCTCCATTGTTTGACATAAGTAAACAACACATCAGCCAACTTAGTTTGGTCATGCAAGCCCAAATCTGCAAATGTTTTAGCTGCAGGGTCTATATGCTGATCTATAACGTGTCTTTGCATTTGGTCTGGGTTTGCCAACTTCCACCACACCAATTGTTGCAACTGTGTAATCAATTTGGCAATTGGCAATGGCAAGTCGTAATCGTAAAAGTTGTAACTGATTGGACCTGCTTGTGCGTAGTTTTCAGTAATACCATGAATCATTTGTCTGATATCTAGGTATGACAACTTCTCCGGTCCGTATAATTCGTACAATTGGCCAGCGGTTGAATCGTCATAGGCAATTTTTTCCAAAGCTCTAGCGACATCAAGTACATGGACTGGGTAAATTTGTTTTTGGTTCTTGTTGGGAGTCCACATTTTGATCTTGGGACCCAAATAGTTCAACAAATTGTCTTCTCTTCCAAACATTTGCGATGGTCTGACAATGGTCGAATCGGGGATAATGTCTCTAACTACTTGTTCACCAACTCCCTTTGTTGCATAAAACACCGATTCAGATTTAGGATCAGCATTGTAGGAACTGACATGGATATACCTTGGAACGCCAGCATCTTTCGTGGCCTGGGCAATTCTCTCCGCTAACCCAATATTGATGTCGGCCATCGAAAAGTTTTTAGTGTTGTAGTCAGCTCCAATACAATTGACAACAATATCGGAATGAGCAACTGAGTCTTGTATACTTTGTAAATTACGAGCATCAATCTCGACAAAATTGACAACTCCCAAATCACCAGCAACTTTCAAAAATCTCTTCTTCAAGTCGTCCCTGTATGGAACGATTGTGGTGGTACCGTGTCTAGCAAGCTTGGACACAAGGTAACGGCCCAAGAACCCAGTAGCACCAAATACAGTTGCAGTGTATCCGGTTCTTGAGGAACGACCTCCTGGTCCAACTGATACATTGACCTTGCCATTTTTGGTAATATTGATATCCGAATCCAATACTGAGGTGTACAACGACCTGCAACGGGTGGTGGGTAACCTAGGTATGGCTCTTATTTGCGTTCTCAACATCGCTGTTCAACTCTGTAAACCTCTCAGTGCAGTTTGTTAGTGTTTGAATTTTTTTTCGTTTTTCTGCTGCTTGTTGCTTATTTTCTTCAACTTCTGGTTGGTTTATTTTCATTGTCGTACGAGTAGATGTTACGACACTGCACTTCTATACCTAAAGATTACAAAAAAATACATTAAAGTATCACTAAAACATGAAATACACTCTACATCAAAAACATCTTTCCTTTTACTCTCTCTTCTTCTTCCTTCTTCTCCTTTGCCCCCCCCTCCTCCTCCCTTTGCCTTTTGTCTTATAAGAAATAATCGGGAGTTTTTCTTGTGACTGTTGGCTCTCCGGGTCTAATCGATGGATCGTATTGCAAAAACTGTCTGTTGTGTTGTTCGTCAACTTCCATTATCGCAGCTTGATTACCACATCTGTAGCAATAGTTTGGTGCAGAGAAGATGGTAACAACATTCTCCTGGTGACTCCAACTGAACCCTTCCATGACCAACTGATGTGCTCTTGCAATCAAACTCAAATCATTGGTGTGATTAAACTGCTCAGAGATATCTTGACCAAAAGTGAATCCAGCACCTCTAGGACTTATACCCCAGCCGCCTCTATCATCTGGATCGGACCATAACAAATCGCACATGGGCCCCTCATGTGGCACTTCTTGGATCCTATTCAACTCTCTAACCTGATCGATGGTTTCAATCATTGGTGACAATCCACCGTGCAAACAGAAAACCTTGTTGTCAACCAACGCCGTGATTGGGAAGTAGTCAAACAAGTCAGTAAACACCTTCCAAACGGTTGCAGAACCGTATTTTCGTAAACATTCATCATAAAATCCATAAACTTGGGTGATTTGCCTCGACTCGTGGTTTCCTCTTAGAATGGTGATCCTATTGGGGAACCTCACCTTCATGCAAACCAAGTATGACACAGTTTCAACAGAGTAGTAACCACGATCGACGTAATCACCCATAAACAAGTAATTGGTGTCGGGACAAGGTCCACCAATCTTGAACAACTCCATCAAATCGTGGAATTGACCATGAACATCACCACAGATCGTCACGGGTACATGGACAGGCTGGACATTTTCCTCGCGTAGCAAAACATCGATAGCCATGTTACACAACTTTTTCACATCTGCTTCTGAAAGTGGTTCACATTTGGACAACTTCTCGATCCATGCGTCTAATTGGTTAATCGACAGCGCGTCTAGAGATGGTGCTGTTTCCTTGTTGTTGTCTGAATGGGCATTTTCTTTAATGGTAGTTTTGTTTAATTTGATAGTGGTGTCGTTGCTGTTGCTGTTGCTGTTGTTGCTGTTGTATTGCTGTTGCTCTTCAACGTCCTCCATTGGTACGTCTGTGTCTAAATCCATCGTTTATGAAATGCAAAATAAAAATCAGTAAAAATCGGTAAAGTTTCAACCGCTGTGGTGATAGCAAAATTGAAAATGAACAAAGAAAACAGAGAGAAAAAAGCGTCGTGTAAGTTGTATTTCAAACTGTTGCGTTAGTGTAGGCTTGTACAATTGTAATTGTCTGTATATAGATGAAGAATATGGTTTGGTGATATGGTGTGTGTGTGTGTGTTGTCTATTGTTGGTTGTGGTTGTAGTTGTTGTGTTCTGTTGTGTCGTTGAAATTCGTCAACTTTTTTTTTTTTTGTTTTTTTTTTTTTTCTTCTTCTTCTTTTACTCTTTTTTGCCGTTTGCTTTCTGAAAACTTATCTGGTATGACGTACATTGTAATAGACCACTACTCATAGACTAAACAGAGAAAGAAAACAATAATTCGATACAAGAGACGCCTCTTAATTCATAGTTCTACCTAAGATTACTCAAATTGAAAAAACTGGAACCTGTCAAGTTACCTCTTTCACCATTCCCGTCCAACTGATTATTATCCTCAACATAACTTGTAGCATTAAGCAACGAAAAGAAACTTCTGGTGCTAGCACTCATAGGTAGATTGGTATTACTACCACCAACACCACCCACAGTGGGGAAATTGAACTGTGGTGTTTGGGGCTGCAGTGGAGCGACGTCGTTATTATTAGCCACAAAGTTGCCTGCTGATGATGCTTGTTGGTTGACAACAAATTTATGACCGTGTTCATTTTTGGGCACAATGGTGAAGAAATCTTGCTCTTCGTCGTCTTCGTCGTCATCAGCTCTGTACTGAATAGATGGGGTGGGATTGTTGACTTCAAAGTCAGGACCATCTAATCTAGACACTGTAAAGTCTCTCATCAACTCGTTCACGTCTATTTGCGATGCTATTCGCTGTTGCGGTTGCAATGACTGTGATTGTGCTTGTGATTGTGCTTGTGATTGTGCTTGTGCTTGTGCTTGTGCTTGTGGTGTAATTCCTGTGTGCAATGGCAATGGCAACTCTGAATTGATCTGAGATGTCGCCGCCACTGGTGCTGCGGGTGTACCTATTGGTGTTGCACCTCCTTCTGTAGCTGCTGTTGTGGTTGTTGCTGGTGGTTGGTAAATCTGCAATGGCTGCTGCTCACTGCTCTCCTTCTTTACCTCGCTCAACATCAAGAACCAATTATTGAGAATCCGGTGTGCTCGAATCAACTTGTTGATATTGTTGAAAAACGGTAAATGAGTGATCAAAAGTTCAGTATATCGAACCAATAACTCTTGGTCTTGGATATTAACCAGTTTGCCCAACCGCACCTCGACTTGTTTAATTTCGAGGAAAATTTTCAAAATGTGCAACAACGGTTGCAAGATTTGATAATTGGATACTTTTACTTTGAAAATATCTGAATCGGCACTTTCCAAGCTATTGCTAATTGAATCAATTATTCGTACAATTTCCAATTTACTTTGATCAAAATTCAATGGCCGTAGTAGCATAATCTTGAATAACAAGACTTCGCGAAGGATAAGCCACATGTAATCGGTGCATCTCAATGCATCTATTCTGCCCTTCAATTCGAAATAGCCCGGATGCGGTTTATCAAATTCCAACAGCACATTTAGCCACGTGTTGCGACACAAGGACGGTACCAACCCCAGCTCGGCAATAATGTGCATCAACTCATACGGGTATCCTTCTCCACGGTACTTGTCACTTTTCAAGTGCAACATAATGTCATTGTTTCGCAACACGTTGACATTGTAATTGTATGAGCTGAATAGAATGTAGTATCGTTCAAATGTGTAAATCAACTCGTACAATTCGCGAATAGGCACAAGGGAATCATTCTCCTTGACATTAATCAACTGGAAATTGCAAATGGCACGACCTAAATACAACAACTTTTGATGTTCTTGAGCTTCGTTCCCGTATGCATTGTAGCAGTCGATTGATGTGTTGAGGGTGTTTGTCAAATTCAAAATATGGTTGTAATTGCACAATTGCATATTGGAGAGAGATAAATTGTAGTAGATTTGGTATTGACTCAAGTGGGCAAAAAGATTCTGGTTCCCATTATTCCCATTAGAAGAAGCCTTGTTTCTGGGGATTATGGACGGCACAATGAAATTCTTTTCAATGAGGGAAAATATCTCCAATACTTTAAAATGGCACAAGTTCTTGAAAGTCTTGAATGGTCGATATGCAAGTTTCTTTTTGGTGTACCTAACAAATTTCTTAAATTTCTGTTTTTTCAACTTGATGAGAATCTCAGCAATGATTTGATTCAATGTGATAATTATGAGTAGAGTGGATAAGTAAAGAGAGTCGTCGTGGTGTTGGACCAAGTTGATTTCGAGAAAATGGAGATTGACTCCGTCCTTGTTGGTGATGTTTGGATAGTGTGCATTGAGGAACGCCACCAATCCGGAATATTTCGTCAACACCGATTTGACAGTCAAGGGTACTAGTAACTCGTATATCGACGGCTCCTCTCCAATCAAGTTTAGATTCTCGATTAAATGGTAGGGTGTAACGAGGTACTCTTCTGATGTCGTTTCGGTATCGTTGCTGAGCGTACGCATCTGGCTTGTTGCAGATTGGTAGTTTCCTCCGTGGTCGTAGCTGCCGTCTCTCCCCAGTTGTGGTGGGATTGGCGTCACTGAAGGCTGTGGAACCGATGATCTAGTACTTAACGATGGAGTCGAGTGATGCGACGAAGAAGCAGTTTCTTCTTCAATCATACTTGGGCTTTGCGAATTAGTAGACGAGTGTCGTGACGCCAACTCCGGTCTTGCTGTCCAATTCGTACCACCACCACCTCCTCCGCCACCATTTGTATTAAGTTCAATCACCTCGCTTAGATTATTGATTGAATCAAGGGTCTTTTTCGATAATGCTTTTGGCCCCGATTTCTTGCGTTCTCGATTCCTCGTACAAACCAACCCGTTAGCTTTGCAATGGGCACAGGGCGTGGTTGGTCCACATCTCACTTTTCTCAATGCACAGACATCACAAGCTCGTGATGTGGTTGTTCTTCGTTTTTTAGTTGTGGTGTTGCTCTTTGTCGTGTGTTTGTTGGTTAATTTGGTTATGGACTGTTTGGACGTATTTGGCTGCGATAGGGTGTTGTTACCTTCCAAGTACCCGTCACTGCGAAAGAACTCGGAAAGTCGGGTGTTTGGGTCGGTTTGAGAGCGATGTTGATTCTGGTTTCCAGTGTGAACTGAAGGTCCTTGCTGTTGTTCGTGCGGGTCAACTGTGCTGTTGCTGTTCATAGTTGAGGAGGAGGTGTTGTATTATAGGGGTAGTGCTGATGATGTTGTTGTTGTTGTAGTTGTAGTTCCATTTAGGTTGTAGAGTCAACAGGGCGTTCGTAAATGAATACTTTTGTCTTAATTTTTCTCGTGCACCCCCACTGCGGAGTTTTTTTTTTTTTTTGGTTTTGTTTTTTTTTCTATACCAACAATAAGTGGAATGGAGCAGAATAGAGTCTATGTCCTTCGTACTCTTTATCAAAAAAAGGTTGTCTGCTGGCGTTTGAGTAGCTCTTCTTCAGTAGTGTAGAGCAATGAAGGCGTGGCTAGTGTGTCCTGCCCTACCATGGTTCATAGATTATTTTTCTGCACCCTTTGCGCCCTTTGCTTTCCCGCTCCAAGGTACCTTGCAGCCATAAGATTTATTTTCTTGTAAAGTTCGGGCGGAACTTATCCAGAAGGGGCGAGGATTGATAAATGAAAAACGGTAACACGAGTTATACAACAGACCAATAAAGTAATCTCGTCTACATCAACGTATCAAACAACAACAATATCATCATCATCATCAACAACAACAGCCTAAACTCTTTACAGTCTCTATATTTTTTTTTTTCTATCTCATCATATCTCTATACCGTCTTTGTCTATCTGCCATATCCAAATAAATTTCGTACTTGACGAGTAACAACGACAACTCAGTCTTTGAAACGTCGCTAACCCCACCACTTGCTCCACCTCTAGGATTCACCACTTTTGTAGTCTGATTCTCGCTTGTCACTTTATCAAACGCATCATTGTAGTTCAAACTCTCATTGTGATGTAATAGTTGTGCAATGTGGCCAATTTTGGCAGCTCCTTCACAACAATCATCGTTGGTTACTTTAACTGACACGTCACACACGTCAGCTAAAAGGTGCAAGAAATGGGTGTTTTTCAGCTGAGAGCCGGAAACGGTCAATGTGTCAATCTGCAAAGGTTCTATCAATTGTTTTGTTTGGAATACGAGAAATTCCATAATGAGGTTGTATTCGGCAAGTAGTGATCTTGAATAAGCACTGGTGCTGATGATTGGCCCAAATGGACCATTGGGGTTATCGACAATCATCTCCGACATGTTGCCATCCTGGTACGGTGTTCTGTTCCCATACACATCTCCATAGTAGAAATACCCCTTGAGTTGCTCGTGTATGTTTCCCCTTGCTCTAGTTTCTTCTTCTAATCGTTTGAAAGTGGCCGCGTAGTCAGCTTTCGCTATCCCATGTTTGTCAAACAATCGCTCATATAATTTGCCAGTTGCCGGTTGGCCAAATTCATACAAGTACTGGCCAGTTTTAGCAATTTGGTAAGGTCCCCACATCCCGTCATGAAATTCTCTTTGCCTGCCTTGGTAGATAAAACACGTGGATGTTCCAGCAACCATAAAACAGGAGTTTGTTGCATCCATGTGTGAATTGATCCAGCCCGCGTAGCAATCGATGCAACCGTGTCCAATGACTGCATTCGAAGAGTGGGCTGTGCCAATGGGGGTTCCAATTACTCCATTCACGCCATTAAAGTTGCCCAATCCGCCAATCTCAATGGCAATTCCAGCTTCTCTAAGTAGTGTTGTGGACCATCCTTTGATCGACCCGTCGATTGCGCACCGCTCAGTTTCGACCATGTTTTGTAGCGGATAGTATGCGACCTTCCCGTCCTTGATGCCGTATTTCAACAAGTAGCTGATCCAATCATACAATTCAAAACATACTAAATCTTCCCCTTCTTCTCCTCCGTACAAGTCTTGAATCATTTTCAACTTGGGTAGACCGAGCTCGGCCACGAATTTGCCACCCAATTGGCGTCGTGCTAGACTAATTTCTGGTGTGTTTAACCGGTTAAGATACTGAGTTTCTTGTACTGCTGAATTGTCCATCCATAGCAAAATGTCAGATGGTATGACGTTGGTGTTGCTGTTGGTGCTGCTGTTGGTGCTGCTGTTGGTGCTGCTGTTGGTGCTGCTGTTGGTGCTGTCACTGTCACCGATTGGATCTAAATTGAACGGCTCTAAGTGGGACCCATCATTTACCTTTTTGGTAATAACTGTGGAACATGTGGCTGATATGGCAATGGAGTCATAGTGTGTGGTTGCTGGTAGTAGTTGTAAAAGAGAGTTGTAGATTGCAATTGATGATTGAGTAATGAATTTGCCTCCCTTGTTTGTAGTAATGGGTAGTTCATGGACTTGGGAGTCGTATGTCACTCGAATGGAGGATGTGCCGATGTCTACGCCAACATGGCAACTACTCATTGCAGGATGGAGTAATAGTCTACAATGCTTTTCTTTTGAATATCTTTTTACTTTTCAATTTCTACTATACAAAAATTACAAATACAAAATACAGAAACAATATTATTTTTTTTTTTTGGAAGGATAAGGAAACAGATGTTTTGTTGGCCATCGACTCTAGTATCCAATGGTGGCTGCTGAACCTGATTGTTGTAACCATGAGTTAACTGTGCCTTCATCCAAGCTAGAGCCAAAGTTTGTCGAGTCGTCAACTTGAACAATGTGGATTTCGTTTCCGGTGAAAATAACAGCAGCTTTCAAGGATCCACTAGTTGGTCTGGCGAAATAATCTTGAGATCCCCCACCACCGTTGTTTGTGTTTGAAGAAGCACCTTGTCCATCATGCAAGTGACTAAGCAATTTATCTGATCCAGAAGACAAGATTTCAAACAAGTCCAATTCACCACATCCAGTCTTCCAACAAGAACATGATGAGTCTCCGTATTGTAAAGTTCTAGGGATCTTGGCATTCAATAACCAAACAGCAGGCATATCAGCGTTGAAACCAGAAGAGCCATCGCTTGGCATTTCAAATTCAAAAATGAAAATCTTTTCGCCACCGCCAAAACCGTGGTATGCAACTGATCCTTCTCTGTAGTAACCACACGAGTTTCCTGAACATTGGTTACCTGACATAACAACAAATTCAGTGTTTGATCCAATAGTGACTTCCTCCAAGGCAACAGCACTAGATGAACCACCAGAGTTGTCGGAATTTGCGTATGACAATGAGTTTCCAAACTTGGCTGACCAGACACCGGAGCCTGAGCCACCGTGGTAGTTCAAAAAGACACAGTTGTCGGCGTTGCCTGGGGTGTAGTAGGTGTCTCTTTGCCATGCGCCATCAGCAGCAGCTGTTTCTGAGGCGGAGGAGGAATCGGATGAAGTGGTTGTTGGAGCAGATTGGGTTGAGATTGATCTGTATGCTTTTCCTTCGCCGCCCAAATTGGTGACTGAAGTGGTACCGGCATTAGCAGCTGAAGAAGATGCGGCAGTTTCTTGTCCGCCAGCAGTGTTTGTTTCAGTGGCTTGTGAAGTGACAGTGTTTCCATTGCCGTCAATAAAGACAGTTTGGGTGACTTTAACAACTTCAGTAGCTCTCTTGTGTTTGTGGTGGATGTGTTGAGTGTTGCAATCCTCATCAACTTGTCTCTTTGAGTTTGATGACGATGACCCACTGTTTGGGTAGTAAACACCAAATTGTAACAATTTCAAAGGACCTCTAAAATGAACCGATAATTCTTCATCCAAAGGACTCAAGTTTCCTGAAAAGGAGTATGTTTGTTGTGAACAAGTTCCACTGTTTTCGTCCATGTTGGTGACATCTTGGTAGGATCCTGAGAATCCAATTCCCTTGTACACCACTTTGTTTGTTTGGGAACAGTAGTAGTTTCCACCTTCGAATGAACATGAAGATGCAGCTGCTTCGACCGACAAGATTGACGATAAGACAGCGAATAAAGTAGTGGTTGAGAACTTCATTATAGGGTGACTGTGGGTATTAAAATAAGGGTAATGAGTGACGGAAAAAAAAAGAAAGAACGACTGAATAAAAAGCTTTCTTTTGGTGAAACTGTGGTATAAGGAATGACTAATGGTAAGTTTTATTCAATACTATATCAATAGTATCAGTTGTGGTAGATGAAATCAAGGAAGAAAAAATCAAAACAAAAAAGACAAAAGGAGTGACAATGTAGTTGGAAATTAAAAAGACTTAAAGGGGAGGTTGTTGTGAGTTTGACAGAAAGGAGTTAAATGGGCGAAGCAGAATTTCAAAAGAAAGAGGGAGAGATATTTGAAAGGAAAGGAAAAGGGAAGGGGAATTTTGTTTTGGTTTTATTGTCAGAGGTTTTCGAAAAAATTGGTGGTATTATTATTATTATTAATGTTGTTGTTGTTGTTATTGTTTATTGCTTGTTTACTTGGTTACTCACTTATTTGGTTAGGAGGTTGTGCTTATGCTTGTGCTTATGCTTGTGCTTATGCTTGTGCTTGTTCTTGTGCTTGTTCTTGTTCTTGTGTATAGTGTGTTTTGTGTTTTGTGATGGTTAAGTTATTGCAAGACTTGTTGTTTAATTTTGAGTATGAAGCTTTTAAAAAAAGATATAATTTGTATAAAATTCCATTTTGCATCAATTGGAATTGGACAACAATCACCAAAAAAAAAGAAACAAAAAAAAAGAAACAAAAAAAAAGACGAAGCGTTTTTGTGTTAATATATATATATATATATATTGAATTAATGTTTGTTTACATTTCTTTTTTGATTTTATTTTTTTTTCTATTGTTGTTGTTATTATATGTGTGTGTGTGTCTGTGTGTGTCTCTTTTTCTTTAAAGTATACTATGTAAAGGTAGTGTGCTTATGGCTAAATATTGCTGGCTTTTTTGTTTAAAAAACAAAAATTTTGTGCATTTGTGTTTAAAAATTGTTTCTGACCGCGTAGTAGTACAAAATATTACAATACAATAATCAATTAATTATTCTGTGTATTTATGCACGTGACCCCCTTATTTTTTATTTATTTATTTATTTAAATTCTTTCTACCCGTGTCATTTGTCCTAATTGGGACAAACTACAAATACATGCCATGCATTATCATAATAATAATAATAATAATAATCTGCAACTGAAAAAAAAGAATGAGGCATTTATAATTTGTTTCCAAAATCGTCTAATTCTTCCAGCCCCATTATTAACCCAATTTTTTGCTTCTTCTTTATAACAATCAATTTACAACTGTCCTTTTTTTTTCATGTTTCTTTATTTTTGTTTCTATGTCGTGTTGTTATGTTTTGAAATTGTGCCAGAATATAGTTAGTGTGCGTTATGAGCGTGTGTTTGTCAAAAAATAATTTCACTTGGTGGGGTTTGAGTTCTATTTTAACTTGCTGCGAAAAGATAATGGAAGCATAGGTAAAGTAGACGACTGTTGATGGCAGCATATACAAAGAGATGACTTGATCTAACTCAGTGGCTTCGTAGTACGATTCTTACGATTCTTCTTTCCTAACGGTAATTAGTGAATACGGCATGGCATTACTATGATGGCACAACTAAAGTGAATGTTACTCGATTGTTCCAGATTTACATCGACCCAGAAAATGCCGTACGGATAATACTTTTGGCTCAACAAAGAGAAAACTTAGTTCAAGGAAGAAGCTTATTTGTCTCTTTTTCACTTTGTTTTAGCACCAAAAACTTGGCAAAATTTAATGTAGAAAAAAAGCCATGAATTCATTGCAAAATTTTTAATTGTGCTACAAACTGCAAGCAATTCCTTTTATTACTTTTTTTTTGTAAAAGAAATGTTTTACTTTGGAATTGTGACTAGATCTGGTTGTGCAAAATACAACATATGCGAAGACGATGATGTCAAATCATGGCATCTGTGGGAAACGTAGACGGTATGCTGCATAACAACGTGAAGTACCTGACGCAAGTTGATTATCGTCATACACCATATACCTCAAATGGATTTATATTGCCTAATAGATATTCGGGAAACACATATGCCTTGCCGATTAAGGCTGGACTCAAATCCACAAATCTAGCCAGCATCCAAGGTGGTGTACGACCTTTACATTGTCTTGTAAAAATTTTCCACAAAATCTTTATCTAAATCTGGTCCTAATATAAAAGAATTTGAAAAATTTTCTCATTTATTTTTTTTCTTTTTTTTCTTTTTTTGCACCTACAATAAACTGCACAATTATGATGAGTTGTTTTTATTTTGTGGATCAGGACTGAGCAGGAAAAAGAGAGCAAGTGTGTGTATTTTGTATTTTGTATTTTGTATTTTGTATTTTGTATATGTACTTGTATATGTATATCTGTGTAAGCCATAAGCGGCTACTAGCTAATAAGTCTCTCCTCCAACGCTTCATCAATCAGTGTTCTCTCGTCATCAACTTCATCTTTCAACCAGCTTGGAATAACCCCCCATTTGTCAACCTCAATTACCCCATTGAACCATAACGTTCCAAACACCAACGTAGCAAACCCAACCATTTGTAGGAACTTAAACTCTTCCCATCGCATTACAACAACAGCAAACAACCACACAATCAATGTCCTGCATGTGTCAACTGTTGATCTCGCAGTGGCTGAGACCCGATGGGTGATGGACAACCCACAGAAATTGAAACTGGCAATAGATGCCATAATTAGTAACGACGTAACAAGGACAATTCTGTTGCCCAAAAGTTGTGAAAATGCTTCGACAATGTTGAATGGCGATTGAGCAAAATCTTCTGGTGATTCAACTGCTTTTGAAATGAAACTGGCCACCACCATAAACAAGACAATCGTAACAGCACCAAAGAAACCCTCAATGTAGACCAACTGCAATGGAATTACTGGCTGCTTGGCCAATATGTGCTCTTCAACAACAAACTGTACCCCTTGCAACGACGTAGCACCAATTATTAAAAGTATCCCAAACACAACCAACCCAGGGTTTACCGCACTACTCGATTCGTCCACCGACAACGAACGATGTGAGGTTGCCTTTGGCTTTGTCTGCGATCCACTAAGCCCCACGATCCCTACACCCAATGTGATAACCAACAACGCAATCCAATGCAACTTTGAGATCCTCCTATTGAGGAAAATCACCGACAACACCGCCACAAACAACACAACTGACCCACGAGTCATTTGGTAGATTGAAACAGGGACGTAAATGAGACCGATATTGAGCAACGTCGTACAACTCAAGTCACAAATTGCCGGGATCGCCAATTTCCAATGCTTGAAAATGGAAACAACACTTCCTCCTACTTCTTCTTCTTCTTCTTCTTCTGCAGTAGTGCTTCTACCTCGGTCGTCATCTAGTTGAATATACAGTGTCGAGTAGTACCATCTGTATCCCAAATACACGAAAAACATCGACCATTCACCTAAAAACATTTGTAGGGTTTGAATGCCTGGCTGGTTGAAAAACTGCGGGTTTTCATCCTCACTGTTGCAATGTCGCACACATTGGTTGTCTTGGTATTTCGTAAGGAGCGAGTTGGCTGCTCCTGTAAATAGAGTTCCGATTACGATGAGTATGAGACTAGCGTCCATGTTGGTTGAGGTGTGGACGTGGATTTGAGGACGTATATGGAGAGGTTGGTTTTATACCTAAATTTTTTATTTATTTATTTTTTTTTATTTTTTTTTCGTCGTGATTCAGATTTGTGGAGATGCTGTAGGTCAGCATTGTGGGGGTATAGAGTAGAGTGGGTTCTGGGTGAGAAGCTAGGTTGTGTTGAGGACTTGGCAAGGTAAAGCTGTAAATTCATGGTGTAAAGAATTTATTCAGATAATTCAGCTGCAGAATGAGTAAGCATCACATCCATGGAGCTGAAAGATGTCTCTGCAACTAAACATGTTTTGTTTCGGCATATCGAAGTTGCAAAAAAAAAAAAAACATACAATTACACCTTTTCTTTCCACACCACAACATCTCGTCTTTTGCTAATGAACTCATCTGTTCAACCTATAAACCGTCAATTAAATCAGGTAGCCGTGTCCCCTACTCCAGTTATTTCTTCTACCATCACCACCAATCGCAAAGTCGCACCCTCGTTGTCCGTAGTGAACAACAACTTTTACCACAAGAACATCCCCCGGGATAAAAACGTGGTTGCTATACATGAAACACTCCACAAATCAAGTACATTACTCGTTGTCAGTATCTATTGCTTTCTTCGCAACTTGAATGAACTGAAACAGTCAACTGCAGAGAAAGTAGAGTTGTTCTCGTCATTCTACTTGGACCAGTTCACAATGCTCCCATTCACAGGAGAGATGGAACTCACAAGGGACGAGTTTGAGCTTGTCATTAGCTTATTTGAGGATTTTTTCACCGACTACAACTTCATCACTTTGAGTCAAATGTGTATCAAGAATAGAAGTAAGTTGCAACAAGGGATTCACGAGTGGTTTAAAACTAGAGGAGTGGTTATGGAACCAAACCAAGATTTCGCGAGGGAAGTGATCAGCGCCACGTTGAATGACTGGTTTCTGCGATTGCAGAGATAAATAGATAGATAGATAGATACGAGGATTTAGCTAAGTAGTGTGAATAACATGGTGGAAAGGTTGTTGTGAGATTTTTTTTCTTTTTTCTTTTTTTCTTTTGCTTTTTAGATCTCTCTCTCTCTCTCTGCGATGCCTTCAAACTTCTTCTTCCATCGTTAAGTTCCAACTCGTATCATGACTGAAAGATCTACCAAGAGACAGAAAGTAGCATCAGCAGTTGCTTCTGCTGATGTAAACGACGACTCACAAGCTGAGAAAGTCGCCGAGGCAGCTGAACAATCCCTTCATGATCATCCTCACCCGCAGGAAAATATCAAGTTGATACATCACGACAACGGCGAATTCAAAGGACTTGTACGTCATCAAACCACAGCTCAGGATGCAGAAAAGCTCGAGGATGGGCCAATCAATCCGTTCACTGGTGAGCAATTTTCCGATTCATATTTCAAGATCCTTAAGGTGCGTCGTGATTTGCCAGTACATGCTCAAAGAGAAGAGTTTCTCAAGACTTTCCATTCAACGCAGATTATGGTGTTTGTGGGTGAGACAGGGTCTGGTAAAACGACTCAGATCCCTCAGTTTGTGCTTTATGACGAAATGCCCCATTTGACTGGAAAGCAAGTTGCGTGTACACAACCGAGAAGAGTGGCGGCAATGTCGGTTGCCCTGAGAGTGGCTGATGAGATGGATGTGAAACTTGGTGCTGAAGTTGGGTACAGTATACGTTTTGAGAATAAGACGAGCCCCAAAACCATTCTCAAGTACATGACTGATGGTATGTTGTTGAGGGAGGCTATGGAGGATCATGATTTGAGCAAGTATTCGTGTATTATTCTCGATGAGGCGCATGAGAGAACGTTGGCTACTGATATTTTGATGGGATTGTTGAAACAGGTTACTGTTAGGAGACCAGATTTGAAATTGATCATTATGTCGGCAACGTTGGATGCAGAAAAGTTTCAAAGCTATTTTCATAATGCGCCATTGATGGCGGTTGCTGGTAGAACCCATCCTGTTGATATTTACTACACGCCTGAGTTTCAGCAAGATTATCTAGATTCAGCAATACGTACTGTCTTGCAGATTCATGCCACCGAAGATGAAGGTGATGTGTTGTTGTTTTTAACTGGTGAGGAGGAGATTGAGGAAGCTTGCCGAAAAATCCAATTCGAAGGGGATGACTTGATTAGGGAACAAGGATGCGGTCCATTGAAAGTGTACCCCTTGTACGGGTCGTTGCCACCAAATCAACAACAACGTATCTTTGAGCCAGCACCAGTAAATCCAGTCCCTGGTGGTCGTCCTGGAAGAAAAGTTATTGTGTCGACAAACATTGCCGAAACTTCATTAACCATTGATGGTATTGTTTATGTGGTTGATCCCGGGTTTTCCAAGCAAAAAGTGTACAACCCGAGAGTACGTGTTGAGTCGTTGCTTGTGTCTCCCATCTCAAAGGCAAGCGCACAGCAAAGAGCCGGTAGAGCTGGTCGTACTAGACCAGGTAAATGTTTCAGACTATACACGGAGGAAGCGTTCCAAAAGGAATTGATTCAGCAGTCGTATCCTGAAATTCTACGCTCCAACTTGTCTTCAACCGTGTTGGAGTTGAAAAAGTTGGGGATTGATGATTTGGTTCATTTTGACTTTATGGATCCACCAGCCCCAGAAACCATGATGCGTGCATTGGAAGAGTTGAATTATTTACAATGTCTTTCGGATGAAGGTGAATTAACTGCATTGGGAAGATTGGCGTCCAATTTCCCTCTTGATCCTATGCTTGCTGTCATGTTGATTGGTTCGCCAGCTTACAAATGTTCAGAAGAGATCTTGACCATCGTGGCAATGTTGAATGTACCCACTGTATTTGTACGCCCTTTATCTGCTCGTCAACAAGCCGATGAAGCGAAGATGTCATTTGCCGAATTTGATGGTGATCATTTGACATTGATCAATGTTTATGAAGCTTTTGAGGCTCAACAACTGGAGGTGCATAGATGGTGTCGTGACCATTTCCTTAGTTATCGCTCACTTGTCACTGCACGTAATGTTCGGTCGCAATTGCTGCGAATGATGGAGAGGTACGATTTGGAATTGGTGACGCAGTATGGTGAAATTGATGAGCCTCAATATTGGCAAAACATTAAAAAGGCTCTCGTTGGTGGGTTCTTTATGCAAGTGGCCAAGAAAAAAAGTGGTGGTTCCAAAGGGTACCTTACAGTGAAAGATAACCAGGATGTTTTGATCCATCCAAGTACAGTGGTGTCCAACCCTGGTGAATGGGTTATTTACAATGAGTTTGTGTTGACGAGTAAAAACTATATCAGAACAGTCACCAATGTGCAGCCAGAGTGGCTAGTGGATATAGCTCCAAAGTACTACAACTTGGACCATTTTGCGAAGGGGGACGTGAGGTTGAGCTTAGAGAGGGTAATAGCTAGGAGGTAGATACATAGATAATAGAATTGACCTTGCGTAGTAGACGTCTATTTGTAGATGGTGGTGACGGTACGCTCTCTCTCTTTTTTGGATGCAAAAAAATGGCGCCGAACCTCGTCTCCTCTGTGAGTTGCTCAAGATGAACAAGAAAAAAAAAAAAAAATTTCATTGCAATCATCATCATCATCATCAGTTGTCACAAGACTATAAACTCAGAAGACACTTTGACTTACAATATGCCACCAAAGAAGAAGCAACAGCCATCCGATAAGAACAAAGCTAAGGCCAAGGCCAAGGCTGCCGAAGATAAAACCTTTGGTATGAAGAACAAAAACAAGTCGAAAAAAGTGCAACAGCAAATCAATCAATTACAAGCAGGTATTGATGGAGGAGCAGCCAAAAGGAAAGAGGCTGAAGCTAAGAGGAAGGCTGAGGAAAAGAAAGCAGCAGAGGAAGCCAAGAAGGAGGCGGCCAAGCTTTTTGGTATACAACAGCAAAAAGTGCCCTTTGGAGTCGATCCCAAATCTATATTGTGTGAATTTTTCAGACAAGGCGTTTGCACTAAAGGAAACAAGTGTAAGTTTAGTCATGATCTAAATGTTGGCAGGAAGGATGTCAAGAAGGATTTGTATACTGATGTCAGGGAGGAGAAGGAACAGGATACAATGGATAAGTGGGATGAGGAGAAGTTGCGTAGTGTCATTCTTTCAAAACATGGTAACCCCAAAACCACAACCGATAAAGTCTGCAAGTATTTCATAGATGCAGTTGAAAACGGTAAATATGGCTGGTTCTGGGTGTGTCCGAATGGAGGTAACGAATGTAAATATAAGCACTCGTTGCCACCGGGGTTCGTATTAAAGACAAAGGAGCAAAAGAAGTTGGAGAAACTAGCGGCGGAAAGTGCACCAAAGATTACATTAGAGGAGTTTTTAGAATTGGAGAGAAGCAAGCTAGACAAGAGCACATTTACGCCTATTACGGCCGAGTCATTTAAAAAATGGAAAGCGGAACAGAAACTGAAAAAGGAGGACCAAAAGAAGGAGGAGGAGAAGAGGAGTGGGAAGAAACCCCAGACTGGAAGGCAAGTCATATTGGAAAAGTTCTCCGACAAGTATTACACGGAAGAAGATGATGGTGGAGAAACTTGGGACTTGTCTCAATTCAAGTCTGACCTTCCTGATGATAATTCGAATATAAAGGATTATGGAGATGGGTCCAACGTGCAGGAATATTATCAGGATGAAGGAAACAAAGAGGGAAAGGAGGATGCAAATGGGGTGGCTGTCGCCAATGGGGAAGCCAATGGGGAAGTTAATGGAAGTACTTGATTATAGATTACCCTTATTTAACACGCACATCTTCGTCCAACTTGCTGCAAGTGCTCTTGAAAAATTCATCATCTGTATCTATAAATATATGGATTTGGGTATTTGTGTTTCTCAAGGCAGTTATTGCTGTAGTGACTCTTTGTATCCACTCTGCCCCCTTTTTATCTCTTTCTTCAAGTTCCAAGAACCCGGGTGAGTCGTAGATGCTGCTTGGCCCGTAATCGTATCCGTTTCTCAGAGCTGGTCTGGAACGTCTTGGAGGTAATGGTGGTCTATACTCATCAATCATCAGATTACCGTCTGAGGAAACATTAGATGATGGAGGGATGGGTGGAGAGGCGTTTTGAAAAGATGGCGCATCGAGAGATATCTCATTTGCAGGTTGTTTGTTCAAAGGTGGCTCTGATCCGTCAGATGACCGCAGAATGGACCTGCTATGTAGACTTTCCGGTTTTTTCGGCTTCATTGGTGGTTTCTTTTTAGGAGTGGCGGGAACTGGCGAATCCGACAAATCAATCAAATCAGCATCTTGGGCATCATGAATGGATTCACTTTCTTTAAGTGATACTTCTGTCTTTCTTTTCGCCAATAGTCGCAACAACTCTTTTAAAATACGACGGTCATCTTCCACTGATAATGAGTTCTCAACGTATCGGATATATATCGCCAACACTCTATTGGGATAACTGATTGCCAAATCCACGTATGCTTCCAAGTCATACTCCCCTGAGTCCCCAATGCAAACGAACTTCTTCTCGGGAAAGTCTTTTAGGATCTTGTGCAACATTGTTTTTTTCCTGGACAGCGAGGGCTCTAGTAATGAAGATATCATGCTGCCCAAATACCGTTTCAAATGTATTGAACCTTTGGGCAATCCCGCGAGATTGAAATATTCTGATATTGATGGAAATAGTTGCCACGGTGAATTGGAAACGTAAAAAAAACTGACGTCTCGGCGTTTACTAAGATCCATGTACCATTTCACAATGGAAGGGATTTTCCACGCTTGGAAATCTTGCAATAATAAATTTCGAAGTAAAAGACGTTTGTCACCAACAACACCTGTAAGTTTGACAGTGTCGTCAATGTCGCTGATGACTCCTAACCCACTCTCGGGAACAATCATGATATCCTGCGCTGCGAAAATTGTTTCAGTCACTGTGGATGAAGCAAAGATGACTGACGGTTTGTAGCTGACCTCTACGGTGATGTGGAAATAACCGTATCCATCAGTCATCACCCTCTTTTGCGCAACTTCCTCCTCGTCTTTGCTTTCGGAACCAATTGTGATTTTGATTTCGGAATTCGGTATCGATTTAGCGAAAAAGTCCGCAAGTCGTTCATTGATTATTGCATCGGAGTTGGGAGATCCTGGAGACGAGCTGGCACTTTGGTTTGACGACACTGAATGAATTGATTCGTTATCTGAATCGCTTTCCTTCTGATGTACTTGATGGGTTGGGAGATACGCATCTTGAAGCTCTGGGTCTTCTCGTTTCATCAATTGCTTGATAACGGACATCATGACTCTATTCTTTCTATTCATTGCTCCCGGAGCCGACATCCATCCAGAAACGTCAACAAAGTACTTGTTATCTAGTCGTCTCGTGTATGTGGGGTACAATTTGATCCGCGTATCTTTGGGAAGTATGACCTTGCCGTCTTCATCGTACACTTCTCTTGGGTTTGTGAATGCCTTTGACGCACCTGAAGCAAGCGATGTGACCGACCCAGTAATTTTGGGGATGTAATTGTCCCTAGTGCTCTTTGCAAGTCCTATTAATCGTTGCCTTCTGGACATGGGATTGTTTTCCATCAGGTTGTGGTGGCGGCTTCTTGCAAGTGGTTACTCTCTGAGCTGGTATGGGCCGACAANGGGGGGGGGGGGGGGGGGGCGATATAACCAAGAGTGTAGATGCGGATGTAGGATTGTGTATTTGATAATAGCGAGATTAAATTTTTGGATTCACCCTCACCCAAAACCGTCAATATTTCACCTTTACAGTACAAACTCTCCAGAGGAATCATGTCACTAGATCAATTGTCCATAGGGAACGATTTGAAAGACTCGTATAAAGTCACCTCGACATGGATCAAAAACGGCATCAACTTTTTAAGTGATGTTGATGAGTTTTACCGTGAACGAGCGGTTATTGAAAAGGAGTACTCCACCAAGTTAAAAGAGTTGACAAAGAGATTTTTTGAAAAAAAGGCAAAGATATCTTCGAACTTGTCAGTGGGTGATGAACCTCAAGTTACACCGGGGTCATTAGAAAGTGCATCGCTAGTTCTTTGGAATGATGTGTTGACGCAAACAGAGGCCATTGCCGACGAAAAGGCAAGTTTTAGTCGTGAGTTGCAGATAAAGATTGGTGACAACTTTGTCAGTTTGAAAGGGAAATGTGACCGAATTGAGAGGCAAATTGCGCAGATTAATGAGTATTTAATCACTGAAAAGAAAAGTGTTGAGGATGAAGTTGCCAGAGCCAAGAAGCATTACGATTCATTATGTCAGGCAACGGAAACGGCAAGAGATAAGAATCAGAAGTCGCCTAGTGAAAAGCATGCACGGAAGTTGGCTGATAGAGAAGTTGAAATGAATAATGGGAAGAATGCATACTTGATCAAGATCAACGTGGCAAATCGATTAAAGGATAAGTATTATTACCAGGATGTGCCTGAGATGTTGGACTACTTACAAGAATTAAATGAGGATAGAGTAGCTTTGATGAATAAGATTTTGAAAAATGCAAACATTGTTGAGAGAAATTCATTGGACAAGGTAAAGGAGAAGTTGCATTTGATTGATGCCACTATTGATCAAAATAACCCGAAATTAGACGTGGCGATGTTCATCAAACACAACACGGTGGACTGGGCCGAGCCACAGGACTTTTATTTCGTCCCTTGTTCATTTTGGCACGATGATGAGAGCTTGGTGATAAAGGAGCCCGAGTTGACTGAGTTGAAAAAGCGTCTCAATATAGCCACCAATGAGTATGGCAAGTTTGAACAATCGAGTTTAGATATGAAACAGTCACTTGAGGAGAGCACCGCCAGGAGGAAGACAAATGAAAGTATCACGCTCAAGTTTGATTCAGGGTTACAAAATTCGCTAACCTTGTTGAGCAAGTTTATCAAAGAAGATACAAGCAGAGTCAAAAATGAGGTGGAGATTGAAATTATTCAGAATTTTGCCGGCGACAAGGATTTGAGCTATGTGGCTCCTATGCAGCATAAAAAGTCACGTTTCGGATTCCTCAAGGGTAAAAAGGAGAAGGCAGAGCCAACAAAGCAGGAGCATAGCGACGCTCAATCAGTTCACACAGTCAAATCGCATACTTCGATTTTACCTAGTGGTGTATTCAATCTTCGAAATAGGGGAACAAGCGGCTCTGGAGTCTCAAGTGGCTCCGGCTCAGGCTCTGGCTCAGGCTCTGGTCCTGGTCCCACTGCAAAAGCGTTATACGCATACGCCGCCACAAGTGCCGACGAGACAGGTATGCACCCTGGAGATGAGCTAAACGTAGTGGAGGAGGACGATGGATCAGGCTGGACAATGGTTTCCGGACCGCAAGGACAAGGATTGGTGCCAACTTCCTACATCGAGGTCAAATCAAAGAAACCACCACCACCGGTTGCACCAAAACGAGGTGCCAAAAGAGTACAGTACTTGGAAGCGCTATACGATTACACTGCTGATGGTGATGATGAGCTAAGTATACACGCTGGCGATCGAATAATATTAGTTGAAGACGATACAGACGGAAGCGGGTGGACTGAAGGAGAGCTAAATGGGGAAAAAGGTATGTTCCCAACTAGTTACGTAAAAAAAGTATCGTAAAGTTCAAAAAAAGTATTATCCTATATTATACACAAACACTTAATTTCATTCTCCCCTATATATGTAGTTTTCTTCACCTCTGTCTCAGTCTGCCTCTCTCTCTCCAACATTTAGTGAGTTTCACCTGGGATTTCGAAAACAACTTGTTTTCCAGTCAACTTGGTGTACAATTGTTGGAATGAGTCCAATTTGTAGTCAATGGCGGTGGAGTCCTTTGAGTCCAACAAAACCTTTTGGATCTTGTTACCACCAACCAAGTATCTTACTCTCTTTCCGGTGATTTCGGTTGGGAAAACCAAGTCCTCCAACAATTTGTCGTGAACGGCAGTCAATGTTCTTGATCTTGGTCTCTTTTGTTGTTTTCTAGCTTTTCTTGATGGTTTTGGCAAGATTCTTCTTTCAGCCAAAAAGACAACATGTCTGTCTGGAAACTTCTTTTCCAACTCTCTGGTCAATCTGGTTTGGATTCTTCTGTAACCGTTCAATGATGGTGGTGGGACGAAAATGGCAAGAGCCTTCTTTCCTCCATTGACATCGATTTCTCTAACGGATTTGAATTGTAATGGACGCAAGTCAGCTTTCAAGTCAGTGGTGGATTCCAAATCAAGGAAAGCTTGAGCGACTTTCAAGTCGAGTGGAGATGGAGACTCAGCAAGGATCTTTGATGCCATGATGATGGTGATGTCTATGGTTGTTCTGGTGTAGATAATACGGGAGATGTGAAATTTGGGAGAGTGTAGTCGATTTTAATTTTTCTATTTTTTTTCATTCGGTACAAAGTGTAGAGTCAGCTGCTCACGTGCGAGGTGACAAAGAGAGAGAGAGGAAAAAAATGTGTTGATAGGGCAAAGCCCTACACCATAATTCACACGTGAATATAGAGTGTAGTGTAGTGTAGTGTAGTGAATTGGATTGGATTAATGTTGCAGAGATGTCGTGAGGGGGTGGGTGATGGTGATGGTTTGTGGTGCTGATGACTGTATTAAAAGTAGATGATAGAAAGTACTGAACCAGTGATAGTTTGGTTATGCTACAGTGCTATAGTCCCGTGGTGCGATGATAGGCCGTGTATTGCAGCGCTACTACCCTCTCTGAGCCGCACAAATGATAATCGCCGAAAATAAATCCCACCCCCCACCCTTCGTGCATGTATGCTTCGCTTGCTACAACGCAGTCGTCTCCACACAATGTCCATTGAAACTGCCAAAAAATTGGCAGCATATAGAGCTGTTGATGAGAACTTACCACCGCATGCAAAAGTCATTGGCATTGGATCTGGGTCCACTGTTGTTTACGTTGCTGAACGTATAGGACAATTGCCCAATAAGGATGAGTTTGTATGTGTGTCGACTGGGTTTCAGTCAAAGGCGCTCATTATTGATAATGGGTTACATTTGGGCCAGATTGAGCAATATCCATCACTCGATATTGCTTTTGATGGTGCTGACGAGGTTGACGCAGACTTGAACTTGATTAAGGGTGGCGGGGCTTGTTTGTTTCAAGAGAAGTTGGTGGCCGCTGCTGCCAAGACATTGATTATTGTTGCTGATTATAGAAAGCAGTCCAAGAAGTTGGGAGAGCACTGGCATCAGGGTGTTCCTATCGAAGTTGTTCCTATTGCATTTACGAAATTGATTGGTGACATTACGAGGTTGGGTGCAAAGACTGTCAATTTGAGACAAGGAGGTAAAGCCAAGGCCGGACCGGTGATTACCGATAACAACAACTTCATCTTGGATGCTGATTTTGGTGAGATTGACAATCCCATTGAGTTGCATCAACAATTGAAGCAACTTGTTGGTGTTGTTGAGACGGGGATCTTTTCCGCCATTGCTGAGAAAGTGTATTTCGGTGAAGAGTCTGGGGAGGTTACTACATGGGCAAGGGATATAGAACAAAAGTAATGCTTAAAAAAACGTGGGTAACAAGGAAGTAGGGAGGAATTTTAATGCGACGAGATCCAATTGAGGGTTTCCACCAACCCGGTTCCATCTATCGCCACTGTAGGTATAACTGACCAAGTGTGGTTACCACTCAACTTGTTCAACTCAAACTTTTCAATTAAATCTTTTGGCTTAACCGCACCTTCAACATCTTGCTTGTTGGCCAACACCACAAGCAAACAGTTGTTCAACTCTTTATCGGTTATTATTCTGTACAATTCCTGTTTTGACTCTTCCAATCTCGACTTGTCACTCGAATCAACCACATAAATCAATGCATTAGTCCCCGTGAAATAGTGTCTCCACAAAGGTCTGATTCTCTCTTGTCCACCACAATCCCATACAGCAAACGAAACATTCTTGTGCTTGACAGTTTCAACATTGAACCCCACGGTGGGAACAGTCTTTGACGTTTTGCCAAGTTTCAACTTGTAAAGTATTGTTGTTTTTCCTGCATTGTCCAACCCGAGCATCAATATCCGCATATCTCGGTTTTTGAAAAGCTTAGACTGAAGCGCATGGAATGTTAGTATATGTAAATTATAGTATAAGCTTGCTGCGTACGTACCATTAACGAGCCCATCTTTGGATCTTTGTATATTTGCACGAGGGGGGAGGAGGAGGGGTGTGGGGGTCTGAGGTGTTAATTGGTGAATAGGCAAGGTTGGTTGGTAGGTTGGTAGGTTGGTTGGTTGATTTTTGTTGATTGAACGAAAAAGAATTTAGACGAAGACGGTAAACATTACACAAAAAAAACCAATACACAGAGATACGCGCGAGGGTTGGGTTACCCGAGGTAGTCTGAGGAAAGGAAAAGGGAAAAGGGAAAAGGGAGAGATGGAGATGGGCTACTACATGAAAGCGGCCAATAATGTGTATCTGTAATTTGCCTATGAACTCTTCACCAAGTATGAAATTGAGGCTTTGCGTTGTTTGTTGCAACTATTCCCCCCTCCTCCCCTCACCCTCACTGCAACTAGCTATCTTCCTTTCTCAACTTTTAGCAGTAGTACAGGCAGTTTTGGCTGAAATACAATGTTATCAACTGAAATAGCTCACTCTCAGTGTAATGATTTCGCAATTCAACAGAAACCTTATTATCCTTCTCTCCCACTTCGTACCTCTGTTCAATAGTTTCAATTTGGTCGCGCATGGATTTAAGAGTCCAATGAATTACGATACACCCAGATGGCATCGCCGTAGTAAATATTAGTTGATGTTCAATGACAGGCGAGTGTTCAATCAAAACCAAGGTAGCAGCTCCACCATTTGATACTTGCTTTTGGAAATTGTAAAGTAAGCTCACAAACTCTTCTCGCTAATGCATCGCTCGCTGAAAGTGTGCAAATTGTAAAGTATTGCAATGCTTGATGCGTCAAGTAAGGGATGCTTTGGGGAGTCTTGGGATTCTCTTCACTGCTATACGAAATTCCAAGCAGAACCAAGTTTGGGTAAATTTCATCAAGTTTGCAATCGGGAAAAACATAAATTCCGCCTTTAACAAGTGTAATAAATAGTTTGCGGAGTGAAAAGGTGTTGAACTCTATTGAAATCACGAATGCAAATTCTGGCTCATTTTCGAGAAACTCGGAACCAAGCCATGCGCTTCATAGCTTACGGTACCCCTTTCATCCGGGTAATGAATATACCCAGACTCAAACCGAAACGTAAGCGGCTGATAATATACCGCCTAGGAGCTGTGTTTATCGAGAGGCTTGTCGCCAATATTAGCGTTGTTGATATACGGAAGCAGTTTCAGCTCGGTTTTGGAATACCAAGGAAGAACCTTTTCAGAAGGTATATAGACGTCAATTGAGCAGCGGTAGTTTAATTCTCGAATCTGACTAACCAAATATTTGATGTTTTTGGAGTGTTCATGTATCGCCTGTAAATTGGAAGAGTATATTTGAACAGCAAAAACCGAAAACACTTTATAGCCTGATTTGGATCCATCTTTTTCAAGTTTAAGTTTCAAAAGTCTCTATAGAGATTATCGTCGCCCTGTTGGTACTGTAATTGTTCATGTGCTTAAAAAATGTGAAACCAGGAATTGGAAAAGTGATCTCATTCTTGCTTAATTTCAGGCTTAGTTTTAGATTGTGCATTATATCGTAAATATAAATGTAATGATATAGCTTGGTCTTGGCTGGATAGTATAACTTTGAATGAAGTGGAGCAAGTGCGAGGGTTTGATGTTGATTGAGGTTGCCAAGCACTGTTTCAATTACAACATCGGGTAATTGAACAAGCGATACCATTGTATGATGTGGAAGTGGGAAACGTGCTGAACCAAAGTGCAAAAAGAAGAAGAAGACTACAGTGAACTTGTCTTGGGGATTAGCTGTATTCCTCATCAATGATTTGCGCTTTTCCTAATGCGAAACTGATTCCTTTTTGGCTGCGAAATTAAATAAACTGAAAGATTGAATAATAGGCAACCGAAAACTGCTGAACAGATGGTTTGTAGTGCAGTCACAGTAGTAGATGATGTTAGTCAATTTTATCAAACCATAAAGTATACTTGGAAGATATAAACTCAAGAAGAAGGTATCTATATACAAACTTCTGAGTATAACGACAAGACATTGCATTAATTGTTGAACAAATACAATATGTCTACTAGTATGCAGTGCAACACTTCATGGAACAGGCAAGATTGTACAATATTGTTTAACCGTTTATGTGCTAGATAGGGTGGATTGTATCCTCAAAAGAAATGCTGTAGAGGAGAGGAAAGGAAACATGGAGTTAAAGTTTTGGTTAGTAATAGTTTATTGGCGATAAAAATAACAAAAAAAAGAAGAAAATAACCGCTGTCACATGACCTTCCTCTCATTTAAATTTTTATTTTTTTTTTGTTTTTCTCCACGCACCCCACATTTTCTCTCTTTCTTTCTCTGTCTTACTCTTACTCTTACTCTTACTCTTACTCTATGCTTTTTTTTTTTTTTTGTTTTTCGTTTCCCTCGGTTAATTAACAACAACCGGCGGATATAAAAAAAAATTTTAATTATAACAAATCATAAATCACAGACACACTTATTATACCCTTATAAACAAAAAGTTAATTGAAAGACAAAAAAAATAAATAAAAATCGCCCGCTTCAACTCCACTTTTCATTTCATTTTATTTCATTTTATTTCATTCATTCTTCTTTCTTTCTTTAGTTTAAACCTACAACAAACACTTACACATACACATACACATATTCACCATGTCTAACAAAGTTACTCAACAATCTCCAGATGACGTTGTTATCGTTGGAGCTTACAGATCTGCTTTAACAAAGGGTGGAAGAGGTAATTTCAAGGATGTCAGTTCCGACTACCTTTTGAACAAACTTGCTGTTGAATTCATCAAAAAGACCAAAGTTGACCCATCACTCGTTCAAGATGTTGTTATTGGTAATGTCTTGCGTCCTAGAGGTGGTGACTTTGAACACAGAGCAGCATTGTTGGCAGCTGGTCTTCCATACACTACCCCATTTGTCGCCATCAACAGGTTCTGTTCTTCTGGTTTGATTGCCATTTCTGAAGTTGCCAACAAGATCCGTCTTGGCGAGATTGACTGTGGTCTTGCTGGTGGTGTTGAGTCTATGTCGAAGGACTATGGTCCAAACGCCATCACCAAGTACGATCCAGCTATGGAAGACAATGAAGAAGTTCAAAAGTGTCAAATCCCAATGGGTATCACCAACGAAAACGTTTGTTCAAAGTTTGGTATCTCTCGTGAAGAGCAGGACAGATTTGCTGCATCTTCTTTCAACAAAGCTGAAAAGGCACAAAAGGAAGGAAAATTCAAGTCTGAGATCTTGCCTATTGAAGCTTTTGTTGAAGAGGAAGACGACGATGACAATGTCACCGAAAAAAAGATTATCGTTGATCAAGATGAAGGAATCCGTAATGGAGTCACTCCTGAAAAATTAGCCAAGATTAAACCAGCTTTCAAGAAGGATGGTTCAACTTCTGCCGGTAATGCTTCACAAGTTACCGATGGTGCCGCTTTAGTCTTGTTGATGAGACGTTCATTTGCTGAAAAGCACGGGTACGAAATCCTCGCCAAGTACTTGGGTACTTGGGTTGTTGGTGTCCCTCCAGAGATTATGGGAATTGGTCCTGCTGTCGCCATTCCAAAGGCTTTGAAAAAGACTGGTCTCAGTGTTGACGACATTTCCGTCTTTGAAATCAATGAAGCTTTTGCTGGTCAATGTTTGTACTCTATTCAATCGGTTGGAATTCCAGAGGAAAAGGTCAACTTGAATGGTGGTGCTATCGCTTTGGGTCACCCAATGGGTGCCACTGGTGCCCGTCAATACGCAACCATCTTGCCATTGTTGAAGAAAGGTGAGATTGGTTTGACCAGTATGTGTATTGGTACCGGTCAAGGTGCTGCTTCAATCATTGTTAGAGAATAGATATTTTAAAATATATATATATATATATATATAGCTTATGGTTTATAGTTTTGAGTAAATGAGTTGTCCTTATATTTCCATCTTTTGCCCCTACTTGTCTCTATCACTAGCTATAGCCAACTCTTTCAATTTTTTCTTTTTTTCTATCCCTTTTACTTGCCCCCTCTCCTCACACCACTCCCCCTCTTCAACAACTCATCCAACCGTGATGTAGTCTCACCAATGCTACTCTCAAAAAACCCTTCAAAGTCATCAAGCGCCTGCCACATATTGCTAAGCAGGGTCTTCTCTTCAACGGACACTGCATCTCCAGTATCCTCCACCGGGTACTCTTCTCTATGGAATTGAATCTCCTCCTCCTTTTCCTCAGTAGAGGCAACAACACAAGTGGAAAACACTGCATGAACATTGTTACGCGTACTGGCGGCAGTGACTGCCGGCATGGGGATAGACCAACCGTTATCTTGAGGTACTCCAAACAAGGACGTGGCAAGCTCTTTGTTCTTGAGGATATCTCTATCCATAATTGATCCTGAAATCTCATCCACCTCATCCAAAACTTCCAATGCATCGTCAGCATCTTCAGTCAAGAGTAAGCGCAACAATGGCGAAATCAAGTCAGCACCAAGTCCAAGAAACTCTTCCCTTTTGAAGTTGATGTAAGGGATGAGTGCCTTGAGAAAAAACAACACTTCCTTTCTAATAGCTGGGTTGCTAAGCATCTTGAGCAACGAAATCAAAATCATCACCTCATAATCAAAATACAAATCTCTCAAGGTAGCAACAACCTGCACTACAAAATCCTTTTTTGACCGAAACTTGTTCTTGCCCAACGAGGTCAAGATTTTGGCAAGTGGCGGTTTAGCCAAGTTGGCAATTGCAAGTGCAGTCTTTTCAACATCCGCTTCTTCATTGAGAAAAACCGGCATGTTGGCAATCAAGGCGGTAATCACTCGAGAGTCTCCCATGCCAACAATTTCAGAGTCCTTCAACACCAACAACTTGTTAATAAAGCTCAATGTCGGTTCCCATGACGTTGACGACCTCAATCCCACAGTAACAATCTGCTGCAATCCTTCGAATTTCCCCTCCCATTTTGGTGGGAATGTGGATATAAGGCAATTGATGGTATCCGTTGCATTCAAGTCAATTTTTGAAATGAATTTGTTCATTGTTGACAAAACTTCAACAAACTCTTGCTCATGGATCGTGCTCAAACAAGCAACACTTGACCAAAAATGTTGTGGGAAATCAATCAACATTTGCGAATCCAATTCAGCTGCAATCGCATTCAATGTCATCAATATCTGCATAGCGAATCCCTGGATATCGGTGGATTCATCAGATATGGTGTTTGACAAACGGTGGAACATTGCTTTCAAGATGCTCAAATCGAGGAATGAAATAAGGACCCTGAATATTTGGAAAGATCGACAAGCACTGTGTCTCACGGCACAAGTGGTACCCCAAGTCAAGGCAATTCTGCTCCAGTCATCTTGCAAAGTGGGCATCTTGAACACTTGAAGAACGTTTCTCACCAATGAAATCATATTGTTTGGCGTCCGTGCGCCCTTCTTGTCTAAGTCATCATACACCCACAAGCTCCTGATCCGATCTTTAGTTCTAATTTGTGATATAACGTCGCTTGGTCCACTCAATGCGTGAATCAATCGTATCAAAAGCTTTCCAGCGCTGTCTCTAACCAATACAAGATAATGGTCCAACAATGTGAAGGATACGTGCAACAACAACGGCAAACTCTCAATCACAAAGGAACACTTTTCCACCAAGTCGACTAAAAAAATGACTGATACCTGACCAAGGGAAAACGCAGCATCCTTGTCACTATGGAGTTGATACAAGTCAGCAACATAGGGGTAGGAACATGCTTCTTGAGGCTTTGCTGCAGGTGGAATCATCATCTTTGGTTGCAAATTAGCAATCAATTTCTTCAAGACATGGTACTTATCAGAATGTGAATCTGCTAAAATGTCCACCACTTGTCGTGCCTTATCGACAAGATACGCATTACGATGCTCAAGACAAGTGTTGACAATGTACTCAAATATGTAGTCGAAATTTTCCTTGCAGAGAGCGCGCCACATGGCCTCTGCCCCAAACTTTATCTCAATTTCAAATAAATTGTTCAACACCATGATCGACAGCTCACCTTCTAGCTTGACTGTTTGCAAGAAAGTAGTCATGATAATGGTGATGTTCTCTCTTGTTTCCAATGGCACATGGTTGTAGAATCGTGACAAATAGGAGATGCGGGTGTACAACCGGTCTCGCAGCGGATCTTGTGGTCTGTCCGGCAGCAGTTCACTAACAGCCCTTGCAATGCCTTGTAATCCCCTTCTTCTCCCAAGCCCATCTCCATACACATCCTCCTCAAATTCATCCAAACTAGCCCCACCCAACCGTTTCTGAAACTCACACAAAAGCTTGAATGCAGATTGTCTCACTTGACTGTATTGACTACCACACAAGAAACAAGCCAAAACAAACAATTCATCCGCAACATCATCCAGCTTATTTTTGGCTAAAAACGCATCAACAAAACTGCAGAAATAGACTGATCCGGTGCAAGATTGTTTAATCACCTCCTTCACCACTTCTTCGTGGTTGTAATTGTTTTGAAGTAAATTTGCCAATGCAACTTTCCCAATCTCTTGTCCATCCTCCAACAATGCGTGTATCCAATTCAACAACACTGGTATGTCAAATGAAACGTAAGCTACTCCGGCTCCGATATCAATCTCCTGAGTGATTTTCCCCAGACATAATATCGCCATGCAGCTCAATGCCGCCTGCTCCAACCGTTTCCTCTCAAATTCCAAAAGGGCAATTGCCGCCGGTGAATCCTTCACTTTCTGCTTGATGATGTTGTACCGCTCCTCAGTATCCCCATACCCACACCATTCACGAAGATAATTGAAACACGACATTCTCGCTTCAAAAGGTAACCAGAAATCCAATTTGTCACCTTGTAATCCCAGAAACACATTTTCCAAAAACTCACAAAAATATCGACGCAATCGTTGGAAATCAATATCCACTTGCACCGTGCTCAAGCTTAGAAACGATTTCGTATTCTTGACAACGGTTATCAAGTCTTCCACAATCGAATCATCCTCGTAAATCTCCTCCTTGTACTTTGCAGTCACATTCATCAATATGTGCACAATCTCTATCCTGAATCGATCTTCAGCAAAATTCCTCAGCTTGAACTCAAACGGCACATTTTCCAAAAACGTCTTGAATATATTGACATTGATATGGCTCAATCCCACAATAACCGCCTCCCTCACCATCATTTGTGGTGATTTGAGCAATGGCAAAACCATACGGAAAATCGACTTGGCGCTTGTGATTTTCTGATGTTGGATAAACATTTGCAATGACTTTTTTCTGCCATGGGTTGGCTGAGTGGGGAAGGATATTTTTTGCTCATTTGTGGTCGTTAATGTAATACAAGCAAACACCAAATACAATTTCCATTGGTTAACCAACACCTCAGGAGCCACTGAGGGGACCAGTCTTGAAAATAATGATGATGTGCTTGATTTGTAGTTTTCAGAATAGTCCAATACCAATTCATGCATTTGTACTAGAGAGACACAAACGATATCTCGACACATTGCTACTGGCATTGGACACTTGACGAATAAAATTTCGAGGATTTTAGGGTACAACCGTATCCACATTGTAGAGTCGATTCCATAATCTGATTCAGCAACCTTGATCAAGACATTCTTCTCATTCTTGAATCGAGTCAATCTTTGACGTTCAGGAAGACTCAATTCTTTCTTGAACGGTTTGATGATGTCGTGGAATTCAGTCCCTTCTAGAACATGAATAATTCGAGTACCAACATCAGCAGCAAACTTTGATGAGCTTCGAGAATGATTTCGTTGTGATGAGTTACGTGTATGGGTTTTGATGGACTCCTCCTCTGTGAGATTGTATATCGCTTGATCAAACTGATCAACGATACGTAACACCTTGATACCATAAGATCTAACTTGTGGGTCTTGTGAGCACAAAAAAAACAATCCGTTTCCCTCAATGCTTTCCACCAGGTTAATGATTGTCTTCCATTCCAATTCATCTCCTGGCTCTTCAATCTCCTCCTTCTCCTTAAACATTTGAAACCAAGTTTCGAGTAACTCCGTGTACAACTTCAACAAGTATAAAAAAGCCGGCGAGTTCAAGTAATTTGAATCATAAACCACGCTTGTCTTTTCCGACATTTGAAATGCAAATTTGGCATACATGTTCAACAACGATGTCGGGTTCTTCTTCATGCATAGCAGCTTCAATGCACGTACAGAAGCATCCTGTACTTTCCTACTTGAATGAACTGCGTTTCTAGTCAACAACTCTGCCAACTGCTTCAATGGCACATCAATGTATGGAGTAGTATCAATCAAATCAGCAAACAATTCCAAATGAACACTCTTGATTGATACTTTTTCACTGAAAAATGTAAACGACGACAGCGATTTGGGTTCCACCAAAGCAATTCCATACTGCTGATCAAGCAATTTCAAAAGCGAGCCAAACGTCCTGCTAAATTCTTCATGGAAAGCAGCGTTTGTGCTATTCTTTGCAACAAACCGAAAGGGAGCTACATATTGAGTGTAATTAGGTGAAGAAGCCAGTAAGGAAGTCAGTAAGGAAGCCAGTGCATGGGCCAGTACAAAAGCCGGCAGAGCTTCCTCTGCTATCCCTGGGAATGGGGGCTTTTCTTCTCGCTCAAACACCTTCAATACCCTCACATAAGACCTAGCCACAACCATTAGCTTCTCTGTTTGAAGATGTTCCAAAGTATGTCCTGCCTCACGTAGTAAGCGAAGCAATACATTCTCCAAGGTATAGTTGAGATGATTGTACCCGACAATTTGAATCATTTGTGATACAGCATCAACATTATCCACCATGAGCCAATGTTTTTTCCCCATGGGGAACAAGACCATCTTGAAAAATTCATCCAACCTCTTTATGGTTAAGTTGAGGGAGTCGGGAACACGATTAAAGTACACCCACAACAACCGACTGATGTACACCACAAATGCAGTTTTTTCATGTGCATCGGCTTTCGGCTTCAACTTGTATACATTTTGTTCAATGATGGCATACCACTTGGATGAGAATAGGTCCTTTCGCGACACGGACAAGGTTGCGGTAATCACATTCATCAAGTGGGACCAGCCACTTCCAAAAGAATGCGATTGCGATGCATTATTCTCGCACACTCTCCACGCATCAATCGCTTTGTTGTAGATTTTCTCAATCCCTTCATTCCATCCAGGGTCGTTGGCTTCTGCTGTCAAGTTGTTGGCCAAGGGTAGAATCAAGCTTGATATCGAGTCGCAATACGCGTAAAGAATTGCATCATTTGTAGTTCTTTCAAAAAATTTGGCAAGGATTTGAATAAACTCCTTGCTGTCTTCAAAAAGCTCAGGTGGGTAATGGTTCAACTTGATATAGTTCATACCTGAAATAAGAAGGTGCAATCTGGCCTCCTCCTGGTGGTTTATTCGTTGTGGCAATTTCTCCAAATCAAACACAAATCGATCACTGACACTAAGAAATCGTTTCTCCGACATCAACCCTAGCAACTGAGCCAACAATGTCCAATTTGCAGCACGGATTATCGACTGGCTAGTGCTTGCAGGATCGCTTGTTTTCAACTGATTGTAAACAATCTCCTCCAACTTGTCGCCAAGATCCTCGCCCATTATTTCATTAGGCGTTTGCTTGACAACTTCCATAAGCACACGGCACAAAATGTAAATCGAAACAAGAGACTTCTTTTCCGCATTGATTGCTGTTTGTTTAACGACATCAAGTTGTGAGTCCACTGCTTGCTTCAATTTGAGAAACTCTGGGTCTGAAGAAGTTGTGGAAGCAGACGACTGGTTTCGGCGATGAGTCTTTGACCTCATTAAACTGAGGGAGCGCTTTGGTTTCGGTGGCGGTGGTGTTGGTGCCAGCTGTTGCTGTTGCTGTTGTTGCTGTTGCTGCTGCTGTAACTCCTCTGGCTGAATCTTTTTAGCACCAACCAATGCCTTTTCCACTTCTTGTGCCGCATTTGACGCCACCTCACTCTTTGATTTCCTCCAAAACATGACACTGTCAATCACTGGCTTGGGTTTCCTCCTGGCTATGTAGCCCAACGACTCCACAATCTTGTCAAATTGAGGGTCGGCCCCCTCGGCAAATATGCCAAGCAACGAAGCTTCATCAGAATGGTCGAGAAACACATTCAATTTCCGTTCTGCGTATCGTACAAACTGGGTGAATATGATATGTAGAGTGTACTCTGCGGGAGCTTTGAAATCTGTTGCCAAATTCTTTCGCGATAGTCCTTCGTCCATGGTGAGTACATTCTGCAACGATGCTGAAGATAGCGGTGCCGGTAGTTGTGGTGATGGTTCAGTATGATCGTGCATCATCGACATGGGGGACGCTAGCAGTTGGTTCAATGATAATCGAGTGTATTGCGACTTAAGTGCGATTCTCGGAGTCTCTATAGGCCCCACTTGGTCATTAGCTTCGAATGAATGTAGATCTAATGATGCGTCCTGGCGTCCGTTAACTGGTGGCTCCTGTAGTTTGAATGTAGTTTTATGTTCATTGATATTGTTTGGTAAAAAGGATAATCCTGTGGCCAATGTTGGTGTATCGTAATCAACTTGTTGAGAGCGGATGTTGCCAAACGATAGCCCCGAGTCATTTTTAAAGTTTAGGCTGTCTATGTCAAACCCATCAATGCTGCTGCCTACTTCTTGCATCTCGGGCTCTTGATCGATGGATCTAGGTGGGACCGAGTTGGGGGAGGTTGTCGACCCCAAATACCCATTCTGCTCAGCTGAAGTAGCAGCGGCAACATCGGCTGTTCCAGATTGCTCTAGTTTCGGGATGTATATGGAATCCAAATCAGGTATCTCAATCATGGATTAAGCTTGTTTCTGGTGGGGGGGGAAAGGGTTTTTGCTTGGGAGATCTCTGGATGTTTTGAGTTAAAAAGATTTTCCTTTTACAATTTTCGCGTAGCTCAGAGAGAGTGCAATCACGCCACAGACCAGACCAGCCATAGATTGAAGCGTATAGACAGAGATATATTCATGGCAGATGCCATAGCTGCCAGATCAAAAATCGTCTGTGGGTATAGGACTGAGATTGGCATACCATGAGAGATTTGTGATTCTGGAATTTACATAATCCACATCTCAACATTTGGGCAAAGTGAGCGTCACCAGTCTAAATCCCCCTTTCCGCTACTCTCAATGCGTATCTTCATCTGCAATGCTATCTAGTGGCAACTCACGTCACCTCCACACACACATCAGACTATGTCACACTATGTCACACTATGTCACACTACGTCACACCTTGTTCTATTTTTTTAAAAAAAAAACCGTTGGAAGCTCAATGATGATGGTGGGGGAAATGATGGGAGGAACAGCGCGCAAAAAAAAAAATGTGCAGCGATGGCGGAATTTTGAAAATATATGGAAAGAGTTGTCGTACTACATTCTTCATCGAGTCTTCATTCACAAGCACAATGTCTGCTGATACTCACAGCATACCTATATTGATAAGTCAGTATGTTGCTTCTGTTGGCAACAACACCAACAACACCAACAACGAGCAAAACATTTCACAAAATTACGTTTCTGAAATTGTTGATCTTTTCCCAACTCAACTCACATTACTTCAATTTGTCCAATATTTAGGACCCACATTGACTTCCGACAATGAAGCAATGAGGAGTCGCGGTATGCAATTCTTGAGCTCGGTGTTGGGACAATTGCCACAGGAGCTTCTTTCGAGACAGGATATTGGTGTCATGGTTGACTTTTTGATGAATAAATTCAATGACAAATTGAGTTTGGTTCATGCTTTGAGCGGTCTCAATTCCTTGGTTCGGTGTAAACATTACACCGCTAGTTTGAATAGTGAAAAGATCTTGACCAAGCTCTTGAATGAATACGAGCCGAGAAACAATTTGGCAAAGGTCCGATACGAGGCGTTTCAAGTGATGAATAGTTTATTGGAGAACAAGACTTTCATCATTGGCTCCGCTTCAGTGGCTGATTTGTACGTCAAGACATTTATTCATATTGCTTCAGGAGAGAAGGATCCTCGGAATTTGTTGCAATCGTTTCAATTGAACAAGACCATTAATGAGGAGTTTGAATTCACCGATTCTGATCTACACAATGGGTTCATTACTGATTTATTTGATGTTTGTTTCTGCTATTTTCCTATTTCATTTACGCCTCCGGCAAATGACCCGTACAAGATTACCGCTGGCCAGTTGAAGTTGGAGTTGCGGCAAGTGATTGCATCACAGTCGAGATTTGCTTCTGAGTCGATACCGAGCTTGGTGGAGAAATTGGCATCTACAAACCCGGTTATTCGTAATGAGACACTAGGCACCATCAAGTTATGTGTGGAGAGTTACCGTGTTGATACAGTTGCCTCGCATTGGCTTTCTTTGTGGAATGCATTAAAATTTGAAATTTTGCACAATGATTGTGCTGCATTTAAGCCCACGATGGAGAGTATTGTGCCTGAAGATTACTCATCCATCGATGACAATGATGAAGTGAAGGTGTTATTTCAAACATTGGTTATTTTGGAATCGATTGTGGTGAAGTTGCCCGATTCAACGAGCATGTTGCAAACTATTGTTGATGAGTTGGGACCCAATTTGATCAAGGATAAAGCAAAGCCATCCGTGGTGATTCTTGCTTCCCTTGCGAGCACATCTGTGGCCAATTACAACTTTGTTGTTGGTTACTTGTTTGGATCCAGCGTGTGGGGGAAATACTTTAATGTGGAGGAGGAGGAAAAGGATGAGGCGGATGTGGATATGGATATGGATATGGATATGGATAAAAATGAAGATCTTGCACTAAACATAGCCAAGCAACGTGACTTGGTTGACAACTTAGGTTTCATTTTGATTGCTCATCCACAAAGCGAATCGAATTTGGTCAAGTACAGAGACCACTTGCTCATTTTCCTTTGTCAAATCTTGGCCAACTCATCGAGTTTGGAAAAGACATTGAGGTGTAAAGTGGTTCAACAATTGACGAAGTTGATGACGTTGCCCAAGTTCCTATCCCCTACTAATGTTCAACTAATCTTGCAAATTTTCAAAGGCATCATTGAGGAGAATGTGTCTGTTGGCAAGAAGGATGTTGTTGTTGATGAGATTGTCAGTGAATTGTCCTCTACTATGGAAAAAGAACCGGCGTTCACGTCCATCATAATTGATGAGATTGTCAATCCGATCTTGACTCAGGGGGGAAGTGGTGATGATGATGATATGTTTGACACTAAGCGTCTCAAGTTTGTCCTTGGTATTATACAACAATTGACGACAAATCATCAGGTTTTGGAAGTTGTCGCGATCAGGATTATGAGTAGGGGAAATTTTACCATTGATTCATTGATGGTTGTTGTTGAGTTTTTCATTGAATTGTTTAATAAAGTGGAGACTGTGCTGCCATTTTTGACAAATTCATGGTATAGAAAGTTCATTCCTAAATTGATGGGTGTGTTGCAGCGGTTGGTTCCGGTGGTTGAGGGTCTGAGTGTGGGTGGGTTTGATGGAGCTGCATTGGCATTGTTGGAAGTGAGTGGTGATTTGCTTCGTTTCATTGTACGATTCATCGATGTAAGTAAACATCAGTCCATATTGGAGGAAATGTATCAGGTATTCTGTACCGATGCGGTGGAACCAAAGCTTGTATTTGAATACCAGGGGAATTTGTTACTCCATCCTACGCCATACATGACTATTTACAACAAGATTGTGTCAGGTATTGACAAATCATGCAAATATGAACCTGCTGAGCACTCTGTGTTAGTCGTGGCGCAAATCTTGACAACTCTCACGGACAAGTACTTGCGAGTACAATACTTGCAACATCTCTGTCTTGTCGTGAATAAGTTTGGTCCAGTGTCATTCAAGCCTACGTTGTCATTCACCAATGTGAATGATTTTGAAGTATATGTGTGGAACTTGAAAGCGCACTTGATGAAACTTGAGCCGAGAGTGGAGATAATGACGGCCTTGGATGAGTTGTTGAAAATGTTGCAATTGGAAACAACATCAACTCGTGATAAGCAATTGATTGTCAATGCGTTGCCTTTGCTTGTCATTGATTTGAAATTGTTTATAAATACACCACCATCGCTATCCTCGCGGAAAATCATCTCTAATGTGAACAATCTCAATGTCAAGTTGTTGTATAAGCAACAGGTGTTTGAGCGGATGTTGCCCTACTTGATCAAAGAGCAGCATGAATATGGAGATGGTGGAAGTGGTGGAGAGACTGACTTATTGAGCATCCAGGCATTGGCATTGATATTGCCCCATATTCCACAGAAAATCTTGGTGCCACATTTATCCACATTTGTGCCATTTGTACTCAGTGCCATCTCACACAACACAAAGTCTCAAACGCAAGGATTGATCAACAAGGCCGGGTTGAGCATATTGGAAATCATTCTCAAGGAGAATGCCACTATAGTGCAACTGAAGCTATCAACCGTAGTCACCAGTTTGGTCCAATTAGCAACAACACTGAGCTCTAGTGATGGAGATGGAGATGGAAATGGAAATGGAGATGATGATGATGTGCGAAAATCGGCATTGAGCAACTTGGTTCTTGTTTTCACAAACTTTGACGTGGGTGTGGTTGAGAGGTTCAAGGGTGGCGTGGTGAAGCGGTTGGAAGTGTGTTTGGATGACAAGAGGCGTAGTGTGAGGAAATTGGCCATTGACTTGAGACAAATCTTGTACGAGATGCGGTAGCTGAGAGAGGACAAATGCAGTGTATATAATGTATATATATACATTCATATAGAGTTTCCTATTAGGTGTCTGGTTCTGATTCTGATTCGTTGTAGTCAACTGGGGCCAAACCTGGCGTCAAACCTGGCATAGAAATCAACCCGCGTTTGACCTTGTCGTCAAAATCAATATACTCTTGTTTAGTCACAGCATCACCATCCCCTTCACCATGCTCACTCTTTTTGTTTGGGACGAGCAATTTCTTGCGCAATCTCCGCTTCAGCAGCAGCAAAGTCGGTTGTAAATCATTCAATAATTGCAATTTAACCGATTGCAACTCCAGCTCAACTTCGAAATCGTCAATGTGGGACAAGTTTTTAATCTGGTTTGTGTTTTTGCGAACTAGTTTCCGCAAGTATGCTTTGTCAGACTCAGTTTGTTGTGAGGCGGGTTTCGATAGAATGTGATTGTACTTTATGAATTTTTCAAATTTTTTATCTTGAGATTCACGTTTTTTGTTTTTTTTTTGCAATGTGCTGCGTTTATTTTTTGATTGAGACTTGGGGTTGGCTCTTGTAGATTTGGGGCCTCGGTGGAGTTGGTTGGTTAGGATTTGTGTGGATGAAAGTTTTGCATCATCCTTGTTGTTTGTGCTTGTGCTTGTTGTAGGTTGGGTATGTAGTATATCTGCAAATAACTTATTCACTGTTTGTTCAGCTTGATGCTGGGATGCCTTTGATGTGAATGCCATCCCTGTGGAGTTAGACGTGATTGTAGAATGCAGCGGTACGTGTTGCAAAAGGTAACTAGTGAAGAACGAAGAAGATATTTTTTTATTTTTTTTTCGGAAGGGAAGAGATGAGATTGTCGCAAAATCGCTTCAATGTCGTAACATGTTACGACATTGGAGTTAGTCAAGTGTATGTCACGTGGTACGACTCTTTTTTTTTCCACGCGAATTCTGATTCTTGATTTGTTCGTAAATGAGACAAATAAACAAAACAATCTCAATATGTAAACGTTGTTTGAGCTTTGCCCCGTTTCTGAGGTTAATTTTTTCATCTGCTGTTTGATTTTAATTTTTGCAGCAAGGATAATTCAAATGTGTCAGCTCCTACGTTTTGTGTTACTTCCGGAGCGTCACAATAATTTTTGTTTTTTTTTTTTTTTCTGCGAATTTTTGAAATGTGGGGAAAGAAAAGGAAAGGAAAGAGAAATGGGTACACCACGGATAATCATTGTCAACTATGAGGTCATCAGTAGAGAGTACTAGCTCTAAAGCTCTTGGACGTGGTAGCGTATAAGTCGATCAATAGTATTGATGGAGACATGTACCAGAAGAAGCACTTATTTCTCGCAAGTGGTTCACCACAATCAATTGAGTATGTGATTGAGGAAACACTGTGTTGGTGGAATGTATGGCGTCAATGTAAAGAAGCGAAAATCTTTCACTTGAAAAAGAGTAAATATGGATTAAGAGTTCAAGAGGTTGGGAAGGATGAGCAAAGGGCTGTTTGCAGAGAACCGAGGTGCGAAAGCGAAAAAAAAAAATATAAAACAAAAAAATACAAATTAAAAAAAGAATGTTAGCTTGAAACAACTATGCGTATCTTTCATCATCAACAACATCGGTTAGTAATTGTCCATCCACAAACGGAGAAAGAGGAGGGGGAGGGGGAGGGAGAAGGGGCAGCGTTCTGAAAACTCCGTAAGCATACGTAAAACAGGAGAAGATATCACATCAAATATATATTGTTGCTGTCTTGTGCTTGTTAAATTCTTGTCCTGTAAAGGTCGTGTGCTGTGGATAAATTTATAGTGCTACATAATGCGAACCGAGGACGTTGAGAAAGCATAAATTACCTAATTGGGGAATGACAAGCTTTAAAACTACTTAAATTACTTTTGACCGTACAAATGTATTATAATATTACGCAGGTAAGAATAATACTTCTCAACAACGGGTAGCGGTCTATAAAGCTAGCAAGAAAGGAGCATATGATAAAAAAAGAAGGGTATCAAAACTCCGTTTTCTTACTGAATTTGTAGATAAATGAGCGGAGTTTGATGGAATACGCAAATACTGTGTAAGAATTGACTGAGGTTAATTAATGGAGATCCACAGTGTATTCATATGTGCGTGATAGGGAGGAATTAAAGCCTGGTGAAAGTACCACTAGCAGTATTGCTGATGTTACATGTGAAAAAAAGGAAAAAAAAAAAAAAAAAACTTCCATAATAATCATAATAGTAATAATAGTAATAATGATAATAATAATAATAATAATAATAATAGCACTAACAATTACCAGTGTATATATAGAGGTAGTGTACATGTACTAAATCCGGTGTGTCACATGAAAAGAAAGAAAAAAAAAACAAATAAAGAGGGGGTTAACCTGCATATAACCCCTCTCTCTCTTTCTCTCTCTCTCTCTCTCCCATTTTCCTCCACAAATGACAAACCAACTGGTAAGTGAGGCAAACCATATAAATTGATCAACAAATTTCTTCAATTTCTCACAATTTGAAAATTTTGCTCTAATCAAGAACTTTCTTATTCTTATATCTACACCTAAACTACCACTACTATGTCTGTCGAAGCTCAAGGATTCAACGCCAGCCCATACTTTAAGCAAATTGAAGAAGGTCTCTCAAACGCTGAACTTTCTCAAGCTGCCAAAAAGTCAGTCAATGCTGTCATCATCATCACCTTGAAGAACAAGGAAGGTAAAGACCAATCATGGACCTTGGATTTGAAGAATGCCGGTACCATTAAGAAAGTTGACGGTTCTCCACCAAAGGGTGACGTTGAGTTGATTTTGAAGGATGTTGATTTCGTCAAGTTGGCTGAAGGTAAAGCCAATGGACAAAAATTGTTTATGAATGGTAAATTGAAGGTTAAGGGTAACTTGATGAAGGCCACTGCTATCGAGTCTGTCTTTAAGCAATTGGACCCAAGACCAAAATCTAAGTTGTAAGTTAGAGAGGAGAAATGATGCATTGTGGAGAGGAGAGAAGAGAAGAGAAGAAAGGTGGAAGCAATATGGTCTTTCACTTTTGATGTGTCGTCTGCTTAAATCTTCTTCTTCTTCTTCTACTACTACTATTACTACTACATAGTTCCTTTCAATTTGATGAAGCCTTATATTATTTTACAGAGGGTACTAAGTTATAGAAATGCTTTTTCTCTTGTTCTCTAGATTGCTGCTGGAACCTTAGATCTGCCTGTGTTGCTTTGAAGGTTCACAAGTAAAGTGAGATTACAGTTGTTTTAACTTACAATCGATGTCCTCTTGCTTAGTAGCTAGGGTGTGATATATCCTTATTGTATCTACTCTTCTGATCTTGAAAGTTGTGCACTGTATCATACGATATTTAGGTAGAGAAATGGCTGGTAAAGCCTCGGAAGCAAAAGTGCCAAAAATGAAAAAAAAAAAAAAATTGGGTGGTGTCGTGATGTAATAAACTGCGACATTCTTAATCAAGTTGTGCGACACTGAGAATACATACACGTTGTTCTACGCTAGTGCTTGAATTGTTTATACCTGGAACTTTTTCGAATCGAGTGTAGGGATGAGGAGAGATGGATAATCTTGTATTACCAGAACACAGTCGAAAAACATCACTAGCTCAACTTATCTGGTATGTGTAAACTAAATGTCAACCTTCGTATTGAATCTATTTATTTTCCAGCTATCTACGTTTATGTATTATAAATTTGTTAAATTGTTTGCTAGATTGTTCTTTGGGTTTTACACCTAGCATTGTAGAGTCTTATAACTCCAGTTCCAACTCATTCTACACCATCTCTTTTCTCTCTCTTTCTCTCTCTCTCTCTCTCTCTCTCTTTCTTATATCTACTTTTATGTCCTGAGGTGGTGTCAATAAAACTTCAATTCGTTGGTGTGGTGTCTTTTGCCAAAACTGCAAAATCAAATCCAAATCCTATGCGAAAATAAGCCTTCCCTTCTCCCTACAACACCACACATACACATACACATACACACTCACTCACTCACTCACTGACCCACTGACCCACTCACTGACCCACTGACCCACTGACCCACTCACTGACCCACTGACCCACTCACTCACTCACTCACTCACTCACTCACTTACAATGTCCTCCAGTAATGTCGAAGAGTCTATGTCTATGTTTTTTGATGATGAATTTAATCCATCCACTTACATAGACAAGCTAGTCACTTCAGTCACTCAACAAAAATCAACAACAACACCAACAACAACAACGACAACGACGCATGCACCATCATCTTACTCCAAACAGTCGCTAACAAAATTATCTCACACGATTAATCAATTAATTACCCATTTTGACTACTATGTCAACGATATAGCCAACAATAGTCTACATGAGAAGCTCGAAAAGTTGCACAAATCAAGTGCATTGATACACACAGGAACGGAAATAGACCAGAAGAATGGTGGTGGTTCAGGAGGCTCTTCAAGATTACAATACCATTTGAACATCCTCGACAATTCAATTTTGTCGTTGCAGTCTGAACTTGAAGAGATCAACAAGAGTATCGAGTCGAATGAGAGCATCAACAATGAGGCAGTGCAAACGTTGGTGCAATTGAAAGTTGTCAAACAGAATCTAGTCACTGTGATTGAAGTTTTGGAAATGGTGATAAACTCTTTGTCCAAAGTGAATGAGAGTAAACTGAACTACACAGTGGAGGAATTTCAACTGATTCTTGATGAGTTATTGAGTAGCGTTAAGCTGCAATTGAATACTATTGGAGACAAGTCTATCCTTCTAGCTCATATCGATAAATTAGTCAGCTTACAGGATGTATTTTCGAGCTTGAACAACTTCAGCCCAGTGTATAAGCGGTTCACTACAAAGTTGATCACGGAACGAGATGAACATTTGAAACGGTCAAATACATGAGTTCGCTATTTACAGGTAAAAAAGGTCTCTTTCGTCCTCTCCCTCTCTCTATCACTCCCCTTCCAATCTTAACCTCTCCTTCTCTTCTTGCAATTGTTGCTGTTTCGACAAGTTCCTATTCATAACATCCAACTTCCTCATCTCTTCCTCAGGATCGAAATTCCCCGACGACAATTTATCATACAGATCATCATATTTACCCGTTGACAATGGCGCATTCCCCTTCATTCGTTTCCTCATATCGATAGACCCGCGCTTGCATTCCATAAACGCCCTAAAATTGGCTTTACATAGCTCGGGTAAATCTTTCTTGAGGTTGGGATCAGTTAGACATTCCTTGGGTGTGTGTCTTTGTATTAGCACGCATGGTGAGCGTTGTAAACAGACTGCTAATGCTATTTTCTGATCCTTGCAGCTTAAAGTGGAAAAGCAGTTAGTATAGTTGTGAGGTTGTGGGTGCTATTGTGTGGTTGGGCTTACTTACCTTCCTCCCATTGTGTCAGTGTGGTAGTGCTGTGTGTGGTTCGTGGGTACTTTGTAGTGTGTGCTGGTTCTGATGGTGTGACAAAAAATTTCAATTTATTATTATTTTTCTCTTTTTTTTTTGGGCTTTCTTGGTCCCTTGTCGCGTGCAACTCTCTCAACCAGTATTGATTAATCGAGTGCTACTACTACTCACACAAGAATATTCCAATGACAATCACATTCATTCCTGGAGAGGTCAACAGAAGCGCGTGCTCTGTAGTGCAATCCAACTGGAAGAACCACCACATTATCGCCTATGGTTCAGGTAACAATTTAATAATCACCTCGGCAACAATTGCACCCACAAATAAACGACCCAACCCATACAACATCGATAAAGACTTGCAGACTGTATACCTTGCCAAAGACCCCGCTGCTATTGACATAAACCACAAGACTGGGGTCATTGCTGTGGCGTACGATGACAAGCTCATCATTTACAAACCATTAAATGAATACATGGCGATACCGAAATGGACATTGGCAATTGAGTTTGCGGTAAAGTTTGAAGTGACGTGTCTTGAATGGGCTTGTGAAGAGGATGAATTGGTAATTGGTGGGAGAGAGAGTATATGTTTGTATCACGTGGCTGAACAATACGGCGAGTTTAAACTTCGACAACGATGGAGTTCAACCCTACCGAGGCCCGTGTCGAGCATATGTATTGCCCCCAATGCCAAGCTTATAATGACCACGAGTGGGCCATATGATCGACTAGTCAAAGTGTGGACACGCATGAATTACGGCGATGACAACAGTCAGTTTGAAGTGTCGTATCTCGTGCATCCACCAGGCACGCACGTTGTGGATTTCCATTGGAGAAGGAAGTCGGGAATCAAGAGTGATAAAGTGTTGGATGGATCTATGGCGCATATTAGGAAGATGAGGGGGTATGTCAATTTCAATAATGACGAGGGCGAGGTGATTTACACGTGGACGTCAAATGCGCAGTTTAAAGTGTGGGCTTCTTATGAAACTAATGGGCATAATCAGATTACCAATTGGGCCAATTTGGATTTGAGTGAGTGCTTTGGCAGCGGTGTTGGTGGTGGTGATGAAATCAGGTCAGTGCTTGTTATTGAAAATATTTATCTTCAAAATAGTCTCATACCGTTGTTGAAAACAACCAAATCTACATTATTTGATAAACTCAACTTGGACGATTTTGATTTATTGTATGTCATTTCAAATTCAGGAACGGCAAGAATCTATGCTGTGACTAATATAACACAAACCCCACCTACGAATATAAAATTTGTTCCTGTTGGCCAGGACTTGGATCTTGAGTTTGGAAGGAATGAGTTCCCGCATTTGGATGTACTGTGTGGACACAAGTTGTCACGGGAGTACATTGAATCAGAAGAGTTTGTAGCGACTCATTTGAAACCGGTTTTGCTAAAGAGTCTATCTCGATTGAATAATGATGAGCGGGTCAAGGACCTTTCATTCTTGCTTCATGATCGAGTGAAAAACACCGTTCGGTTTGAAGTTGTTGATTTTAAAAAACTATTACAATCGAACCAATTGGGAATCACATTGATTAATAAGTTCCAAGGTCACATCAAATCTATCCGAAAACTAGTTCGATCAAACTCGCTCTATTCCTCGGAGAATGTTGTGTTGTCAATTTCCAACTTTGCCAAGCATAATTACATTTGGGAACCAATGATTATAGACCAGAATGGGTTGAATGTGATGTCCATTACCAAGCGATTCAGATTGGAGTTGGCAGGTGATGACAATAGTATATGGGACGCGGCAATTATAAATGATATTGAGCCACCAGTGGGCTATAACCGACGCCATTTGGTGGCTGTCGTTGAAAAATCGGGTAAATTGAGTCTTTGGGATTGCGATGGGTCGATAAATGACGATCAGCCAGCTACACAAATTGAAGTTGTCGAGTGTCATGAGAGACAACCGCGGGCGTTTGTGTTGACTGAAGATGCGAGAAATACGCGAGAGAGGAAAGTGTATTGGATCATTGCTGTGTTTGAGAAGGATTTGATCAAGGCGTGGAATTTGGAGTTGATTTATCGTGGTGATGGGATTGATTCTATCAGACTTCGAGATCAACTGATTGCCAATTTACCTCAACATGAAGAGATCCACCAAGTTACTCGCGTTGATGCGTTTTTAAGTGATGAGAAAAAGAGTTTGATTGCTGTTATCGACAAGGAAGGTTTATTGAAGAGTTTTACTTTGGATTATAAAGATGACGTTGATCAACTTGAGTGGACTACAACATGTAGCATCCCCACCAATGTTAAAAACGCGGCAAAGATTAACGGATCAACTGTGATTAACAAATTTGCCGTTGTTGATGGATCAGGACGGTGTTTATCAATTTGGGATACTAATCAAGGGGTGTTGGAATATGAAGAGACTTTCGACCTGGAGAATGGACCAGTTACTGACTTAGATTGGACTTTTATCAATGCCACCACCAATACAAATTCGACTACGAATGCCATCTTGTCGGTTGGATTTGGCAGATTTGTGCTTCTATACACCCAGTTGCGGTACGACTATACAAACAAAATACCAACTTATGCCACCATCAAGAAAATCGACGTGTCTGACTACACTTCGCATGAGATTGGTGATCTGATTTGGCTTGATAAGGGGTATTTGGTGATTGGGTGCGGGAACCAATTTTTCATTGATGATAGGTGGATCAAGTTGGGTTCTGGTACAATTGATTCAACGATACGGCAGTTGATGAGTGGGTATGTTGATAAGGTGCAGCGGGGAGGTGAGGGGGAGGATGATAATGATAATAATCGAGGAGCTAAAGATAGTATAGTTTACGATATTTCACAATTGGTGCGGGTCTTAAATGGTCCTTTGCCAATTTATCATCCGCAATTTTTGATCCAAGCGTTGTTTATGAGCCAGATTATCCCGGTGCAGAAAATCTTGGTCAAGTTGTTTCAAGCTTTGCGACAGGGTGAAACGCTTGAATGGGATTTGGGGATTGATTTTGCATCCGAGATCGGGAAACAGCTGGAGGTGGGTAGTGGTGATGGGAATGGCAAGATGCAACCATTGCAGCGACGCATGTCGCAAACTTTCAACTTGGATGTGTTTACCAAATTCAATGACGAATTGGCCGATTTATTACTGGATAAATTGATGAAGGTGTCGCTTCCTTTGATAACACGGCATCAGCAAAGTACATTGTTGTCGGTTGTTGCCATAGTCAGGGAATTGAACAAGTATTCATTGACGTTGGATGAGAATGGGATTAGGTTCATGATTGGTTTCAAATTGTTTCAATTGGCAACCAAACAAAAAGAACTTTCAATGAGAGATATCAACTGGGCTCTACATTCAGAGAATAAAGAAGTGTTGTTGGACTCTGTGGAAACGTATTACAAGAACCGATTGACTTGGGAAAATATCAAACAAACGGGGTTGGCATACTGGGTCAAGACTGACCGGTTAATCAAGTTGGTGGAGTCAGTGGCAAGAAATGAGTTTGGTGAACTGCGTGATCCTTCAGGTTTAGTGTCTTTGCTTTATCTAGCCTTGCGTAAGAAGCAGATATTGATTGGATTGTGGCGGATAGTCAACCATGAAGAAAAGACGAAAATGTTGAAGTTTATGAGTAATGATTTCACTGATGCACGATGGAAGTCTGCCGCATTGAAGAATGCCTTTGTCTTACTTGGTAAACATCGATATATGGATGCGGCTTATTTTTTCTTGTTGGCGGATAAACCATATGATTGTTGCAGTACGTTGGCGACAAAAGTAGAGGACATTTCGTTGGCTATAGCCGTGGCCAAAATATATTTTGGTGTGCAAAATATTGGTAAAGAGTCAAATGAAGTTTTGGTGCAAGTTATGGAGAAGTTTGTTTTGCCCCGTGCGATTGAGAATGGTGATCGATGGAGTACAAGTTGGGTGTTTTGGCAGATGAACGATAAGCAAATGTCGATACAGTCATTGATCAAATCGCCGATGCAAATGATTGAGGAAAGTGGTGATCGGTTTAAGGAATTGGTGCGTCAAGTTGCGGTATCGTCAAAGGGACAAAGTTTTCTTCGTGATGACCCGGTTCTTGTATTGTTGTTTGATGATTTGAGGCATCGCAAAGTTGATTATCTCAAGGGATCATTGAGTATTTCCCCGCAACAAGAATTTGATTTCGTTGTTCGTGTGGCGATGATATATTCCAGAATGGGATGTGAGTATCTTGCTTTGCTACTTTTGAGAAATTGGACATTTTCGCAAGAGCAAAAGGATGGTGTACATGTCAATGGGGTGCATGTCAATGGAAATGGTGCTGAGAACAAGAATGGAACGCGAAATGGACAAGCTCAATCACAATATGGAGATTCTTCAGTACCTAATATACTTGACTCGTTTGGCGACGCACAATTGTCACCCACGGCACCACTGTTGAAGAATAAGGCGCCTCCTCCAGCGCAAGCGTTTGAGGAACCTGATATGAGCTCATTCAATTTTGGCTTTTAGGGGTCCAACAAGACACACACACACACATATATATATATATATATACTATGTTTTGGATTCCGCTTTTGCAGTACTATGTAGCCTATTCAAAACACATTATTTGCCGATTGTAATAAATTCCAAATTGGACCAGCCAATTTCTCCCATGGCTCCAAGATAGTCAACACCACACCCACTACAAAGAACATCCACATTCGTGAAACCAAGACTCCCATAATCACATGAAAGATGGAAGTATTGAAAATTGCGAGAACGATATGGACAGTCTCTTGCGTGATTTCCCAATATTCAGTCTCATCTTCAAAGCCTCGTAAATGCACCAATTTGAGCAAGACATATTTCACGGGTGATGACAAGATCATTTTCGTCACGAGGATGTCCCATGTCCACAAATACTTGTTCACAACGTAGATCAAATCGTAGTGATGAAATACTTGACGGTATAGCAACTTGGGGTCACCGAAATTAGCGTCTAGTAGAACTTCGCATTGTTGTGGCTTAACTTGACAAAATTGTCTCGATAGGAGGATGACTCGGAAGTTTGTTTGAACGTAGCTGAATAATTCTGGAGATATGAATGTTGGGATTAGGTAGATTGATAGTGATATTGGGAGGATAAAGTAGAGGAGTATTTTGGCGGACGTAAGGAATTCTTGGTTTGGTTGTGGTGGCAAGAGCGGCATTATGGGAGACGCATTAGAAGGGTGAGTTATGGTCGCAACTGTTTAGTTAAGTTGTGTTGTGTTGTGTTGTGTTGAGTTTGGTTGGTGAAGTGCGGATTTCGGATATTGCAAGTCATTTGATGATTGCCCTTTTGTTTCTTTTGTGTCTTGCTTTTGTGTTAGACAGATAGACACAGACATGGTCAGGATGTGATATAGAAAACTAAACGATGTAATAAGCGTATGACTAGGCAAAAGTTGTGCCACTACATCTGTACTTGGGTATCTTAATGGAAAATTACTATTGTAGTGGCTACTAGTTGTCCTGGAATACAGTCCTTTCACTCCACACAATTTGCACCCAATAAGAAAACTTTTCTTGATATGATATTTTCAAAATCTCTTCTGCTACACAACGATTCCTTTATGTACGCAGCCATATTACTCTACTTCTGTTATGCAGTTGCTGCTTTTGAATTACAGCCACCAATGGAGCATCTTCCAGATCCAAATGATGCATTTCCTACAATCACAGACTTGGACCAAGAATCCAGTCATCAGAATTTATCAGGTATAACGTACCACACTATAAGCAACCAACTGCAAGTTACTCCAGTGTATCTCAAGTCACTATTGTCTCAAAATTTCAAAACCATCGTCTACATTACCAATACAAACACTACAATCATCCCTATTGACGAAGTGCTAATGCATAACGACCCATCAAAGCTTTCATCACTAACCTACCTTGAGATCAAGCATCACTTCAGAAAAAGAGTAAGGTACAACTATATCCCAGTGTCACCATGTATATCAAGTCACACGTTCCGGCTTGATCCACCACTAATGGGAATTGCCTGGACACATCGAGTATCACTTTCATTACGTTACACAACTACATTCGGCGGCTCAATAACTGGAAGCACAGGATCACCGTATTTCTTCAACACAACTACATTTGGTCTAACATTGGGAGAGAAGTTACGATTGAAATACGGGAAAGAACGATCGTGGGATTCATTCGTTGCTTGCTACTCGACTGAATCAGCCGCAAGATTGTTTGGATATGTCCCTTTGCAGACAGTTGACTCAGAGCTCAGAGTGATCCATTTCAATTGGAGAACTGGGGATATGGTGTGGGGCCAGCAATGGTTTCGACATCCGCCTCGAGTCGTTATTGACAAGCTGCAGGGTGTAAGAATGGTTTGCGATGTTAGTAGTAGGGAGAAGTTAAAGTGTGGTAGTACAAGAGGAAGCACAAGAGATCGATTTGGTAATGAGTTGATTTGGGATAATGTGTATTGAATAGATTGCCCCATCTCTGTATTCTCTTTCTATTTTATTTTTTGTATTTTACTGGCTGCGAAAGTTCATACCAAGACAAGGAGCAAAAAAAAAAAAAAAAACGGCACAGAAACCACCGGAAAGACAAAACATGAAACTCTACCTGGCTAGTAGTTGCGAGCGTATGTTGTTGTTATACGTGTGTATATCTGAATTAACAAATGTGTGTGAAAAAAAGAAAGAAGAAAAAAAGAATTCCAACAAACCCTACCCGGGACTCGAACCCGGAGTCTTCTGCTTAGGAGGCAGATGCCTTAACCGTTTGGCCAGCAGGGCTATATTCCAAATCGGGATGAGCTTTGTAAATACATACAGGACTAATTTTGGTCACGTATACCGCTCTTGATAGTTGCAAAAACAAGCAATTAAACCGTCTCAATTGGTTGGTGGGAAGCTTGCTGATAACAAAATCGGTTAATAAGGAGGCAGTAGGAGCTACTAGAGTTTATGTGAATGTGTCTTTTCACACTTTCACAATTCTGTTTCTTTTTTGTCCACGTTTGAAGGCAAAATTTTACATACAGGTTAGCCATTGCTGCGAGATTAGTTTCAAGTGATCAAGCCTGAGCTTTTTATTCGTTGATGCGGGCTAACGATCTAACTCAAACATGCATGCTGTGTTTACTCTAGCTGGGTGTACCATTCGACTTGTGAGTGAAACATGAAGTCAGTTTTGAGTAGCAATGGGGACACTTAATACAGAAGCAAGGCTCTAAGCATCCCACAACGAGGAAATGTAAAGCGAGCCCATGTCGCAAACTTCTCTTTATCCCCTTAACTCGTTGTGTTTTTGTGCAAAGCAATGAGATTTACTTTTTGGCTTGGCATTTTTATGCTGTTGCAAAATTATTATCAATTTTTTTATTTTTTTTTTTTTGGTCAGAATCTAAGCCTTGAGCCGTATGAATGAATGGATCAGAATGGATCAGAATGGATCAAAATGAACACCACAAAATTTTTTAACCAAATAGTCTTCTCGGTTTTTACACCGTCTTCTCTGTTACATTTCAAAACTCTCGAGATTGATTGTTAGTAGGGGCAATTCGAAAAGAAAGGCAGCACTCTTCTCTGTTCTTGAGCGAATTGTTGCAGCCCCTGAATTTTGTCACAGCTTGTCACTCTAACAACGCCAACCCCACAAAAGTGGCAGGTAAGTGAATGGTTGGGTTGTTGCAGAGAGATAGTGAAGAAGGCTTTTTCTACGTCTCCTCAGACAATATGTGTACACGTTGCAGGTCCCGTGTAAAATTCAGATGTACTGAAAGCCACGCGGGGTTTAATTATCCCAGAGATGGGCTGAGCACCTGCTAGGGAATTGGAAGTATGTAACTATTAAACACTTTAATCATCTTTGCACATGTATTTATTTATGAAATGACGGAGTGCACCTCCTACGTCTTGGCGGAATTTCATATTTACGGAAAGTGATTTTGCAACCACTGTCGCAAAAAAAAAAGAAACATTTATGAATCCTTAGTCAGGAGGTCATAGCAAATTTCACCAAGAAAAAAGAGGCAGGAAGGCAGGGAGGCAGGTCCAGGGCTGTGTAGAAAGAAAGTATAAGCTAAGAGCAATGAGCAAATTTCAATTGGGGGACAAGGCTTTGTTGTCAAGTTGAGTCTCAAGAGAGTGTGCGCACAGAAGGAGGAGCACCTTGCTGGTAGAAACCACTTCATCAGATGGCGTTGGGCTCAATGAAGTCACATGCCACGAGCAAGATTTTAAACGAGTGGTAGGAGAGAGCTGCATTCAATGAGCCCATCTAATTCCAAAAACTTTTTAGAGTTTAGAGTTTAGAGTTTTGATTCCATGTCGACTATTGATGAGAGGGGGAGGGGAAAGAATAGAAAAGAACGAAGGAAATACACAGGAATTGAGATTGACTTTTGCAACATGAGATGATTTGATGGTGTTTGCTAAATTTTGAACCCACATCCTCGTACGGCCTCAATGCACTGGTGGAGGCCGGAGTGCGCGCTGGCGCTAAGTTCAAGGGAAGCGTGTATAGCGCAGATTATAATAGGTTCCATTTGTGTAAGCTTTCAACTAATGAGATTTTTAACAATAGAGCCTATTGATGAGCTCGGTATTCATGTAACTTTTACTGCGTTCAGTGCCGTCCTTTGATGCGTGTTACGCGACGACAGAATTTGATATCAAGCCCAAAAGAATTGCAAGGTTTACTCAGCCTCGTTCTATATGACGCAAAACTAAATATTTTCTTGGCACATTGTCGTGAATGTCGCTGTTGCGACATCCAGAGATACGAACCACTGAGCTCACTGATCCTCAGCGCTAGTTAGCTGCGGCTGAGGAGTTCCGATGGGCTGAGTGATGCCCTAAATACAGCCTTCTTGGTTGGTTCTCCTTTACAGTGATACGAATGGCATTTTTTTGTTTCTATTGTGTGTGAATTTGTAGCTGTTTTGCTTTTTGCATATTTTAACCTCTGGTGCATGTTGAAACATTTCCTTAGAGAGAGAGAGAGTGTGTGTGTGTGATGACAAGAGTTTTGGTGGAGGTAGAAGGAGTCACTGTAATTTCCACAATACAGTTGCTGTTTCAGCATGACTTTGTTTGGAAGAGGAATTCCAAGCGACGGAAAGGGTTTGCAAGATTCATGGAATGATGAAGGCTTAGCCACTGTTGATTATATACACCAGGGCTATGGGATTTGATAAGAAAAACAAAAAACAAAAAACAAAAACAGGTCTCAGGGGAGTTAATGCTTACACATTTGCATTCGACGTTAATAGTGGTCTTGGTACACTGAAAAAACAGGGCGCCTTACATGGGGAACTAATCTTTGCACATTAGAATCCGAATAATTAATTAGTTACATCTTTCATCTATTGTCTACACTCTGGTTAGTTATTGTGGCTTTTCTGCGTTTGTATTTCCTATTTCATTAAAAAGTATCCGGCGGCAACTTAAAAGAAAAAAAAAAAAAAAAGAAAAAGAAATATGTGGAATTCACATAGATAGAAATATAAAACAACCCAAAATCATCGTTTTTATCATATTTTAGCAATATAGTTATTCAATACTCAGCCATTAACGAAACCACATAGAGATATACCCATATATATATACACCCATATATACGTACATGGCCACAGTATAATACCACTACACTTCCATTACAACAAACATACGCCAGTAAGAGGAATTGCTGATCAATAAACCCACCCCCTCCCCCTCCCCCCCCAAACAAGGCTTTAACTTCATTTAAACTGCCTACTGCATTACATTACAACTACCCTTTGATTAAGATATGGCACCAAGAACCAAGGCAGATCGCTTGGGTCGGGCCTCTACCATGGAGAGTTTGCATAACGACAACGCTGCCGCTACATCTACCAATGCAGCCACGCGACTTCAAGATGGCAGCACGGAAGCACAGGGCAGACAACTGAAAGATAACAGCACGGCTTCAAAAGATCATCCTCCTTCTTATACTCGTCATGACTCAATAGAACTACAACTGACGTCTTCCCTACAATCCTTTTCAAAGAACCCCACGAAGCAGCCACCCCCACCAGTAGCACACATATCAACCCATCAGTCCCTAACACGTAGACTAACAGGCAGATTATCATTAACTGGCACCCGCAGTCACTTTGATTCACCCATATCACCCAGTGATCTTTCTGGTTTGCACGACCCCAAGTCATTGAAACACTTGTACGATCTAGGCGGAGTCGATCGATTATTGTCTTTGTTGAAAACATCGCCAAAGGGGCTCGACGAGCACAATGAAGCTGATTTGGAAGCCCGACGTCACGATTTCGGTGTAAATAAACTACCACAAAGGACATCAAAGAGCTTTTTGCAACTTTGTTGGGAAGCAATGAAGGATAAAGTGTTGATTATTTTGTCTATTGCCGCGGTTGTGTCCTTGGCTTTAGGGTTGTACGAAACGTTTGGTAGTGGTACACACTACGACGATGAAGGTAAACCTTTACCCAAAGTTGATTGGGTTGAAGGTGTGGCTATTTTGGTGGCTATTGCTATAGTTGTCTTGGTTGGAGCAGCCAATGATTACCAAAAGGAACGACAGTTTGCTCGTTTGAATGCTAAAAAGGAAGACCGTGAATTGATCGTGGTGCGGAATGGTGAAAAGAAGTTGGTGTCAATTTATGATTTGTTAGTTGGCGATGTCATCAATTTACAGACCGGTGATGTTGTCCCTGCAGATTCAATCTTGTTTCAGGGTGATGTTGAGTGTGATGAAAGTGCGCTTACCGGTGAATCCGAACCAGTTAGAAAAGTACCAGTGGATGATGCAATGCAAGTGTATGAGCTGCATTTACCTACTGATGAGGATATTGGCAGCAGGACGATAAAATTTCAAGATCCTTATTTAATTTCAGGAGCTAGAGTCTTGGCTGGATTGGGTAATGCGTTTGTTACTGCAGTTGGACCAAACTCAATCCACGGAAGAACAATGGCAAGTCTACAACATAAACCAGAATCAACTCCTATGCAAGAAAGATTGGACAATTTAGCTGAAGGAATTTCAAAGTATGGATTCCTCGCAGCCATAGTCTTGTTCATTGTGTTGCTCATTAGATTCGGTGTTGACTTGGCTCCAGGAGGGTCATTCCATAACTTGAACCCGACTGATAAAGGACGGAAGTTTATTGATATTGTTATTACGGCAGTCACTATTGTCGTTGTTGCTATACCTGAAGGTTTGCCACTTGCAGTCACTTTGGCTTTGGCATTCGCCACTACAAGAATGGCTCAAAATGGTAACTTGGTTCGAGTTTTGAAAAGTTGTGAAACCATGGGTAGCGCAACTGCCATTTGTTCTGACAAGACTGGTACTTTAACTGAAAATAAGATGAGAGTTGTGCGAGGCTTTTTTGGCTTGAACCAAGATGGTCAAGTTTTGGAGTTTGATAACACAGCAGCTAATGAGTACGAGCCTACTTCAGTTGATGTCGCAAGGGAAATCACTCCCGAATTGAGAACTTTCCTTGCTACTAACATCATCCTCAACTCAACTGCATTTGAAAACAGTGACTACAATGAGGATCTAGTCAATGCTGCTAAAAACAGACCAAAATCAAAAAGCTTTCTCCAGAAACTCTTTTCCAAATCTGAACTGGCTTCTCAAGTAGAGAAGGATATTCTTTCTGCTGAGCCATATTTGGGAAATAAGACAGAGTCGGCATTATTAATCCTTGCCGACAAGACTTTCGGAGCATTTGCAAACAAAAGACTCGATGAAGTTCGAAGTGAAGGAGGGAAAGATGCTGAACAAATGATTCCTTTCGAAAGTTCCAGAAAGTGGTCTGGGGTAGTAATGAAGATTGAGAATGGATTCCGTGTGTACATCAAGGGAGCTGCTGAAATTGTTTTCAAAAACTGTGGATATGAACTGAATGTAGATGGCGATTTGATAAAGTTGGATAGAACGAAACGGGATGATGTCTTGACCAAAATTGACGAGTATGCCAGTGACGCCTTACGTGCTATTGCATTAGCACATAGAGATTTTGTTGGTATTACATCTTGGCCACCAGAGGAATTGAAAAACCTGGAAAATCCACATGAGGTTGATACTGAAGCGTTGGTAAATGTTAATGCTAGTGCCAGTGAGATCAACAAGCAATTTGTTTTGGACGCATTGGTTGGTATTCAAGATCCGTTGAAACCAGGCGTCGGTGAGGCTGTGTTGCAATGTCAACATGCCGGGGTTACTGTTCGTATGGTTACGGGAGACAACTTGAACACGGCAAAGGCCATCTCCAAAGAATGTAACATTCTAACACCAGATGACTTGGACAATGAATATGCATTTATGGAAGGGCCCAAGTTTCGGAAATTGTCACCAGCAGAACGCCGGAGAATTGTACCCAAATTGCGAGTATTGGCACGATCATCACCAGAAGACAAGCGTATACTTGTTGATACGTTGCGGAAAAGTGGTGAAGTTGTTGCTGTCACTGGGGATGGTACTAACGATGCGCCAGCTTTGAAATTAGCTGATGTTGGGTTTTCCATGGGTATTGCCGGTACCGAAGTTGCTCGTGAAGCCTCCGACATTATATTGATGACGGATGATTTTACTGATATTGTTCAAGCTATTAAATGGGGTCGTACTGTTGCTACATCTATCAAGAAGTTTATTCAGTTCCAGTTGACGGTGAACATCACTGCCTGTGTGTTGACATTCGTCTCTGCTGTTGCCTCGAGGGAAAATAAATCTGTATTGACGGCAGTTCAATTATTATGGGTCAATTTGATCATGGACACTTTGGCAGCATTGGCTTTAGCTACTGATAAGCCCGATGACTCATTTTTGAACCGGAAACCAGCCGGTAGGCATGCTCCATTGATCTCAACATCAATGTGGAAGATGATTTTGGGTCAGTCGGCTACTCAATTGATTATTACCTTTGTATTGCACTTTGCCGGGAAGCAGTTGTTCCACCCGGGACGCTCACATATTTCCAACCATCAACAGGAACAATTGGATGCGTTGACGTTCAATACGTTTGTTTGGTTGCAATTTTGGAAATTGATTGTTACTCGTAAATTGGATGAGGCGGATGAAATCACAACTGTACGGGGAAGAATCACGATGGAGAATTTGAATTTTTTCCAACACTTGTTCCGTAATTGGTATTTTATCGCCATCGCCTTGATTATAGGTGGGTTCCAGGTGTTGATTATGTTTGTTGGTGGTGCTGCATTCAGTATAGTGAGACAAACTCCAGGACAGTGGGCCACGGCTATCTTGTGTGGGTTTATCAGTATACCCGTGGGAATTGTGATTCGTATTGTGCCTAACGTATGGGTTGAACGTGTATTCCCTACTAGGGCGTTCAATTTGTTTATCTATTATGTTGGATTTGGGTGGCTCAAGAAAAAGAAGAAGAGCAAGCACGAAGAAGACGAGGAGAATGTTGGAGGAACTGGAGAGAATGGTGTGAATGGCGGTGTCGCTGGTGGAGCTGAATCCAGAGCTGGAGATAACACTAAGCTGGTCAATTCGAGTACTTCGGACAAAACAAAGATGTAATGACGAAGTTGCAATTTTGCTGATGACTATAATGATTATGATAATGATCACAAGTGAAAGCTGAGAGAGCTTAGAGAGAGAGATCAAGGGAATTTGTTTTGTTGCGTTTATTGTGCAATTGAGTATACTAGTTTTGTAATATTTGTTCCTTTCCCCCCACTTCTTGATGCTGTTCTTGTGTATTTCCTTTTAGCATAGTCTTGGATCATATATAATATTAGACGTGATAATTACTAAACAGCGTGGGGACCCTTAGTGTAGGTAGTTGTTTCTTGCGCCTGATTGGTGTGTGTGTGTGTGTGGGGGGGGGGGGGGGGAAGAGGTGTCAAATTTGCAATTATTACCCCATATGACGTATAGTGCATCGCTGAAAAACTGAAAAGAAAAAAAGAAAAAAAGAAAAAAAGAAAAAAAGAAAAAAAAGTGGCTCATGTTTTGTGCCGAGGTTTGATATTAACGAAGCAACTAAGGTAATTGAAGCATTAGCTTATAGCAACTAGGTACATTTCAAGGATACCAAGACAACCTCGTCTCTCATAACGTTATGACTATCGAATCAGATTTGGAGAAAAACAGAGTTCAAGAGTTGGACCACTTGCTCACTTTGATCAAGCCGAAAATTCTTCAATACATTGCCGAGGCTGATCCAAACTCTCCCAAATACAAGACTGCTTCATTAGGAACCTACCATGAACCAGCGTTTTTGAAGAAGGAGTTTATAAATGATCTGGATAACAACTTGGTCAAGCCAGCTAGTGAAGACCAATTATGGGAGGTTATTGACAAAGTATTGGCGTACTCGGTAAACACGTGGAACCCAGGGTTTTTGGATAAATTGTACGCTTCGAATAATCCTATTGGTGTTATTTCAGATGTGATTTTGAGTGTGTTGAATACGAATTCACATGTTTATACTGTCTCGCCAGTGTTGTCGGTGTTGGAAAACTATATTGGGAAAAAGTATGCTTCATTGTTTTTCACTGATAATTTACAAACTTGTGGTGGGTTGACCTTCAGCGGTGGATCATGGTCAAACATTACTAGTATGCAAATTGCTAGAAGTATGAAGTTTCCCCAGACTAAGCAACACGGTAATGGCGATTACAAGTTTGCCATTTATACCAGTAAGCATTGTCATTACTCTGTAGTTAAAGGGGCCATTTTGTTGGGGTTGGGAAGTGAGTCAGTGTTTAAAGTGGATGTGACTCCAGAAGGGACTTTGAAAGTGGATGATTTGGAGCGTGTTATTGAACAATCGATCAAAGATGGATATACACCCTTGTATATAAATTCAACCGCTGGTACCACCGTGTTTGGATCATACGACCCATTTGAGGAGATTTCCAAAGTGGCTAAAAAGCACAAGATACATTTCCACATAGATGGATCATGGGGTGGTAATGTTGTGTTTTCACCCACCTACAAGGACCGATTGGCAGGAAGTCAATATGCAGATTCAATAACTGTTAATCCACACAAGATGTTGGGCGTGCCAACCACTTGTTCATTCTTGCTTATTCCTCATGTCGCCCATTTCCAAACGGCCATGTCATTACAGGCTCCATACTTGTTTCATGGAAGAGATAACGATGATGATGAGAATTATGATTTGGCTGATGGAACTATGGGATGTGGTCGTAGAGCAGACAGTTTTAAGTTTTACTTGAGCTGGTTGTACTATGGCCAAATTGGACTCCAACATCGTGTTGATCATGCATACAAGATCCAAGAATATTTTGTTCAAAAGATCACGTCGTATCCTGATGGTGTGTTTGAGATTGTGGGACCAAAACAACCACAATGCTTACAAGTTTGTTTTTACTACCACCCACCTAGCTTCAAGGGTGAAAAGAGCGGTAGTGGCCAGAGTGATGGCGAAAGGAATACTGAGGTTACGAGATATATTTCTAGAGAGTTGCACAAGCAAGGCAAATACCTTGTTGATTTTAGTCCCAACCCCGAAGACCAATCACAAGGGGAATTCTTCAGAGTTGTTTTCAATTCGCCTATTTTGAGCGATAAAGTGGTTGATGATTTGATTGCAAGTATAGTGAAAGTGGGTGAAGAATTGACAACAGCAGGTGATGCCACATCCAATGGTGCTGCTGCGTAAAATACTGATTACTGAATAGATATATACTTGTGTGCGCTTTTCACTTACTTCTGAGCTGTAATAGACTGGTTTCTACTTAAAGTGGTCGTACGATGTAAACTGTGGGATATAGTTTGGTAACGTCATCTCGTGTGTTGTCACAAGACTAAAAAAATTGATGTTACATTTTACACCGAAATGCAACATCGTTTTTTGAGCTTGTTGTAGCAAGATAATATGATTAGTGCAACAACCGCCACCACCTTCCTTTACAGACACCAAGAGTAGAACACATCTCTACTAAACCCCACACATGCCATTAGATACGTGAGGACAATTTCGGTTGGGTGAACAATCTGGGGTAATGAAAAGCCTATTTCGAGTAATGTAACGGCTGCGAAAAAAACAAAAGAGACAAGGAAGATGTCTTAGACTGTGGGGGTATACCTGAGGATGAAGACAATATCGTCTTGAGAAATCAGATCATCTTCAGTTGGATTGCACTTTTCTTTTTCACCTAGGCGACTGGCAGTTACAAGATCACCAGTGCATCTGGAAATCACACGATTATCTTTGTTTTTGGCTACGGATAAGACAAGAAAACAACCTTTTTTAAGGACAATGCTGGATGCGTTTCCTTACTTTCCCTCTCTCTCTCTCTTCCTCTCTCTCTTTGAGTAATTATCCGGTTGTACGTTTAGGTGGAGCCGTGCAATCTTGGAACCACTCTTTCAACATACATACTCCACATAATCCTTCCTATAACTGGGAACTTTACAGAGCCAATGTTTTATGTGTCTTGAACAAGGATTCCTTGGGACTTGGCTAGAAAGAGGCAGCAGCAAATATGGAGTGTTCTTGGGTGACAGTGAAGATGCGAGATTACGGTTGCAATCTCGCTAAGAGGTAAATGGGGGGATGGGGAGGGGAGACCTAATCGTCAAACAAGTGAGTATAACATCAGTAGTTGATTCCTGCAGAAGTTCTAGAGTTTTTGGTGATCTCATGAAAGTAATTGACAGTTCCAAATTAAGTTTCAATCACCACCTGTGAAGAGGTTGTATAGAGATGGAGATGGAGATGAAGAGTTGGTGATAGATAAATACAGAGACAGAGTATAATTTGATGTTGCATTTGAGATCAAAATGTAACACGGTAGTATCATCACTTATATGCAGTACAACACAGGGCATATCTCTACAAACTCTCAACTTCATACAAGTTTAGCTTACTAGCAGATAACAGCAGACGAGAGAGATATACTTGGCTCCAGTAATGGTATCACCAAGTCAGTTGTAAGTGATTCCAACACCTCCAAGTACTGCAATGTGTCTTTTCAATCCATCTCAAGCCGTCTTTCAGTCTTAAGAGCCGCATCATATTTACTCAACTAGGCAATACAATAAGTAACATTACACAAACACAACACACAATAAGATCCCTTGTGGAATCATAACCTTCTGATTCCACCGCCCCTTTTCTATTGACCCATCAACCGACTTTTAATCACACGACTTGCACTAGAGCACTTTCATTTCAAAAGACTTTAAAATGTAGAGATTGAGCAAGATTATACAACGTTGTAGCTATCAATAAGATAAAAGCCCCGTAGAGAGTCAGTAACCAAAAGAAAAGAAAAGAAAAGAAATGATTGTCACCACATTTCTCCAATGTTGCAATCGGTAAAACATAAAATACAACAGGATTGCAACCTTATAAGGATCAACTGGCGCAACTGCAAGGCTAATGAAAAGTGATAAAAAACAAAAACAAAAACGAAAAAAAGCAACAAAAAGCTTCATTCTTAGCGCCAGATTAAGCTTTTACGTCTGTTGTTTAGTGACCAAGAGTTTTAAATCTTAGTGGACTACAAACGCCAGAAACAAAACACAAAGTACAAAAAAAAAGATGCTCTATACAAAAATACTTGTGCTCGGAATAAATCCTTATGCAACCTAGTTGTGTTGTGAGAAGCGGGGGTGGATATGTTATACGGCATCTAATTTTATTTTTTTTTTTTTATTTCTTTTACTTTTTTACCATTTTGGGCCCTTGTACTTTGAGATTTTTGCAACTAACGGCATCATTCTCCAGAATGAAAAAAGCAAAAAAAAAAAAAAAAAAAAGCATGGTTTGTGTTAGTCCCGCTTTTGATGATTGTGTCTCTTATCTTGAAATTAATAAAGTAAATTTGTTGAAATAAAACAAAAAATAAAATGGAAACATAATCTCCATCTATAAATACATCTTCAAATCACCAGAGGGGTCGATATTTGACAATGGAAAGGGTTCTCTTATTCATCAAGTCAGACTAAACCAGCCGTTCCAAACACTATAAACCAGAAGACATCCTTTTCCATCATCTGCATTCTTCCGCCCCCCGTCCCCCCACCACAAATACTCCTTTTCAAACACATCATCACTTAAATGTCTGAAGAGAAAGCTACAGCACCAATGGAGATCACCTCGACCTCTTCTGGATCAAAGGATTTAGAAAACCGCATTGTCGACGATGAAGTACGCTTGGAATTGAAACATCACTCGCTTGAAGAGATTGAATCGAGTGGAGCATGGTATGACAAGACGATTACCGTATTTGGCAAGAAGCTCCACTACTCAAACGCCATGGTTCAGATATGTATGTGTGCCTTTGTCATCTTCATGACTCCAGGTATGTACAATGCCCTTACTGGTATAGGGGCCTCAATTTCCGATAAACCCACTGCCGATAATGCTGCAGTAGCATTATACTCGACATTCGCCACTATCGGGTTCTTTGGTGGTACCATATGTAATACAATTGGAGTTCGTTTGTCATTGATGATTGGTGGTTTAGGGTATGCTTTATATGCTGGGTCATTGTTATCTTTCAACCACAATGAAAACAAGGGGTTTGTCATTTTTGCTGGTGCCCTTTTGGGTGTATGTGCCGCTATTCTTTGGGCAGCCCAGGGTTTGGTTGTGTTGAGTTATGCAACTGAGGAAAATAAGGGGAAAGCTATCATGACTTTCTGGGTCATTTTCAACTTGGGTGGAGTTATCGGATCAATCATCCCATTGGCAAACAATATTGAAAACAAAGGGTCGTCAGCAAATGATGGAACTTTTATTGCATTTATTATATTGATGTGTTGTGGGTCCTGTATTGCCTTTTTCATGTTGCCCAGTGCCAAAGTTTGGAAACTGGACGGTACCAAAGTTGCAAGCGATGAACATAAGTTCCCCAACTGGAAAGATGAATTGATTGACTTGTTCAAGTTGTTGATTCATGAACCAAAGATTCTCATCATGTTCCCCATGTTCTTTGCATCAAACTGGTTCTACACTTATCAATTCAACAACGTCAACCACGGTATGTTCAACTTGAGAACTAGATCTTTGAACTCGTTGCTTTATTGGCTTGCACAAATGATTGGAGCCATACTTTTGGGCTACGTTTTGGATCTCAAACGGTTCTCCCGTCCAACCAGAGCCAAGATTGGTTGGGTTATATTATTTGTTCTTGGATTGGCCATTTGGGGTGGTGGTTTGAAATTCCAATTAGAGTTTACTAGAGCTGAAGTTGAAGCCGTACCTCCCCAGATCACTCCCATGGATTACAAAGAGGGGCGCTATATTGGACCTATGTTCCTTTACATATTCTACGGTGGGTACGATGCAATCTTCCAAACTTACACATTGTGGGCCTTGGGAGCATTGTCCAACAACCCAAAGAAAGTTGCATTGTATGCTGGTTTTTACAAAGGTATCCAATCTGCTGGTGCCGCTATTGCTTGGAGATTAGATGCTATTGGCATCCCATACATGAACTTATTTGCTTCTTCTTGGGCATTGGTTCAAGGATCGTTGATTATTGCTATTCCGCTCTTGTGGTTCAAGATTACTGATCACACTGATGCTATAGTAGATGGGATGGATAATGTTGTTGGTATGGACGAGATTGAGGCTGTAAAGTCCACTGTTGAGCATAGAGAATGAGAAAAGATTAGCTAGAGTATGTGTTTAGGGCTCTTTATTTAATTTATGAAGATGATTACGAATTGTATAAAGTGGGGAGTATCTTTCCTCTCTCTATAGTTTTTGTATAGCTCTGTTCTGTTAACGCCAGATTAAGAAAACAAAAAAAAAAAAAAAAAGGAAAAAAAAAAAAAAAATTGTGCTCACAAACCTTTCCTGCTGCAAACGAATCAGCACCACATACTTTCCAGAACTTCTCACCAGAAGGACAAGGCGAATCAATGTTGATTGATAATGAAACACCATACTTGTATAACCTCACTTTGAAACCACCATCCAACTACCCCCACTCCATACTTGGACAATTCATCCCCAAGTCAAAACAACAACAGCTTGCACTCATCTCATCAACACACTTATCCTTACTAAATGCAGATCCTGAGACTGGGAAACTTGGAAACCAAGTAAGTCAACATCTATTTGCAGTAGTCAATGCTGTGGATAAGCTACGATTCAACGATCATGACGTAATGGTATTAACTAGTGATTCAGGCAATTTGTCCATTATTGAATACGATCCAAAGCGAAACGAATTTGTGTCCATATGTCAAATGCCCATGTGTAAAAATGGATGGAGTCGAAGTTACCCTGGAGAATACCTTGCGGTGGACTCTGAAAGCAGGTGCATATTAGTCGGTGCCATGGAGAAGAACAAGCTTTTGTACAAAGTTGAGCCTAGTGCAACCAGATTGGACTTGAGTTCGCCGTTGGAGTACGCCAGCATAGTTGGCAAAGGAAAGAAACCGTTATTGTGTTTGTCATTGATTAGTTTGGAGAGTGCATTTTCGAACCCGCAGTTTGTAGCATTGGAGTATGACAGTGAACAACAGCTTACATTATTGAATTATTACGAATTTGATCAAGGGATGAACTATGTGGTTAATCGAAAATCAAAGATAAGCATTGTGCCTAACGATGCTAATTATCTTGTTCCCGTTCCTGGCAATATCGGTGGTGTTTTCGTCTGCGGTACAAATTGGATCATGTATGATAAATTGGGAGAAGATAGTATTGTGCTCCCATTACCAAGACGCAAAAGCCAAAACTCTGTCATTATTAGTCACGTTACGCATGTTTTGAAGAAGAAGAGTTATGGGTTCTTTATCTTGTTGCAAAATGATCTGGGGGACTTGTTTCGTGTTATCATTGATTATGATTCAAATCGTGAACTGATCAAGGATATCGAGATTACTTACTTCGATACGATTCCAGTGTGCTATAGTTTAAACATTTTCAAAAATGGTCTTTGCTTTGCCAATAGCATTAACCGAAGTCAATTGTTGTATCAATTTGAAAAATTAGGAGAGGAGCTCAGTGATGATGATGTCCGGATAAACAAAAGCGTACGAGCGGATACAATTCCATTAGCCAAGGACAAGATTATTGAATTCAACTTGAAAGGATTGGACAATTTAGCATTGATTGATGTAGCTGAGTCATTGAGCCCGATTACGGATTCAATCCTACAGAATGACACTTTGGTAACCTTATCAACCAAGTCAAAGTTGAAGTCCATAGTTCATGGAACTTCTACTACCACTCTCGTGGAGTCTCCGTTGCCCATGAGACCAACAAACATATTCACGTCAAAGACGTCAATAGATGCGACCGACGATGAGTACTTGGTGATCACATCAACGCTTTCGTTCAAGACGTTGGTTTTATCTATCGGGGAAGTTATTGAGGAAGTATCTGACTCGGAATTTGTGTTGGACCAACCAACAATTGCCGTGCAACAAGTGGGCAAATCGTCAATCGTGCAAATTTATTCAAATGGTTTGCGACATATAAATGGTAAGAAAATTATAACAAACTGGTACCCACCAGCCGGTATAACAATCACTCATGCAACCACAAATAATCAACAAGTTTTGCTTGGGTTGTCAAACTTGGAATTGGTTTACTTTGAAACTGACCTTGGGGATGATCAGTTGGTAGAGTGTCAGGATAGGTTGGAGGTTTCGTCACCGATCCGTAGCATGTGTATCCTGAAACAACAAAGTTCTTTTGCTGTAGTGGGATGTTCAAATGAAACTATAATGGTGATTTCATTGCAGAGACAAAGCTGTCTACAAATCAAGTCGTTGCAAGCGTTGTCATCTAGTGCGAATTCGTTAGTCATGTTGACTCATGCTCCATCAACAACTTTGATCCACATTGGCATGGATAATGGAGTGTACGTGAGGACTAAAATTGATACTTTTAGTGGGAAATTGTCAGATACGAGGATCAAGTATCTTGGGCCCAAACCTGTTAATTTGAATCCATTGAAATTGTCAGATGAGATAACTGGTGTATTGGCAATTTCGTCAAAGCCATGGATAGGATATTTCCATCAAGGTAAATATCGATGTACACCGTTATTGGATGTAAACATTATCAGTGGAACCTCATTCAAATCAGAGGATATTGGTGGTGATGGAATTGTCGGTATACATGCTGAAAATTTAGTGATCTTCTCAGTCGGGAAAGAGGACAGTATATTTGATCCTAACCAAGAGCTCACTGTAACCGAATTAAGTTTGCGATATACACCGAGAAAGATTGTCAAAGGTGACGATGGTAATGAAGATGCTGACAAGTTATTTGTGAGTGAAGTGGAGATGGGTATCGTGACACCTTACGTATCCAACTTGACTAAAGATGTGAAAGATAATGTTGACTGGGAATATTATGAAGCTTTTGGGTACGAAAGAACGAGCTCAGGATGTGCTTCATGCGTGCAACTTATCCAAAGTGGCGAGATCAAACAATCGTTGGAGTTTGCAAAAGATCAGAGGATAGTTGACATTGCTAAGATACAATTTAAAAAGAATACTTACTTGATTGTTGGAGTTACCAAGCAGAATAAAGACAACCTATTATACACTTTTAAAATTGATAAGAAAAAGAATTTGCTGTATGTCCACAAAACTGAATTGAATTATGTGCCTCAAGTAATGGAGGTTTTCCAAGATAGGTTACTCGTTGCGTCTGGAAACTCAATATCGTTGTATGAGCTTGGCCAACGTCAATTATTGCGCAAATCATTGACGAGAATTGATTTTGTACAGTCAATAGTCAAGGCGTCACCCCAGCCTCGTGATCGGTTACTTCTAGCTGATCTGGGAAATTCCATCATCTTTACCAAATTTGACCATGAGGAAAACCAATTTGTGCCCATTGCCGACGATGTCGTGAAACGCAACGTGACAGCTTGGATGCAGTTGGATTATGACACGGTTATTGGTGGTGACAAATTTGGCAACTTATTTGTATCGAGGTTGGATAGGGAACATTCGCGACAAATTGATCAAGATTGGACGGTGTTGAAACAAGCTGCCCGATCCTCTTCATTTTCAGCTTCCAATTTGAACTCGTGTATTTACAAGTTGCAGAACTTGTGTCAGTATTATATTCCCGATATCATCACCTCGTTCCAGTTGGGTTCTTTCAACGTTGGTGGCGAAGAGTGCATCGTATATACTGGTTTATCCGGCACCATTGGTGTTTTGGTTCCTTTAATATCTAAATCTGAAATTGAGCTTTTGCATGATTTGCAATTGGAACTTGGCAAGTACAACGATGAAGTGAATTTATTGGGGAAAAATCATGCTAAATTGAGAAGTTATTATGCACCAGCAAAGAATGTTTTTGATGGAGATTTCGCTGAATTGTTTTTGACTTTACCAGTTGATGTAAAATTGAAAATTGCTCGGAAATTAAATAAATCCGTGACTGAGGTGGAGAAGAAGCTAAATGATATTCGCAATCGGACATCTTTCTAAATAGAATGGCGTTGTACAGGGAAATATATAAAATTATACACAAACATGTATTGTATACAATTGAACATATGCACTACAGTGAGATTGTGCAAAAGGGCTCGCAATTATCAACATGTATTGCTCTTGCAGCCTTTGCTCTTGTAGTCTCTCTCAAGAGTCAACCACGCCTGCTTGTTGGTCAGGGTCCTTCTTGAAAGGCGAATTGTTCTCCTCCTTGACACCACTCTTGTGATGATTCTTTCTATTCATGGTCGGACTTCCATTATTTTGCTCGTCACTTTCATGACTGCCATCTTTTTTCATTGGAGTTTGTCCATTGGGTGTACTGAATTGTACAAAGTTCCAATATGCTGGGCTTGTTTGGTTGGGGTGCTGGGTCAGTGCTTGTTGCATCAGTTGTTGCTGCTGCATCAGTTGTTTCTGCTCTCGTTGCGATTGGGGCTGTTGATTCGTCTCTTCCTGTTGCACCTCCTTTCGTGGAGATAGTTGTTGTTGCTGTTGTTGTTGTTGTTGCTGCTGTTGCTGCAGCACTAGCTTCGACCCTTTGTTACCTACCGCTTTTTTACTCGAGCCACGTTCAGGAGTGTATGCTTCCAAAGCCGAAATCCTCTTAGGGCTGGTAAACGACAACATATCAGACGGAGTGCTTCCTGAAGGGACACTAGCGTTGATTGATGATAGCGAGTCATTTTGATTGGTTGACGATGCAAATGAATGAGGATGCAATTGTGACAAGTCAGGCATTTGACTCGTCGCTGTTGTAGTGTATGAAGATGTGCGCGTATGCAAATTGGGCTTGATGTCAATCGCAGCGTTATTGTTATGCAATGGGAAATTGTATATATTTTGATTTGACAGTTGTTGTGATGCTGATGTTGGCGGTGCTTTGGACAGCTTAGTCCCGTCACGCGAGAGCTGTTGTTGTGGAGGTAGTTGTGCCGCTGGAGCCAATTGTTGAGGCTGTCTCAAAGGCGAGGCCAAGTTGTTGCCGTATCCTCCCACAATTGCGTAGCTGGGGATCTGCTGCTGTTGCTGATGAGGGTGGACTTGAGGTGGCTGTGAATATACATATGGACGGTTTGGGTTGGGCATGTATGAATTCTGTTGACCTGGGTACAGCAAAGGATTCGTTGGTAAGTTAAATGTTCCCTGTAGCAGCAGCAGCAGATGCAACTCCAGTTGTTGTTGTTGTTGCAGTTGTTGTTGAAACTGATTTGTTGATGCATCAGGCGATGGGTTATTAGCATCGGGTAAATGCTTGTGGGTAGCCAAATGCAAGCTCAACTGTCGTGACACAGAAGACCCTTTTCTTGGTCCTGAAAGCGACCCATCATTGATCTTGTTGAGGAAATCTTGCTTGTAAGACTCACTGATTTGCCACTTCATCCCTTTACCTGGTTCATTTGGTTTACGAGGAACCTTTTCAAATGCCTTGTTTAGTGATAAATTATGTCTAATGGAATTTTGCCAACCGGTCTTGGAATATTTGTAATAGGCGTAGTGGTCAGCAATCCAATTATATATGTCGGATAATGACATTACTCCATGTGGATCCGACAAGATCGCTTGGGTAATCATTGTTGCGTAACTATATGGTGGCTTGATATCCTTTGATTCCTCTTTCGACAAATCCTGATCCAAATTGTGTTGTAACGAAGTTGCCGATACTGAACTTGGTGAGTGATTCATCAGAATACTGTCGTACACGTGATAGCCTCTGCTCGTTCCTCCACCACCACCACCATAGTTGCTGCTATTATTAAAAGCTGCTCCGCTTTGCGAACGTTGACGTTTGGGAGGAGCACCTTTGTTCATCTCGTTGTACTTAGCAAGGGCCTTTTCCAACATCTTTGGTGCAACCACCGGAGACGCGTCGGGTAAAATAAACATCATTTGTGTTCCACCTACATCCAATATAGCCCCAGAGTGCAAAGCATTGATGTCCAGTGAACCGACATTCACTTTTGTTCCATCGATTCTAGCTCCATTTCTGCCCAAAACTTTCAATTCCCAACATCTCAAGTCTAAATTGTAGGTAATTGTAGCATGCTGTCTACTAACGATTTTTGCTGGACCCAAGTCAATATCAATCAAGGGACCGCTATTGCTGGTGATAGCGTCGTTATTAGCGTTGACTCCATTTGACGTTTCAGTATTTCTTCCTATAGACACAGCCAATGATTTGACATAGTAGGTCCAGTCCCTACCGGCAATTTTGGCATAAGCCTGAACTTCAGTAGCGTTGTTGTTACCATTTGTATAAGTCATGGAAACATTGGTTCGTTCTTCAGGAACTTGTAGTGTGGATATCACCGCACTAAGCATCTCTTGCTCATCTTCAAAAAGGGCATCCGCAGCACTCAGACGCTTTCTGGGAGTGAATGGAAATGACGACATGACGATTCACCAGGAGCGGATTGGAGGAGAATATACTTTGATTCTAGAATGAAATTAAAGCGCGTAAATTTATAAAGTAGTAGTTACCGTCCCGTCCCGCTGTTGGACTGAAAAAAAAAAAAAATATGCTATGCAACGTGGTTAAGGTCTGGAGATGGTGATAACACTCTTTATTTTCAAGTTGTTCTAAAGTGTTTACTGACTCAAATCTTGATTGACCCGTGGGTTGGGTTTGGAGAACAATAACAATTTTTTTTTTTTTTTTTTTTTGTTGTTTTGGTTAAAACTTTTCTTGTGATTGGTGCCTGTGGGGAAGGTTCTTTCCTCAGTACTTTTATGGATCGAACTCAGTGAAAGTCCAGCAAATACTCAATAGCACCGTCTAGCAGTTCTAATATCTCTGTCAGTTGCAGGATATACGCAAAGAGCTCACGTTTAGAATTGGATACTCTTGTAATGGTGATTTGTTTGTTTACATTTTTTTTTTTCTGTTTTGTTTTTTGTTTTTTTGTTTTTTTAATTTCGTTGGGAGAAAATTAACAGCAATTGGTAGCACTAGTTTTTCATTTTCTGTTTCTCCATTGGTATGCCAACTCTGTCACCTGTGATTGAATCCAATAGAACTGTTTCATGGGCTTATAAACATGTACAGTTATGTGTATTTAGAGATATAGAAAGCTATACAGATGTTAGGCTAACAAAAAAAAGTTAAACAGCAGCCCAACTCATAGCCCGCAACAGAAACACTAATGTACCTTGATTCTACACTTCCAATCATCGCATCTGTGCACCTGAAACCAAAATCCTCGTCTATCTGTACAATTCTTTTTCATAGTCTATTGGTATTATAAACGATTCTTGTGTGATATCAAACCCTCTGGCATCTGTAGTCTCCTTTGTAGTCACATCAATTTCCATCACCTCCTCTTCCAACCTCTTTTTATTCAACTCTGTTTCATCAAGAATATCAAACTCATCTTCCTTCTCCACGTAATCAATATTCTCCTCCACTTCAACAAAATCGGGAGCTAATGCACTCCATTTTTGTGGGAACTGAACCAGCCAAATGTATATGATCCCACTATCAAGTCCTACGGACCCAATCTTGCATCTATTGTAGTTCCACTTTACGTCAATCAATTCTTCGTTAGATCCTTCTAAAATCTTTATCAATGACCCCATTGACGTCTCCCAAAGATACAAATCGTGCGACGATTGGCCATGTGTTGAAGCAATTAAAAAGTCTGCATTGTTGTTGAATGATATCGCATTCCACTGTAGTCTATTGACAACATCCTGATACTTGTGGTCGACTTCAAAGTCCCACTCTACCGTATCAATACCGCCTTCCGCTTCATTATTCACAACATCCGGAAGATTAAATTGTCTGATTATACGATCCGAAAAATTGAGTGCCAATTTCCTTCCATTCGGCGAAATAGCAATGTTTTTCACATTTGAATTGGCAATCTTGCTCGAGTGTATTAGTTTTAAATCTATGGTCCGGAAAATATTTAGCCAACCTTTGCTGGTACCGGTCAATACGTACAGTCCTTCTGGGGTGAAAGTAGTAACCAACGTACGATGGTTGTCATTTTGTTTGTTGTTCTTCCTCTTTTTTCTTGGTTCGTCGTCATTGGAGTTTTCTCCATCTTCACCCTCATCACTTTCCACCAATGGATCAGTTCTCAATTTTGTAACCTGAGGTGTTTCATTCTCCAAGTTAACAAATACCGGCGAATCATCAAATAGGGACGCTACAAAATGAAAATGGTTTTCAGGATGGATGTTGGACAGCCATATGGGACCATCAAATTTGACTTGTCGTATCACCGGTGAAGTATCTTTACTGTTGATTAAATTTAAATCCCACAATTTGCAATACCAATCTTGTGACGAAGTCAACAAATATCGCCCACATCTAGACCACGTAATCGAAGTTATCGGTCGTACATGGCAATCCTCGGTGATGTGTGCTATTATCCCACTAGACATCATTTCATATATGACTATCGATCCATCCGAAAGTCCAGACGCCAAGTAGTCTCCATTGTGGTTGAACTGGATAGCAACAGAGTGTCCGTAGTTGAGGCTAGTTGTAAGGTTCTCAGGAAACTCTTTAGCTACTGAAAATGGGTCCTGCAAGGATAAATTCATGGCGTAGAAAGGTTCTTCCAGCGCCAGTAAAGCAAAACCATAATTAAGCCGAATTATTTATTACTTTTTTTTTTCTTCTTCTATTTGGTGATTCTTCTATCACAACTGTGGGAGTGGGGTGAGGGATGACACCAGACCAGCAGCTAACTCTATATGATCTTGCAACAAGGTCATTGAGGTCGCCTTCATTGAGCATATCGTCGTCACATAACTCATCTTCGTTTAGTAATGGCTACAAAAGGAGGTTCGATGATCGATCAACAACAAAGACCAGTTTAGCCCTACGAGCATATCTGAGCAAGTCTAATCTACAGCAACGACAGATACAGAGAGACAGGCAGCAAAATGGCGCATCAGAAGTGGGTGCTTTATTCAAGTGGTCTGAGTTGTCCAAAATTGCCAGCATCACGTCGTCGCTGAATTTTGAATCGGCATTTGGGAAACTCGTTCAGGTAAAGTCCAATGCAATATATATTGCCCTAGGGACCACTAGTGGGAAGATTGTGATCTTCAACTATAACCAAGATGTTCAATTTACCTTGGAAAGCCAAGAAGCAGGAGATATTTCAAGCATGGCCTTCAGTTCAGACTCATCATTCTTTGCAGCTGGCTTTAAAGATGGAGCAATTAGATTATGGGAATTGAAACCAGATTTGTCCAAACCATATTTCACAATATTCCCTAGCGCCAAAGATGGTCATGCAATGAACCAAAGCATAACATTTCTTGCATTTATCGAACTGCAGACCCATCATCTTGTAAGCTTGGACGAATCCGGGGCATTAATAAAGCATAATGGAGTACGCAAGTTGCGTAATGTGTACTTTTTCAGTGAAAGATTATTCACCACGGAAGGCAACATCCAGAGCTCAAGTATTTTGCCTATTGGCTCTTCGCATCAAGTGACCGATGGGATGGGCGTTGTTGCATTAATGACGCGTGATATTCTATCTATATACTCAACCACATCGTTGAATGACCCAGCAATAGCCCATATCAGGACGCAGTATAAAATTGGAGTCAAAAATCCGCAAAAAGTTGCTAAATTAGCGTGGTTTCCGTGTACTAAAACGTTACAAGGGGTGCAGAGTGCAAGATTAGCCTACAGTTGGAATAACGTTTTGGGAGTATTGGAATTGAATAATAACTTATTCCCCTCAAATTTCTTACAAGTGGTGAATGATGCCAAGGACAAAGATAGAGTTGTGCCGAAATTACCATTTTCAAAGACCGCTAAACGGACCATTGAAGGTGATGTCGCCGATATCAAGTGGATACAATCAGATATGGTTTGCGTTTTCACAAAAGAGAAATTGACAACTTTTTATTACAACGGATCAACTTTAGACCCCATTGGGGAAGACGCTTTGGAAGAGTACAATGAGGTAACGTCCTCTAAACGATGCCTTGTACTACTTGAAAATCAAAAATTATTTCTTGGACGTCAATTGAGTTGGGCCGATATCCTCTTGGAGAAAATTTCAGCTCGGCAGTATTTTGAAGCGTTGGAATTGGCTGATGAGTATTATAACACAGGTTCTGTGGGGAAGTTGGTTGCTGTTGGTTTACCTGTTAACAAAACAAAACGATCCACACTAGTCCGTCCATATTTAATCGAAATCATGAAGGAATCGTTACTGCATTTACAAAACATTGACCCTGCAAAGTATTTGGAAAAGTACTTTACGGTTATCACGTATATTGGGTATAGTGACATCTTGGAAGATTTGTTGCTCATTGTTGGTGACGAGGAAGTGTTTTTCCAGACACTAGAACCATTTATATTCTCAGAGTCCATATTAGTGTTGCCACCAGCAGTATTAAAACTCTTGGTAGAGTATTATGCATCCAATGGGGATCTCTTGACTGAGATCTTGTGCACTTTGGATATACAAAGTTTGGATATCGACTTGACGATTCTGTTGTGCAAAAAACACAACCTACGAGAGTGTTTGATATACATTTGGAACTTTCTTTTGGGTGATTATGAAACGCCTTTGTTAGAATTTATCAACGACTTTAGGAATGGTGATGGTGCAAGCCCGGAACATGAATTCATTGCGTACACATATATTTCCTTTATTCTTACAGGGAGACAATTTCCAACAGACAGGCTTCTCACGACTGATGCGCCAATACAGAATGTATGCAACATTTTGTTTTCAAGTGGGCCAATTATCCGCAATGACAAAGTTGTTCATGCGCTTGATGATGGTACAATATTCCCATACTTGTACACTTTTCTCAAACTGGATTCGTTTCAATTGCTTTCGGCCATGAATGAGTTTTTTGAGTCTTCATTTTTGAATGAGAATTTAAAATTTACTAGACAATTTTTGATCGAGGCATTGTTGGATCTATATGATGCTAATGAATTCTCCGAGTATGATAAGGTCCAATTGGCAATTTTCATTGCCAGAAATTACCCCAAGTATCCCCAATTTATTCGGCTTGCTGAGTCTACGTTGGATACAGTGATTGAGAGGTTGTGTGGAAATAATGACCCTGAAATTGCTCAGGATTGTGAGTTGGCGTTGCAAAGTCTTACTTCGGTGTACTTACCCGAGGATGAACATTTTACCCAAAAGTTGGAAATGAAAGGGTATTACAATCTTTTGGTTACATTGTATCTTTCTGAACAAGAGTACGCCAATGCATTGGAACTGCTGTTATTGTTGAAGGATGTAGATGAAGAAGGGCTTATGCTGGAGGTGCAAGCGATTGTGGGTGATGCATTTACAAGAGGCAAAGATGCCAATGAAAAGATTAACCTTGCTCGAGTGCTAAAAGGAAACTTTGCTAAATTAGTCACGTTGGATCTTGATGCTGTATTTAGATTGATTCAAAAATATGCACCACAACTTCACAGAGAGGTTCTTAGCCTCAATGACGAAGTGTTGAAATATCGCTACTTGGCCAAATTGTTGACAGAGGGACGTGCTTCCCGGGAATTCCTCTACGAATATATCCGATTGTGTGTTTTGTTTGACAAAAGTTCAGTTGCTGGGGTTGTTGACAAGTTCAAGGATATAATCGATGGGGATGAAAACATAATGACTGTGTTGCGAGAAAATGACATTACTGATGGTCAAGCTATCATGCTTGCCCAACAACACAAGTTTGAGGAGGCGGTGCAGGTAATCGTTGGTCGCTTAAAGCTTGTACAAGATCTTGAACACAAGGACGAGTGCGAATCATATGTTAATCTTGCATGTACAATTTGTGAAGACCCCGCAACTTACACGCAGTCCTTGAGTGCAGACGGAGTGATATTAAATGAGCTGCTATGGTTGAATTTGATTACATCGCTAGTTGACCTTGCAAATTCGTCAGATGAATCGTCACCCATTCACGAGTTCTTCAATACCTGCATTCATGACTGTTTTCGCAAAATTAGTGATTACAAATTATCCAATTCACAACACAGCCAATCATTTTCAACTATATTCACCAAATTTTTGCAAACTTATTCGCATGATGATCATAATACAAATGTTGCCAAGTTGTCAAACATTCGAGGGATCTTGCAAGATGTGTTTATTTCTTACTCTTATGAGGGGGAAATCCTGGAGATTTTATTGCGCATGTTGAATGAGGCTGTTTACAAGAACATGATTGCTGTGAGGCAGATTAAGCTTAGGGGTGTAGCCAATTAGAACGGGATATAGATATATAGTAAGCTTTGGGGTGTAGGTGTGTATATGGGTATGGATTTTGATGAGAGGTAGCGCTATACATTTCTATGAAAAAGCCACAGGCCCATCGCAAAAATCTTACACAGCAAAGATTAACCCCATTGGAGCACTATGGTTGTCACCAGAAGTAAACTACACAAGACGGACCATTCACATGACAATGGCAACCTAAACAATCCTGAAGATGTGTCATCAGAAAATATTCTTGGGTATGACGATACTTACTCACATCCACATATCGATAAACCCAAAAATAAAAAGATAACATTCGATGAAGATGGAGAGAGTATACAAAACGGAAAGTCGGAGCAAATAGATGCTCAGGATGACCTTGGTGAGATAGAGGAGGATCTGGAGGAGGTAGGTGAGCTGGAAGATGATGATTCAGACGAAGCCCCAGAAGAAGAATCAACCAATGCCGCCAAGGAGCAACTCATTGCAAAACAAAAGCAAGAACAACAACGACAATCAGAATTGGCCAAGCAAGCCAAAGAGCGAAGAAAGTTGCAAAATGAACGGTTCAAACAACAGCAATTGGAGAAGAAGCAAAAGGAGTTGTCGAAACAACAAGCAAAAGTGCACGAGGAGTTGCCTGAATTTTTACCAGACGATATTGAGTCAATACTCAGTCGCCCACAAGCTCAAGCCACACTAGATGCAAAGCCGAAACATATCCGACTTGACGACGTTGATCTCCATTTACTGAAAAAACAACAAATCGAAAACAAGTTACGTGAGTTGAAAAAGAATAAAAGCAGAGGTGTTCAAAAGGGTCCCGTTTATGTCAAGACACAAACTTTTGGTGTAGCTGTCAAAGTCGTGCCTCGAGGTGAGAGCAAAATCTTGAAGAATAAACATAAATGGTTGCATAGGAAGTCGATTGACAGGAAATGATGAGAGTGAGACATTTGGCGGAGATGATGTTTGTATAGGTGTGTATAATATACTAATTGACAGATAACGATATCGAAGTAATACAAGAATCGTTTACAAATATATAATATACGTAAATAGGAATATGTATTGTGCTAAAGATACAAAAGGTAACGGCGCTGCAAAACTTAGCCTAGTAACAGTTTTGCGGCCATTATATATCCTTCAATCTTAATTTCAAACAATAAGGGCACATCATGTGGTTGCATCTATGGCAAGTGAATCTACTGGGAATGCTTAATATGGCTCTATCTTGATACTCAATCAAACTATGGGAACTGGAGTTCAAGTCCAAATGGAGCGGTGATATAAGTGGAGTGTGAGGGTTCAATCTGGGGCTCTCGGGTGTGTCAATGACGTCAGATTCTAGTGAATGCTCTTGTGCGTGCTGTTGTGCATGCTCTCGCGTGTGATGAGCGTAATGGTTGTATTCACCGTTGGACTGCCTTTCTTTGTATTCAAAATAATTGTCTGCCTTCATCAATGTAGGTGAATTTGACAACGCATGCTTATGATCCCGATAAACAACTTGACTATAGTACTTTAGGCTGTCGAAAATGTAGTTTCGCGTTGACGCAGTAGGTGAGGCCTCAGTGCGGTGATTGTTTGCCATTTGTGGATGTTCAGTGAACCCGTCTTTTTTGTTTGAGTCATCCTTGTACAAAACTGAACCATAAGATTGTCCGCAAGAGCAACAATACCATTGGCATATTTTGTTATCAGAGTTTAAGATGGGAGACGTCCTCAGTGGCGATGATTGGGCCGTTGACAGCAAGGTTGATGAAGATGGGTGCAAACGAGTTGATGAAGATGGAGTTGTCGTACTTGCAGACTCTGGATGCCGCCTTTCGTGGGTATAGTTGGAAAATCCTGATGTTTGCAATCGCGGTAGTGAAGAGTTGGCAGATGCTGTTGCTTTGGGAGATGGAGTTGCTGACTTTTGAGGATGCATTATTGGGTGGGGTGTAATTGCGGTTGCGGTAGCAGAGGTAGTGGTTTGGTGTCGCAAGCTATGTGGTATTGAGTCATGAATGGAGTTGCGTATTGGCTGCTGTTGTAGTTGATTTTGATTTTGATTTTCCAGGTACATAAAAATAAAGGAAAGTGGTTGTAGAAGTAGTGGGAAATAGTGGATATGGACTACCAACAAGTGATTTAGGATTAGGACACTGTGAATGAAACAAGTAGTGATTACCCTTGAAGAGTAACGATATACGATTCAAGGAAAAAGGGAAACCCTTAAATAGATAAATCCTTGATTATATATGCTTCTTCTTTTTTTCATTTTTTATTTACACCAATATTTCATGCACAGCTTCGTAAAAATTTCATAGCACTGTAACTAAAAAGTAAGCTTACACTGGTATAGTTAGTTATTCTATGAGTTACAATTGTGAGATTGCAAAAAAAAAAAAAAAAAGACAAAAGAAAAAGAAAAAGAATAAAAATCTGGCGTCTATAATATTGCTTTCCCTATTGTTCTAAAAGCTTTTTTTTTTTTTCTAGGATGGTTCTAGATTTAAAAAAATTGCTGCTGCATCATCTGCATATACCTTGCAACCCCCCTGCAAACCAATAAAGAAAAAAAAATAAATTAACAATGCACTGCTCTCAGACAACATACAAAATTCTGAGATAATACAAATCGAGTTTAACGTATCCAGAAAGAAGAGAATGAGTTGCCACTAGATATCGGATTAGACAATACCTCCCAATCTCCGCAAGAAAAAGTGAACCACCTTTCATTTCACTCTTTTTTTTATTTTTATTTTTATTTTTTCCTTTTTGCTCTGTTTTTATGAGTTTTATTATTTTATTTGCTGTTTTCCCCCGGAATTTATGGAATTGTGGCAATTTACGCTTTTGATTTTGATATAGTAGTCTGGTCATTATTCCAACACCAAACCAGTCAGTGGTGATAACGGTAACAGCTGCGCCCTTAGTGCATGGTTTTTGTAGTGACCAACAGAGTAATTCAGTTTTATCAATAATAGCTTTTACGGTTCTACAGACTCTGCGCCACAATGTACAGTATTTTCTCCATAATCACGCAGATCTCAGCACTTTCTCTTGTTTGAGGCGAAGGGCGGGCAGTTTTTTCTGTTTTTTTGTTTTTCTATTATTTTTTATTATTTTTTTCTTTGGTTTTTGTATTGCTCCGATCATTACGCAAAGCGCAAACGGGGCTAAAATATCATCACCTTTTAAATACCGCAGTAGCGATTCTATTTTTATTATTTTTCTTCGGCGTTAAGCTGGATGGAGTGGAGTTAAAAATAGTGCTCTAGACCCTTGAATGGAACAGGAAAGTGTAGTTAGTCAGTCCAACGTCACTGCTAGAGACTTAGACAGAACCGGGTGATTTAACTTTAGGGTTTGAAAAAGGGATTTGCTTGAGTTGTTGCAGGCGCTTACGCTATCAACAAAATAGATGCAGTGAGATGTGTGTAAGTGCGTATATCGATGCTGGCTTAAACTTTCCAAATTTTTGTATGCGATCCTTTTCTTGAAAATTGGTTGCCAGATCTAGATGCGGTACGCAGTTGTTGCTGACAGACAAAGCTCGAACTTTACCGAAAACCAAAAGCATAAACGACGTGCCACAAAATTTACGAGTATGAAATTCCACATTCTTGCGTCTGGTTTTCATTATACGATGGTGGAATTTAGAATCACCTTTTTTTTTTTCATTTTGGCTATGTAGTACGACGTTAAGAGGTAAGACATTCTCGTCGTTTTTGGGACCACTCTGCAAAGCAACATTATGAACCAGGCTAGATGGTTGGCATATATCGTTAAAAAGCGAGTCTAGACCTGCATAGCATCGATTCTAAATGCAGCACATTTTTTTTTTTGTACTCGCAGGGATTGATCTAGTAGGCGTGTATTGCTGATGGAAACTACATCGTTGTGAATTACCGCTTCAAGCGAGCCCGACTCCAAGACGGAAGGGGCGGTACAGTTGGAGATGGCAGCCCCATTCCTTGGAACCCCACGACTTATCTAATGCATGAGGGCTAATATAGTTGTTGCTTCTTGTGTATAATCCGCCACATTCTTCGTTAAAACAGAGTAACGAGGAAAATCAGACCATTTTTCACAAATCAAGTACCTGTTAAACGATCGGCAGACGGTATAGTTCATGTCAGAGACGAATTGAAAGACAGTTCTATTATAACTTTGCTACAAAAAAGAATCTACATAAGCGTTGCCTAATTAGGTAAAATTACGAAAAAGAAAAAAAAAAATGCAAAAAACGTCTCTATGACAGCAATTCCAGTTCCGTATCGCGTATTTTACTCGTCTCCTGTTTCAGATGCAAAGTTACCCCTGAAAATAAGCAAAAGAATCGTCTAAATAATAATAACGAAATGTCATTGCAATTATTACACTAAACAACCTTCTCTCTTTGACGTACATTCTTGGCTGACACTAATTGTACAAGACGAAAAACAAAAACCGAGCCCTACCGTTCATTTTGTCGAGTCAAAGACAGCTCCAGCTTTGAGTTTGATTTGGCAAAAGTTGAAACCTGTTTAGAATGCAGTTCGAAAGGGGTACGGAGGTTTGCATGGTCTTCCAGAGTACAAATGCACCGCCATATCAATCTTCAAACACCAATCCACAATTTCTTGAGTGTAGCACATTGTGTGGGTTTTGGTCACAAGTGTAAGTAGCTTTCTGAGTTTTTGACCTTTTAATACAGCTCCAATCATATATCCACCACTTTCTCCACCAAATCCCACCCAATTACACCATTTGCATCACCAGGACAAAGGATAACATTGTTATCACTCTTAAAAAACTGTAGCCCTTTATCAATACATCTATCAACATCAACATAGATCAAACAATTGGCGCTTTTGCGAATTCCTGAAATTGTCAGATACTCATCACAAGTGAAATGTACATGGTTCCTGTTCATTCGACTCAAACCAGATGCTTTGATCAAGGGTAGCTTCTTCCTGTAAGTGCCATGATAAATATGCAAATTTTTCAACTCGTCTCGACTCATCAATTGCAATTCACCAGCAATTTGTTTTATAGAGTGACCTTGAGTCGCACAAATAAGATCGGACTCAGCATCAATCTTGAAACGTTGTTTGTCGTTGTTGGCTACAATACGTTCGAGGTCTTGTCTGGTGGCCTTGTATGATTTCAATCGCTGATGGGAGAGTATTTGGGAAATCGGGATGTAGCCTTGATCATTGAATGTTAGTTTCTCCTTGACAGCTCCGTGTCGTAGTAAGTATGAAAGTGCTTTTGAGATCAAGACATCTCTTCTAGCTTCATCTGGTTGTGGCATCAATATAACAGAAAAAAAAAAAAAAACAAAAAAAAAAGGGAACCTTGTGTTGAAGATGGAATGGGGAAGTCAATGGTTGACTGATCGATTCAACATCGAGAACAGTACATCTTATTTTTTTTATTTTTTTTTTTATTTTATTTTTTTTTTTTCATTTGTTCTTTTGCACGTGTTCCAGCTGATATGAGATCAGTGTATGTACAATTGACACTAGACAAATAACTATATACATCCTTAGTCTCTTCTTATCTGAACTACCTAACTCATTCACCACATTTCTTTGTCCTCATACGACTTCCCTTTGCCCCGCTTAGTGACCCCATTTCTGATTTTGTTTGCTTTATCGTCTCATTATCTCCCAATTCCGTCTTGTCATGGAATTTTAAGGAATAGCGGCCATCATCATTTAGTTCTCCCTGTACTATATTCTGCACCAAAAACTTTGACACTTCGTTGAGCTTAGTTATGGCTTCATCTAGCTCAGTCTTGTTTGTGAGGTGTTGATTGGCATATATCTGTTGTTTAATTTGCTGTTTTGCGGCGTTGAGAATTGGCAAATCGTTTTTGAATGCAATGTTGACTGCTTTTAGGGCCTGCTTGTATGCAGCTTTAATAGTGGACATGGTTTGAAGAGTGGAGATTATCAGATGTGATGCTACGAGGAGTTGCGGACCTGATGAATTTTTTTTTTCTTTTTTTCCAAGACTTTCTTCAGCACGCTACCAGTTACCAGTTACACTCAGATCTTTCTCATTTTGCAGCCCAGAGGGAGAAGGAATGGTGGCAAAGGCGAGAAGTGGAGGGGCTATGTCGCGACCAACAAAGTCTATGTTACCATTAAATTTCTAGTCTTTCTATAGAATACAATGGAATCTCCTCGTTCAAATCCGATTCCACCTTCTTGTTCAAATAAGTTTGGTCAGTAATTGTCAACACTCCATTTGCAGACACATCTTTATTCTTTTTCAATTGATTTCTCTTCAATTGCACTTGATCAACCAAGGTCAAGTTGTATGCGTTGATATCCATGTTCGCCAACTTTTCGTCAATGATTTGATTCAACCGAGACACATTTTCCTGACTCCAGTTGAATAGTCCATTTATATCGACGAGTATTTCAATTATAACCCATCCCTTGTTATTTGAGGTGGATATAATCTTGTTGATTAAGGCAATGATATCGGTTGAGTACTGAGATATAACTGTTTTCAAGCTCGAGGTAATTTCAGCAGTGGCAAAATCATCCACTATACGATCAATCAACGCAATGAAAATGTCTACATCTTCAGTTATGACAAACTGGACAAGTAAATCACCCAATGGGATATTGGAACATGTCTTTATTGCTTGTTTGAGTAGCGTGGTGTTGCCTGTATCATTCAAAAGTTGAACCAAGTTGGTTGTATGTTCTTTGGAGTAGATCGGACTAGTGAGTAGGTACATTAGCGTGTACTCCGGAATGAACTCGGTATCTCTGAATTGTAAAGGGTTGGTCGTGAAGATTAGATCAAAGATGGAGTTTATAAAGTTGATATCCACAATACGATCATTTTCCACATCAAATTCTTTAAACTGGTACGTCTTTGTCTTTGTTTTTGGTTTGGATTTTTTAATTTCTTGCCAAGATTTGTGGGTTTTCAAATACGGGATGAGAATAGATTCCCATTTATTTACATCTCTTGCATCGCAAGCTTGTTTCAAGCTCTGGTAAACTTGGTCAAGTTCATCAGCAACAGTATCTGCCTCTTCTTCTTCTTTGTTGTTGTTGTACAAGTCCACGACTTGACTGAATGTAAGTTCACTCTGCTCAATTGACTTTCCAAGACATTCGCTCAACTTGTTCAAGCCAACATTGACATCAATCACATTCAAATAAACGTTGTTGTCCTTGTTTTTCAAATTGATATAGTAAGCTCTTGTTGTTTGGGTTGATTGTGATGAGCCTTTAACTGGAACAACTTGATTGACGTACACTTTGTCAGGAATAGGATTGGACGAACTGGAAACTGACTTGAATTCGGCCAAGATTGCCTCATACTTAAAGTTCAAAAGGTAAATCATGTTGGCGTTACCCAACAATAAACGATCTGGGGCAGGCGAAGTCATGGAGACGAGCTCATCGGTTTTGAGGATAGAAGCAACCGAAATTGTCTTTTGTAAGTGGAAATTTGTGATTGCGATGGAGTCAACAACACCGTCATGATACTGGTATAGTATACCTGAGTTGTAGGTAAATACAGCCGTGAGTGGCTTGGCTTGATGCGATTGAATAGGGAGTATCCTTGATGCAGTGATTGAAACGAGATTGTAGGTTAATGCCGATGTCGACTGAGATACTGTCAATAACAAAGCATCCTCCAAATCTGTTATGAATGTGCTGTAGATGACATTTCCCTCACTTTCAAACTTGGTCGCAATCGATAACTCGATTTCATTTTTTACTATATGGACTGATCCCGATTGGTATACAACAACAATTTCTGTATCAGATAAAAATTTCACCGCAACGACACTGTCCTTCCCGAGACTAAGCTCTTTCTCATTGACAGTGGTTATCAGGAAACTACCGTCTTCAGTTGAGGCATTATCAGTTTCAACGACCAAGATACGTGATTTTTTCCTCTCCGCAAGACCCACCACATACAATTTCCTTGCCTTACTCGATTGCCATACATCAATACATGTAATAGAGACAGTGGGCTTTATGGAGTAGGACCAAATCAACTTGGGACTGGGTTTGGTTATGTATGAAGCAAGCATCGAATTCAGCACACCGAAATCGATGACTGAAGAAGACGACGATGACGATGACAACGTTGATCCGTCAGTCTGGCGAAGTTGTGGAATGGCCAATTTTTGTGAAAGTGAAACTTCCTTGACCCGAGGGAGTGATAGAATAGGATACTGGTCTGTGAGATGTGGTGACAGCATTATGGATCCGTGCTTTGTATCAAAGGTTCATCCTAATTAGGAGAATTTTTTTTAAAGCTTCTCATCTCAAGCCCTTTCAGTTTTTCGTTTTTTTTTTTTTTTTTTTTCCTTTAGCAGAGTGTCGCATAGTTTTCAAATGCAACACTGGTTTTAAGAGACACGTCTCTACACCACTTTACACCACTTTACACCACTTTACACCACTTTACACAACTGGACCAGATTTCATCTAACAATGCACAGTATTTCCAACTTCTTCTTCGAAAGCTATACCCATACAAGTATTTGTCAAATTCCCAATAGTTTATACATTTATTCTAGTGTACAAAAGTTTATCTCTATCAACATTAAAATACCATTCTAATATACAAAGTTTGCTGCTTCCCCAAAAATCGAATCGCCTTAAGCAGTGGCTTCTATGTATTCTGGATCAGCATAGAAATATTCGTCAACAACAACTTTAAACTCCTCAGTTTCCTCGTTGTATGATTCAATGCGGAAGCTGGTCAAATCCTTGACAACAATGTTGGCACCTGAATTCTTAACCTTTTCTGGGTCGTAGGTTGAGCAAATACCAACAACCATGGCACCGGCATCCTTACCTGCAGAAATACCGGCTGGAGCATCTTCAAAAACAACAACCTTGGCGTGGTTAGCACCGAAACCCAAATTCTCTCTGGCATTCAAGTATCCTTGTGGATGTGGCTTACCCTTGGTGACTTTCTCAGCAGTGATGAATGTGTTTGGCTTCTCAATTGTCAACAATTTCAACCATTTGGTGGCCAATGGCAAAGTACCAGAGGTAACAATAGCCCACCTCTGTCTACCATCGTTAGTGTTTTCTTTGGAGAATTTGTCGAATGATTTGACCAACTCAACAGCACCCGGAATGGCTTTGGCGTGGTGGCCAAATGAGTCAGGAATGTTACCCTCCCATTCAGTAACTTGTTGTTCAATGGCATCTTCTGGTGACCATTTCTTGATGACGTCAAATGTACGACATCCGTGAGAAGTTCTAATGACTTCTTCTGGGTCAAAGTGTGGTCTGGTCTTTCCAAATTCTCTCCAGAATTCAGAAATGGCACCAGTCGAGTTGACTAAGGTACCGTCACAGTCAAACAAAGCGGCATTGACGTAAAAAGTAGCTGGTGGTTGTTCTCTGGTCATCTTGTGTGTGTGTATTATCTATTCAAACAGGTTGTGTGAATTTAATGAAAGTGTTCTTCTGTTTAAATATGACTATACCAAATTGGAAATGAATACTTGGTGCAAGGGAGAGAGGAATTGTGATGATATTTATATTCTTTCAGAATCACTTGCAGAAGAATCGATTCATTTCTTTTTACAAACAATAGTAATGGCTATATTTACTTTAATATCCAGTGTGTTTTTACTAATTAAACGCTGAGATGGGTGTAAAATTCTGATTGCAATATTTCTGTTGCAGAAGGAGCTTAAGTAAGTACTGCATATAATTAGCCTGCATATAAAAAGAAATTCAGAAGTTGTTTTGTTTCTTTTTTTTTCTTCCCTTTTGGTAGTGTTGGGTTTTGTGTAATTTATATATCCGTGAAGAGAGAGAAGGAGAAAGGGAAAGGGAGAGAAGAAGTATATCCACAACGGCTAGTTTTCGGAATTAACATCTCCGTTTGCACGAAGACAGCAAGATCCATAATGAGAAGCAAGTTGCGGATCGGGTGCTCTTTTGCTCTTACACCAAAGTGTGAGCACTGCATCATTTACACAGTTTTCATTCAAATCAGTAAAAACCTCTGACGTAGTGTTTTCTTTTTTTTTTTTATTTTTTTTTTTTTCATACTACAAATACACATATAATACGCTGATAGTAAACACACAAAAGAGTTGATTTTAAATCCCTCTCTAACTATCTTAGTTGTGTATTATTATCGGCTACAATAGGTTACAGTGTCCCTTTTCGAAATCAGCATTATGTCGTCATAGGTGCATTTTTTGGAAAAAGAACGACAAATCAGTACACGAGTTGGCCAATTGACGAGTAATTGGCCTTAAAGTTGAGAAGCGGCGGAGAGAGGGAGTAGGCTTGACAGCAATCTGAACAAGAGATGACGATGCGATAAGCAAAACGTTCGGTATAGGAAAGTTCGATGATTTGTTTGTTCCAGCGCTTAAGTCAGGTTTCACATTTTCCGATTTTACGAAATGGAATGCGCATAATCTTTTCTTCCGTCGTTTCTTTTTTCTTTTTTTTTTTCTGACAACAGCCCTGACGGCGTAGTGAGTTCCGAAGAATGGACTGATGCACCGTCCCAACAGATTCTGCTCTTGCACCTCCCTCAGATTATCTCCCACTATGAATAGTACCAGTCTGTGAGATGCAAAAGATAATGTGCATGGTGAAAATCGTATTCAATCCCCCTTTTCTCACATGCTCTTTACACACGCGTGGGCACAAAACCTTTTACACTGTAGCAGCCCAATCTTGAAGGTCTTTGCCTATTGTTCAAATGGACAATACAAAGATTTTATTGCACGTGTTTTATTATTACCTACTTCAAAATCCCCTGGGAGATCAAGGTGAACCAAGAGAAGTGAGATCATCTCATGTAAAAAAAAAAAAAAAAAAAAAAGGGAAGATGAGGCACACACGTGTACTACTCCCAGGGACGCTCTCATAATCTCACCCTTACTCTGTACACTACTCTGACAATTTCAATCGATAGCATAGGCTAGACGAAAGTTAGGCAGTGTGCAAGTGGCACAAATTACAGTAGATGTGCTGCCCAATGTCCGTTCTGCAAAAATGTGAAACCAAAAAAAAAAGAAAAAAAAAAAAAGAAAAAGAAACTTTTCTTTTTACACTGTGCCGATTTGGGCAGTGTGCACTACCTCTAGTATAGCAATAATTCTAGTCACAAAAAGACCAATAAGGTCGTGTACATCACCATATACTGTACTCAATGTCCGCCACTCCCTTTCTCCCTGCTATTACAGCTCACTACATTCTTGTTCAAATTTCAACTGAACAATAGCCTTGGATATCAAGCTTATTGACGATGTGTTTGCGAAAGAGGGTGTAATTACAACACTATCGTTGTCGTGTCTTGAAAACCCGCATCACGGTTCCCCTTGTGACAGATCCCGAAAAAAAAAGAAAAAAAAGAAAGATTTAGTTCCAGAGATAAGATAAGACACCAGCACACATCCTTACATACACATTTACACGTAGCGATAAATTCACCAACGAGCTCTCTTGTAATTCTTCCTCACTAGTGTAACATGCTTACACGGTCAATTACCTATTGGCACAACCTGTTACTCGTCAATGGCATTTGCTTTGTTGGTGTTACTTTCCTAAAAGGGAGATAATACGGAATGTTGCACAAAAAATGCGTTTCTTTTGTGTATCACGTGCAGATCAGCTCACCTATTTTTTTTATACTACTCAATAATATTTTTTTCTATGACGTAATTGTACATTTCAGCAAAGGGAAAGGTCGTGTGTTATGTATAGAATTGAGTAGTGTACACTGGATCAAAACGTCCTCGTAAAAAACGATTGCAAATCAAACACACATACGTAAGTTACACACGGCACATGAGTAGTTAGAGGTTGGGAAATCTCTGGTGGATTACGGCTCGGAGCTCTGGGCTCTTGGCTCTGGGCTTGGTTATCGGAGCTGGTGATACTTGAGAGGATTCATTCCTGAAAAAAGTCCGAGATTTGTTTTTGTCACATTGCGTTCTGCAGTGGTGTTAGCTTTTGTTCTCGACTCAAAACACAACTTGCTCGAGGAAGCTCTTTCTCTGGATAAAGTGTTTAAAGGAGGGAGACGTTGTGGGTGCTCAATTACACAGGAAAGGACCAATCCTTGCCCATTGTATTGCGTAAAGCCATTTGTTTAATTTCATTTCGCAATAACATTGGTGCAATGACATATAAACTTCAGTAAACCCAACCAACTTTTCAGCGAGTTAGCCCCCGTCTATACGAAGCTGATATTAAAACGTCACCTACTCCTTAGCTTGAAGCTATATACCTTAACACGATTGTGACACTCAGTCACTATTTCGTGCCTTTGTTCTCGATTTTTTTTTGACCCGCGTACACGACACAAAATTGACACATCAAAAGCGCGACATTGGGGAGAATCAAGTAACTACCCACCCATCACATCATAACTTTTCAAAGCAGCATGTCATCCAACGTTATAACAATAGACTCAGACACAGATTCTGATGATGATGACGATGATGTTGAGATTCTAGAGTTTCGCAAAATAACTCAGGATCTCCTAGACAATCCACAGAGCCAAGAAGCCAGTAACGAAATCGATGGCAATGAAGCATCTGCATCCGCAACGAAGCCAGATCACAAGACCGTCAAGAGACTAGGCGACATCCAGTGTCCCATATGCTTTGATAACATTGATGTGGCTACTGTGACTTCATGTGGCCATGTATTTTGTTTAGAATGCATCGAGGCAAGTATCAGTAGCTCACATGCACGCGGCCAAGGACGTATGCCTCGTGGGAGGGGTTTGTGTCCAATGTGTAGAAAAGTTGTATCGTTTAAAGAGACTATTGTATTGAAGTTGAAGAAATCTACTAGAAAATTTGTGGAAGCAAAGTAGAGTTGCGTTCTGCAGTTGAGATATTTCGTCATTACATCCTATCTACACAACTACTCCACCAAAGTTTAGTACATGGTTTTCGTTTTCAATTGGTGTTGATAAAGCTCGATAAACTTTTCCTTATCAAAAAACTCAATGCTGTCTTTCTCCTTTGTCAAGTTGGCTAGCATGACTTCATATATTTTGAAAATCCAAGTACGACACACTTCAGGGTCGTCCAAGTACTCAATGGCAACCATTCTTTCAAACATATCGCCCAACAATTCATTAGCAACATCCAAGTTACTGCTCGTGATAATTTGGTTCATCAGTTCTTGGTTCTTGTGACCATTTAAAGCACGGTATAATTTATAGGCAAATGAGAGACGGCTAAACACAATGTTGGTGTTGATAAAATCCACGTCGCTCATATTCCATCTGAACTTGAGATTTGTTTTGGAATAATGCACCATGAATTCCACTGAATAGCGCTTGAGTACGGCATCCCCCATTGAGTCGAGCCTTTCCCGAAGTAATACCAACTTCGGGTACTGAGCAAACGCTGACATTCGAGATGAAAGAAGTGAAACTTCTGCAAATTTATACAACTCCCGATTATGCAATTTCGGCATTGCTGGCAACTTTATTGGTAATGAATGCAACAACTGGGGCCGAAACACTTGTGAAAAAATGTTGAAATCAATCGGCGCGGGGAATGCTTGCAAATAAGCATTAACATATGGTATATATTTGTCAATTAGAAGCTGTGTAGTGAAACCAGTGCTGATTTTCTGTGGTTTCACCAACGGGTTGAGAAATTTCATTATCGCATAATCGTAGTCTTTGTCCTCCAAGTAAACCATCGCAACAAATACATTCAAAGGTTGCAAACCTTGAAATAGTATCGTTGCCGATTCATCCAATTGAACAAACTGCAAGCCTTTGCATTCGTTCGAAAATTTGGCCCACGTTTGGTGCGGATTAAACCCACTCATCAATGACCATTTGACAAAATACTCGAAAAACAACAGTCGACCGATTTGCTCCAATGCTACCAACCCTGTTGGGTTGCGGAAGGTGAGACATTCGGGCTGTTTGATTGTGATGGCTGGGATCAAACTGTTATGAACCAATATCAAATGCTGGTTATTGACAGACACCTTCAATTCACGTCCAACTTCTTCCTTGTCAAATTCAAACCTCCCCACGCCCAACTCAATCAATTTGTCGTAGTTGATAAATTTAAACCCTCTCACATTGGGTTTATTCCGCTGCATTTCAAGAGCCTTTTTCTTTTTCATTGTTTCATATGAATACTCGTCAGCTCGTTGCTCGTATCTTGAGGGATGGACTAGCTGAACAACTTTTTTTGTGGATGTGGTGCCGAATATATCGTAAAGAAAAGTTGTCCAATTGACGGATTTGTGAAGTTTTGAATCAACTTTGGGATTGACAATGCGTGAATCATCCGGTGTCAACTCTTCATTAGTTGCAAGCTGTTTACTGCTAATCGTAGACTCCGTCTCTGTCAATCTATTTTCCGTAACGGAAGCAACGAGCTCATTAGGAGATAATGTCGTGGCATTGGTTTGATTCATTTCAGATGGCAAAGCCTTTCCCGTCTTCTTTAACGGAATGCCACTCTGTGCATCAGACGCTGACCGGAGGCCCAGTAGAGTCGGTTCTGACTTGTCCGGCACCTTTTTCAAGCCGTTATTGATGTTTGTAGGTTCCCTCAGCACACTCGGGCGACTTTCGGAGACCGACTTCACTGAGTTTGATGAGGGCGGCTCACTCTGCCTTTTGTCAAGTGGTTTCTTCCCCCTTTGTAAATTTTTGGCTACCGAATTTACAGTATCCACACTTTCAGTTTGTACATCCTTGCTAAGTTTTGAAGTTGATAATTGCTTGACAAATGATAAGATCTTGACTTTCTTGATCTGCCGTCCTTCTGCCGAAACAAAAACAGGTTTTGGCTTCTTAGTTTTGATTTCTGGGTCTTTGCTTGATTGCTTAGATGACTTCACTTCATCACCAGCTTTTAAATTGGTCTTCTTTAAAACAGGGTTCTTTGCCTCTTGATGCGGCGTGATATTGTGGTTATTCTTTATGGGACTGGATATTCGAGCTTTCGGTGCATTCTTTGACTTTTCAAGCTTGCTTAAGCTAGGTTTAAGCTTGACAGACTTTTTCGAAACTGGTGCTTTGATGCTTTTGCATCGCGAGGTGATAATGCGGCCCTCAGCTACGAAATGCGATCCATTCTTCAAAAATGCACCGACTGATTTTCGTAAAAGTATCATATGTTTCGTAGTCGTCGGAGATAGAGTTGTATTGTCGTGCACATAGGTGAAGCAATGATGGTTTGATACTCTGATAAGTGCAGCTTTTGGAAACCATTTGCAAAACAACAGTTGGCTCGATCTTTTGTTTCAGTTCTAACGCACGCTCAACAATTTTTCTACGTAACAACAGCTAGCGATCAATTTTGTACATTGAAATCTATACCCCAATCTACAAGTACAAACCTTCGAGATTCTCTTCGACTTTGTTTTTCAAGACCCTTTCTTTAGCTTGTTTGAAATCATCGGCCTTAACTTGCATACGTCTTTCTCTCAATGCCAACAACCCTGCTTCGGTACATATAGCTTTGATATCGGCACCAGACAAATCATCTTTCCCAGTGACAATCTCATCCAAATTGACATCAGGAGCCAAGTTCATCTTTGATGTATGGATCGTCAAGATTTTCTTCTTTGTATTGGAATCAGGGTTTTCAAAAAGAATTTTCCTATCAATTCTACCTGGTCTGATCAATGCTGGATCAAGACTTTCTATCTTGTTTGTTGCCATGATCACCTTAATGTCACCTCTATCATCGAATCCATCCAATTGGTTCAACAACTCCAACATTGTTCTTTGAATCTCCCTCTCACCACCAGATGTAGACTCATAACGTTTGGTTCCAATTGCATCAATCTCATCTATAAATACAATGGAAGGCGCGTGGTCTGCTGCAATTTGGAAAATCTGACGCACCAATCTGGGTCCATCACCAAGATACTTTTGAATCAATTCAGACCCTACTATCCTCAAAAATGTTGCCGAGGTTGAGTTTGCAACTGCCTTGGCTAGCAATGTCTTACCTGTACCTGGTGCACCGTACAATATGACACCTTTTGGTGGCTTGATACCCATTTCTTCGTATAGTTCCGGGTGTGTCAATGGCAACTCAACTGCTTCTTTAATCTCTTGAATCTGCGACTCCAACCCTCCGATGTCGGCATAAGACTCAGTTGGTGACTTGTCAAGCTTCATAACCGAAACCATTGGGTCAGCGTCATCTTGTAATACACCCACAACCGCGACTGTCTTGTGATGCAAGAGCACTGAACACCCTGGTTCCAACAATCCTTTATCCACAAAAGACATGATGGAAACGTAGTATTCGGAACTAGCGGTACTGGAAACAATAGCATGGTCGTCATCAATAATCTCTTCCAATGTTCCAATTGCCATGGGGTACCCTCTTAATTCGTCAATCTTTTCTCTTTCCTCCGCCTGTCTCGCCTCCGTTGGCTGGAATGCCTCTTGATTCAACACTAGCTCCTCCTCCAAAAGCAAATGGTCCTTTATTCTCTCCAATTTCAATAACCTCAATTTACAACGGGTATTTGGGTATACGCTAGGTAATTTCACTGCGGTATCGGGACCTTTTCTTCTCTTTTTACCGAACCTTGACTCCACTGGCGGTTCGTACTTTGGCTTTTCTTTCTTCTTATCATCCTTCTTTTTGTTGAGGTTGTTTCCTCCAGGCATTCCCGATGGTCCTTGTCCCATTTTTGCAAGATCTGAATTCAGTAGTTGAGAGCTCTCTTGCTGTGCAAATGGCTAGAATGGCGTGTGTGTGTGTGTGTGTGTGTAAGTTAGTCTTTGTCGCTTTTTTCAATCGCCACCAAAAATTGAAGAAGAAAAGGACGCGCTACCTAAAGCTACCAAATGACTTTGATATATTGTACTTTGGGTACGTTGCTGAATGCGAACTTGGAGAGGCACTGCTTGCAAAGACAAAAGGGCTGAGGTAGAGCAATTACAATGGACGACGATAAATGACTTCTCTTTTGCTTTGAAGTGAATGCAATTTTTGCAGTCAATCGCTATCGAAATAGTATGAGTTGTGTGCACAGCTTAGTATGCAGGAAAATTATATCATATCCTGAATCTTCAAATCATTACCCCTCCAACTCACTCACTAGGCATTTGATACAAGAGCTACTTTTACAACATTCACTACGGCTATATTTCCCTTAATTTACCACCTTGACAGCTGGAGGTAGTACCTACAATCAACTTTATTATCAACCTAGCTGCTTCAGAATTTTTTCTTTTTCCAATGCATTGATGACCAGTTCCAATCTCAAAACCAAGCAATTTCCATCACTCATCAAGAAGCGTACCTCTAGCCCCTACGGAGCTAAGCCTGTTGATAATCTTTACAAGAGGGAGGCAAAATCACCAAATAGTGCGGCCACCCGCAATTTTGATTCAAATATTGCATCTAACACCCCCAAACCACAATCCAAACTGCGTCAAACTAGTCTAAGTAATTTACTTCACGGTGCAACTAAGGGCCACGCCGCTCACAAAACTGGTGATCCATTAAGGAAAAGGTTGGATAGTTTGAATTCGAAAACAGTGGAGATCATAGATCTTGATAAAGCTGAAAAAGACAACGAACTGATACGTGAGATCACTTCAAATGGGTCTAGCCATACGCTTTCGTCCAGCGACCCTAATCAACAGAGCTATCAAGTACCGTCAAAAACACACAGCGCTGGTGGTAATGACTCTTTCGATTCTCGACCTTTGCATCCGTCCCACTCCCCCGCAGAAAATGACTACCTGCAAAAGATTGAGGCATCCTCAAGGATTCGCGAGCGTCTAGACAGCTTAACAAGTAGGACAGACCGGTTGCTTGAACTGAAAAATGCATACACTCCCAAAAAGAAAGAACTAAAAAGGACCTTGGTCTCGCCAGAACCAAACTCAAGTGAAAAGCTGTTGCTAAATTCTCGCAATTCATTGTCACCATCCCTGGAGAAGCAGCAAGAAAGCAAAAGTCGGCAAGTTTCGTCGCTGACTTCAACCCCATCGATTTCAGTCTCCCCCTCCCCAGCTTCTTCCGCTTTTCTGGAGCCAGAATTTTCAATTGTTGAAGACTGTGGTGGAAATAACTTGAATGTCAAAAGATGTGGGTTAAACGAATCCCCCAAAGTACGAGATGTTCTAAAATCATTCCACTATCATGGCCAAAAAGTCAAGAAAAGGAGTCAGAGAGTATACGAGATAGCAGTTTCTCTGAATGGAGAATACATCTACATTGGATGGCGACATCCTTCACTAGATCTCGTTCCACTAAATAAATTTGTCATCGACATCGACTCGCAGTTGAAAGATTTCTCGTTCGCGAATGAATCTTACATTATGCAATTAGCCCATGGTAAGCAGATTATTATCGCATCACATTATGGGAGGGATAGTGAAATCCGGGATTATTTTACAAAACACCCAAATTCGAAAGTGAAGGTTGGTGCTGTATTGACTGAAGTTGCCGTAGAAAGGTTAATGGAGAGAGCCAACTCAAGAGCCAAAAGCATGAAGAATGCAGACCCGTTGGCAAACGCTGCATTTCAAAGACCACGCAGAAGCTCACCCAGGGTATCACAAAAGGAAGATGGTGGTATAGAAGATTTGGGCGATCTTGCTAGTGAAGATGACGAGGGACTTCAATTTTTTTCTGGCACAGACTACGACGATTTCGAGCCAATACCAAAATTTCAACCAGCATTGCATTATAAGTTTCATGAAGGACGAGAAATCACAGTTAGTGCACTGGATTTCTCGACCTTGCATAGAAACTATTGGGTCAATGATGTGATTATTGACTTTGGGTTGAAATATATTGTACAAGAAGGGGTGAAGAAGGGGTTGGTTGCATCTTCAGAGATATTTTCCTTCAACTCTTTTTTTTACACCAAGCTCACATCTGGTGCCGAGAAGGGAGCTAGTCCTGAGTACTACAAAAATATAAAGAGGTGGCTCTCGAAGATCAATTTGATGGAAATCAAGTACCTTATAATTCCTGTGAATACGGGCCTGCATTGGTTTTGTTGCATCATTAGAAACCTTCCTGGGTTACTAGAACTGGCGCGGGCTCAAAAAGCTGCAAAGAAAGAACCAATCGACCTAGAAGGTCCAGACCTGCAAATACCACCGACCTCCAAGCAGCACGCAGAGATATTTGTGCTCGACTCTTTGGGAAATAAAAGGTATGATGTCAGCGTACCCCTCAAGAGCTTCATAATCGATTACTGCAAAGAGAAATTTGACATTGAGATCAAGCGTGACCAAATCCGTTTCCAATCTGCAAGAGTCCCTCGTCAAAATAATTTGAATGATTGTGGGGTGCATGTGTTGTACAACGTTAGGAAATGGCTCAGCAACATTTCAGAGTGTGAAAGTTTCTTTAAAAAGCACCTGTATGCGCAAGCAAAAGTTCTCTTTCCGGCAGAAGAAAGGAAAAATGAGAGAAAGTATTGGACAAACCTATTGCTTGATTTGCATAGGGCCCAAAACCGGCCACACGATAATAAAGCTGAAACGGTTGATGACGACAACGACGATGATTGTGAGATTGTTGAGAATAGTACAGTTAAAGAGAAAGTCCTTTCACAAGGAGCCTCCCTGTTTTTTACAAACAAACCCCACGATAACTGTGATGATGACAAGGTTTCTAAAGGGTATCGCAGTAATCATAAATCCACTGGCAAATCTCCAAAAGACCTGGATACTTTAGAAATTGCGGAGTTTTTAAAAGACGATGCCACCAAACCTGAAAAGAAAGAAGTGAGGCAAGTTGCGGCTCAAGAATCAGGTAAGATGGCTGCTTCCGATAAAAATGCTTCTGGAAGCAATGCCGAGGGAAATACGTTTGAAGGAGTTGAATCATTGAGCAACCTCGTGTTGAGAAAGCAATTTGAAGATGTCCAACTACCCTTGAGTCTATGCGAGTTGTTGAATCAATATTTCCCAGAAACAAATACACCCATAAAGAAAGTTCGGCTCGTTGTTATAAAAACTCGTATACAAAAGGCACTAACCAATCCTTCCGAATATGGTGAATTGGAGAAATTGCTCAAGTTGTTTGCAAAGGATGACCACCAACGGAGCAAGGGTGGAACTGAAGCAGCCTGCAATCTCTCTACATCTTCAAATGATGCTCCTTTTGGGGATTCAGTCAACAATGGAGAGGTAACCTCCAGGATTGGAAAATTGCGGCTTGGGCTTGCCAATGAACAACCCGCCCCTGATGAACCCGTGAAAATAAACACGATACTGCCAATAATAACTCTGTGTGAGTCTGATGATGAAGAATGGAAAGGATTTGACGAGCCGTCACAGAAACCGCGTAGTCAACAAATGGAAAGTCAACCAAGGGGTTTCAATGCCAGTAAAAAGGACTTCTATTCGGGAAACAAATTTCCCAAAACTGGCGGGGCGAGAGACAACGAGCACAGCTTGTACAAGAGGGGAGGCTTTGGAAATCCCCATGGCCATTTTCGCAAAAACAATTTGACAAATAGTAGATTTGGCTTTGGAACGGAAGGACTCAAAAAGAATGGCGATAGTGAATTTTGCGAGAGAAAGAAGGCAGCAAGAGATTTGGTGGAAGCAGATGGGTATGAGACGGTTACTCACTCCGATCGGGGATACCAACCTTCTGAAGATAGTGATGTTGTACTAGACTTTCCTGCCAAGAGTCCATACAAAAAACGAAAACTAGATTGAGTAAATCGTGTATAGAGCTGTTCACGTGATCTCGTAAATCTTTTTATTATTTATTTTATTTTTCTTTTTTTTTTTTTTTTTTTTTTTTTTTTTTTTTTTTTTTTTTTTTT